ACAGATCACCCATATCATTTCACGCTATTGGAAGAAAGCTACGACAAGATTACCAATTTTGTGGGACTTGGACAATTCTGAATCGACTGAGCTCCGAAGACATACATCTGGTTGTTCAGGGTTACCCGAAATCCTAGCGTCTAGATGAGCTAGCCATTCTAACGCAGCCAAGAGACAATAGACAGCGTCTGTCGCTGGGCCAGTGCTCCGCGCCATGTTGAACCCCGACCAAGGCATGCAAGGATGATATGGGACATGCCTGTGCCAACGAGACTGCAGACTCTACGGCTTCCAATTCAGTCTAAGGTTTTCGACGAGATCCAGAAGGCCGCCCGTGACGCCGAGACTGAGACCGAAAGACGGAACGCAAAACTTCTCGAGTTGGAGGCCCGTCGGACTGACCTTGTTAGCCAGCATCCCGTTTCATTGATTACAAGGAACAATCGCTTGATATGGCCAATACTTGACAAAAGCCGAAACCAGAGTCACTTTTCTGGAGCTAGACGGCTGCCAACACCTACCGCCGAGCGATCGTCTTTGCCATGCATTGGGAGAATAATGATCTAAACGTTGGTCCAATCGAGACGGACCTCCTGAAACTTTTCAGAAGAAGATACGGGTTCACTACAGAATCATGTATAATATCCTCTGGCTTCAAGAAAGATACTTCGACAGTTTCAACCAGTTGCGATCAATTTTCACCAAATACAACGCCCCGGACAATCTTTTTATTCTTTATTATAATAGACACTCTACTGGCACTTTATCCAATGGTCTGATTCTGTAGTAAGTTTCCTGATCCTACTTGAGAAGTAAAATGTTTAGACTAACAAATCTACTAGTGGCAATCAACGTACTTCTGTCAACCTCCATTAGGACTTGTTGCATCACTGTCTCCTTATGTTCACACGCGTGGACCAGTTAGTCATCCTTGACTCCTGCAAAGCAACAGAGGCGCTGTCAGATAGAATTCCCGGTGAACAACTACTTCCTTGGCTTAATCTGTGGATGTCATCAACGCCTTGTTGCACAGCATTGTGATTATCTTTCGGAGACGCTGACGTAGAACTTTCTCCAAACCACAGAAGTCTGATTCTAACTCCCGGAAAATATCTCAGCAACAATCCTATACTCATTTTGAACGAAGCCAGACTTATCAAGCCCAGCCACCCGTCTGTCAAGCTAACAGTTTCGATACCCAGACGCTTTCACACACTGGTTGAACCTCGGGACTTACGGTGGAGAGTTGACCAGCCATCTAAGCGTGGAAAATATCACAGTGGACAGCAAATTCTCACTTGCAATGAAAGAAGTCTTATAATTCAAGGACACTGGTAAAGAAGTCGACTTTGACTACCCTGTGCTAGGCATACAGGGCCCTTCGTGTGAAATCGAGGAACATTCCAAGTTTAGGTTCAACGACTGCCACCACAGGTTCTGTCTCGAAGTAGTCAAAGCCAACTTAGCACGCGGAGGATATATTTAGAGGAAATCACTATCGTGACACACCTTTCACCCCACAGGCTGTCCGAGTCAAGCAGAGCCTTTACAGGATGATCAAGGAGGGTCTTCTTCCAGTGGATCAGATGCCGAATGTGTGAACTGCCGATTCCATGCAAGGAAAGGAAGCCAAAGTGATCATTTACGACTGGGTGGTCCCAGAATTTCAAACCTTCCGGCATTCAGTTTCTCAAACCCCAATGATACCTAGAAGCCAAACGGCATATGGAAAGGTTTCATGCTAGGATGGTATAACGTTCGACTCGTGCGACACAAGGGTAGATCCCGACGCCAACCGATTCATTATCATGTCGACAACAGAGAGCTTCGAGTCGCATGTGCAGAAGCACTTCATCAAATCATACAGCTATCCGGAGACAGAACCGGTCACGGTAGAGCATAGGGCAGGCGCATGGGGGCGGGCTATCGTGGATGCTGTCCAGGACAATCATTTGAGGAAGGATATGTCGATTTAACTAACATTACATTCAAAACCATCATCATCATTTCACCATCACCATGGTATTCACTGGAATCATCAAGATTACGCCGGAAATGACAGCTAATGTTCCTGTTACGCGCCCCGGTAGCAGCGTGACTACAACAAACGGTTCAGAATATACAAAGGGACCACGAAAGAAGCTCGAATACACAACGGAGAGACATAATCGGACCAGACATACCTCGATTGGGTACATCCGGCCTCTGTGCCTCTTTGCCTTTTCCCCAAAATTGGAGCGATTCGTGCGCAGCGAGGGCCGGCATAGAACGACTATCCAAGGCAGTCCCCAGCTATATCTTGATTGGCGATGCAGACAAGCGCAATGTACTCTTCAACATGAGCACCTAAAAACCACGGTGACAGGCGCTGGAATCTCAGACATCTGCAGGACTGGGGACGAATATCCAACAGAACGTTCAGAGAATTGTGCAAAAACGTCTCTATCAAGGCTTTAATACATGTTTCGCTCTGATGGAGAAAGATGCAGGACTGTTGAGCGCAATACCGAGTCCTGTCCAGACATCGTCTATTGGTGCGTTGCAACTGAGCTCCATTCAACAGAGGGATCTATATTCCAGGTTATTCGAAAGGCATAAGAGAATACCACGTCAATCACCCGCCTACGAATGATAATAAAGCCAAGGAAATACTCGTTTGCGCAGACAAAAGTAACCATACTACTTGCCCTCACGCTCATCCTTGAAATATCTAAAGAAAAGTATGTTTGCAACGCAAGATCACGCTTGTCGCTGAAAACCTTTCACGCTTCTCTGGGGACCTATGGAGACTCTGACAATTGGGAATTCTAAGAGTCTGAGAAAGCCCGAGTCTATTTGCTTCCAATTCTATCTATACATTTCTACATGTTTTGCCGAACTATCTCCCTGATATTAAGCAGCAGAAGAATACTATGAAGCCCCGGAAATGAGGTTTGGCATCTTGGCCTATCGAAGAAAAAATTAGGTCAATATACATCCCTCTCTCCCTCTCTCCGTCTCTCACATTAACGGACAAAACCGAAACTAGGCCCATTCCCAAGAAAGAGGTAAATATGGCTTGATTGATATTTTCATGTCTCGCCTCTTTCGGCGAGAGACAGACCAAGTTAAGCGTGGAGATAGGATATAGGCAAACAGATGGGGCGCCCAGTATGACTCTTTAGAGACACTTTCTGTTGGCATACCGAGGCGAAACAAGCAACCCCTACCGAGAAGCGCTGACATCTTATTACTACCTGAGGGGTTCTGGATAGACCTTGTTGGGGACAATAGGGGGCAAAGACCAATCCATGAGACCATGCCGCTCGGAAATTCAAGCGCAGACATACCTAGGAGTTATCAGATGCATCTGGAGATGCGTCAACATCGCTCCCAGGATAGACTGCCTGTGGGTTTGAATCGAGCAACTCCTCATAGGTCATTCAAGGTGCGAGAATGGTTCTGATGGATAAAGTCACTACTCATTTTGCCAATGCCCCCCTTGCCTCTTTTCAATCATGAGGAAACACGCAATATCGCGGTCTGATATACTCCCATACTCATCTTGAGCCCAGTCGATGTTGGGCCCCACGGTACATTAACAATACAGTTCTATTCACGCTGTGATACGCAGAGAATTATGCCTTTGGAACACCAACACTAGTTGACATCGCAGTAGATCCGCAAGAAATCCGGCGCTGGAAACTTCGGATAATCTAATCAATACACACAGAATGAGACTACAAGCCGCCATTGACCAATCCCCCCAACTATCAAAAACATACCGGCGATGTTCGTTGAAACACCAATTAACAGATACCGACAATCCCACGAAAGCATTCAAGAAGATCAAGGTTGTATCCCTAGTCTGCTGGTCTTTCCCAAACGCCAGCATGCAAGCATCTTCTACGAAAGACTTTTGAGGGCGAAGAAGGCACTACCAGTGCATTACAATTCTTGCACAAATTACCGTTGAGACAACTCAGGGACGACATTCCTCCAACATGGAAATCCTGGGTTGAGAGGTTATAAAATCAGATTGAATCACGCAGCCACAGATCCGCATCTAGCACCGAAGGAATATGTGAAAGACGAGATCAACCCAATCATAACGCCAGATAAACGCGTGCAAGATGAGCAACCAGTAGCAACAGAGACACTTATCGCTCGTTCTCATTATTGTTGGCATAGGACCACCCACGGAGGTGACAGAGCCAAGTGCAAGAAAGAGAGCGCACAGATGGTTGCCTGGATCAAGAACGATATCGATGCTCCACTCCCTCACTGCTCCTTCAAATGTTACAACCCACCAATATCAGGACTTCGACGGCAAGTTTAAAACAGTCCCAAATGTGTTCAAACAGCTGGGAAACAAGCATGACTATCTAGGAAGCCCTGACAGTATATATTCATCTTGTGTTCCTAGCAATCCCGAATCCCGCTTGAGGCATCACCCGACAACATGATATCTCTGTCCAGACATTAAAGCCATCTTCTGGCTGGTTGTCAGATCCTACCCTCCCCTCCAACGATACATATCGACCAAACGGAAAGAATGGAAGGTGAAAGCAGCCTACTATATTGAATATGATTTGTAGCATCACACCAAGACCGCAAATCAACTGTTCTATATCATACCCCTACTACGCGAGATTTGCACGAGCCAGTGGTTCAAAGCCCTAGGGACGTATTGTGTTCGTCCCATCCATCTTTTCCCCAGCCATGATTGCTCTTGGTGGACCCTACGTGCTCAACAACCCCCCAGAAAACTACCTGTCGTGATTGCGGCGAGTGGTAGGCCCTAGATCTGACAAAGAACAGAAAGGTCAGACGCGATCGCCTCCCTCGTGGTCCACCAGTGGTCGTCTACGACAAGCACGGCGTCCCTGGTGTCGCCGTCGCATAGTTCCACTATGCGCTGTGCGGTGAAGAGCTTGGACGGAAAGTCTCGTGGTTACTGAATGACAATGTTCCTTTTAACGCCAAGTACAGTCTTAAGGCGTAGACTGACATGCTACCACTTATGACAAGCTTGGTTGAGTTGATGAACATGAGGCATTGTCGAGGCTTATCTGCTGGCAAGCAGTAGGTTGCTCGAATAGCTCGAACGCATGGGACGCGAGCACGCGGGTGTTCTGATGAAGGTTGAAGAGCTTACTGAGCGTGTCAAATAGCAGGACCTGATCCTCGTGGACCAGAACAAAGTCCTTGAAGAACTTATAGCCAAGAAATCCGACGAAGCCGCTATGCCATACGACCAACTGCTCGAACATCATCGAAGGTTATAGGATATCTACAAAGAAACCCTCGCAGAACTCGACCAGCGTCAAACCAAGCTCGAACGGACCGAATAAAGCGCAAGCAAGTAGTTCTTGAGGAAAGCGACCATCTGCGCTCCGTCTATGCTCAGTTGCGTTCCGCCATTTGGCTTTCTTCGTGTGTCGGAGTGATCTTTTTTTTCCTTTTTATAGAGTTTGTTCTCCATGTCCTGGCCTGTCATTTGCCTGCTACATTTCCATTTTCTCCCTCGGAGGATTGTCATCGAAAAGCCCCCATCTGTGCCTTCCGGCCGGATGTGCCAAGGTGGCCAATATAGATCCAAAGTGCCCTTGAATCCGATCGATACAAGCAAGAACAATCGCCAACAAAGGCACCACATGAGAGGAAGCCAGGCGCACAGTCAACAAAGCGATACATGAAATGCTCAAGCCGGCCACACAGGCGCGTCGAAAACCCCCATACAGGGCGATCTAGCCAAGGTGATAGACACGTATTTCGACAAAGACAAGGATTCGAAACGGACTGACGAGCAATTGAAACAAAATAGGCCTCGAAGGCTCTCATTCGTATACTCCCTCCAGCTCCTGCACGTCCACCGGGTTCAAGGAACCGGAATATTCTATTCACCATGTTGTACCTCACTCACAACGCCCCAATGGAAAGTATGGGTGGTGACTATGGCTGTACATTCCATAACAAATCCGAAGCGTGAATGAGACGGAGACATTGGCTCTTAGTGTCCACCACGTATACGACATTATTGCCAAGCTCTACCTTGGGCAAACAGTTTAAGCAACCGGGAGATGGGGCTATTTAGCAATGAGTTCGCCGGCATCCGACAGACCGTTCTAGCGAGTCAAGGAAAGGAGGCCTTGGACGATGTCTGGGAGATATATACATGCTCTTGTCAGTCAACTAGGTATTATTCGGTTTGGGGATACTAGGTACTCCGGTGACGTCCTACGGATATTCAACTCTTATATCATCTGAAAGATGAAAGATGAAAGATTAAAGAATATAAAACTCATTTTCAGACCAATGCCAGTCTGTATCTGTATTGTAGATACCATCTACCTATGAAACATTTCATACCATTCCATTCCATCCGATAAAAGAAACAAGAACACCATTGTAAACGCCCCCAAACCGCTACAAAAGAAACAAAATCCCCGAAATAGAACCCCATACAAGAAAGATCAGCCTCGCCTAACACAAGCATACAACAAACCGAGGAAGTCTACAAAGCCTTGATACCCTGAAACACCTTATTCCCCTTCAGCTTCTCATCCGCAGAGACCAGATCACGCATGATCTGACGCTTCTCTTCAACGCTCAAGCCCTCCTTGCCCGGAGCCTCGATCTCGGCTTTCCATTTCTTCAACATGGATTTGAGAAGCGCGCTGCCTTCTTCAATTTCCTCCGGTGAATACTTGTCGATGGCCATGGCGGATTCATCTTGGTTTTGGGCGGAGTCGGACGTGGTGGTGAAGTCTTCGAGTTCTTCGGCCTTTTGTCGCGCCATGTTGACTACCTTGTCAGGGAAGCGGACGAGTTCGGCAACGTGGATGCCGAAGGATTGGTCGCAGATGCCCGGTTCGACGCGGTAGAGTAGGGTGACTTGGTTGTTGCGCTTTTCTTTCTCGTCGGTGGTGGTGTTGTCGGTCGTGCCGTCGCCGATGAAGGCCACTACGTGCAGGTTCTTGACTGAGCCAGGGTATCGGTCCGCGAGGGCGGTTAGCTCGTGGAAATGCGTGGCGAAGAGGCCGAAGCAGCGGATCTCGGTGACGATGTGTTCGGAAATGGCCCAAGCCAAACCGAATCCGTCGTAGGTGCTCGTGCCGCGACCCAGTTCGTCGACGATGATGAGCGATTCAGAGGTGGCGGACTTGAGGATGTTGGAGGTCTCCAACATCTCGGCCATGAAGGTCGAGACGCCCTTGAGCTGCGAGTCGCTGGCGCCAACCCGAGCCAGGATGCAGTCGAAGATGGTCAGCTCCGCCTCGGTGCAGGGCACAAAGCAGCCGGTCTGGGCCATCAGCGCGATGACACCGATCTGTCGGATGTAGGTCGATTTACCACCCATGTTGGGACCGGTGATGATAAGGAAGGACGACTCGTCGCGGACCAGAGCCACGTCGTTGGTGATGAATGAGATGTCATCCTGCATTTCCATGCAGGGGTGGCGCGCCTCTTTCAGCACCGTGTTGCCCGTGCCTCGCGGGTGCATCTTGGGGCGCACGTAGGCCGTCGGGGCGTGGACAGAGGCATGCGCGAAACTCACAATGACATCCAGGTGCGCGAGGACCCCGGCGAGCTGCTCCAGCACGGGGCAGTACGACGCGGCCACATTGACCACTTCGTTCACCAATCCTGTCTGGGTGCGGTTGTAGTTCGACGACAGCTGATCATGTTCCCGGCGCAGCGTCTGCATGGTCGAGGTGGTGAAGTACACGCCGTTCTTCTGTGTGGAGCACTCCTGATACTGTCTCTTGTTGCGGATGCAGCCCGCCTCATTGCGGGTCAGTCGGAAGCACCAGCCGTGCACGCGGTGGTTCTCCAGGAACAACTTCTTGTCCATCTCCTGGTCGAGGTCCTTGGCCACCGTGCGGTGCTCCACATACATATCGTGTCGCAGCTTGTCCAGCTTCTTCCGGATCACGCGCAGACCCTCGTCGAACTCAGGCTTGATGATGAACTCGTGGTTCTCCAACGCGGCCAGATCGACCGTCGTCTCCACCATCTCCTCCAGCTTGGCCAGACTGTCCGAGTGGCCGCGCAGTTTTGTCGTGTACTCGGTCTCGAGCGGCGTCTGGTACTCCTCATCCATAACGTTCTCCAACGAACTGACAATCCCGGGCAACCGAATAGCCACCTGGTAGACGCGCACAACATCCTCCAAATTCGCCTGCTTGCGCTGGAACCGTTTCGCCAGACGATACAGGTCCGGGATGGAGCGCAGATGCTCCTCCTGCATGGTCTGCCGCAGCTCCGTGTTCACGACGAACGCCTCCACCAGCTGCTGTCGCTTCTCGATCTCCGTCAGATCCATCAGCGGCTGCTTCAACCACTGCGCCAGCAACCGGCCCCCGACGGGCGTCTTGCAATGATTCAGCAAACCGAACAAACTCATCGACTTAGACCCGTCCCGCGGGCCCGGCATCAGATTCAGCGCCCTTAGCGCCGACGCATCCAGCTTCATAAAATGCGACAAATCATGCTGATACAGCTGATACTGGCCGAAATTCGTCGCGTCCGACATAACCCCAAGGTACTTAATCAGGGCCGACGCGGAACCCATGGCCAGCTTCAGCTCCGTCTGCGGCAACGTCCCAGCGGACCTCTCATCGCGCAGCAAACGAGTCAAATCCTGCTCGATATCCCTAACCCCGAAGTCCGCCACAGGGCGTTCCGAAATCGCAATCCCACAACTATCCGCAATCGTCCGGATCTTACCCAGCTCGGCATCCTTCCGACTCGCATCCACCTGCACCAGACACTCCTTCACGCCGAGCTGAATCACCAACGACTCAAAGTTCGAGTAGATATCATTATCCAGGAACTCACTCACGCCGAGCTCCCGGACACTCGCATCCGCAAAGCACACACCCACACTCCGCGCCTCCGACGCCTTAGCCGAGATCTTCACGGCGAGGATAATCGGCGCCGAGTCCATATGACCCAGGCCCGCGCCTACACTGCCCAACTCATCCTCCACATCCTGCAGATTGCCCGGACTCGCCTGCTTCACAAGCTTCCAGTGTCCCTTGCCGGTACCGACAGAGCCCCAAATCTCGACTCGCCGGTTAAGTCGGAAAAGGGCCTCGCGTAGGAAGTTGCGGAACACGGTCACGCTCATCGTCACGGAGGGCAGGCCGCCGGTGTCGCTGCGGCCCAGGTTCCGGAGCACCGAGGTCGTCTTGTAGACGGTGCGCGCGATGAACTCGGCCTCGGCGCCGTGGGCGGAGTACCAGTCGCCGCGGTCGAAGACGCGGATTGTCTCGTCGGTGGCATCTTGGGAGAGGGAGCGGTAGAAGCGGATGAATCCGACTTCGTCGTCGACCTGGGGTTGAGCAATCTGGTTAGTAAATGAGCTATGGGGCAATTGTATGGCATTCATACCCTGAGATCTGGCCGGGAAGACATTGTGCCAGAAAATAAGAATTTGGAGAGAAAGATGGAGAGTAAGGAGAGAGAGATGAGCTGGATGCAGCTGTGTACTCGTAGCAAAAGGCCGGTCTTGGCGCGGCACGGGACGCGTCTCAATCACGTGAGTGCGTGTCGCGCATTAAGTGGCCGCCGTAGACGTACCATATAACTACATAAGGTGGAACGATATCAGGGAGAGTTGATTCAGTATGACCGGAATGTTGATTATGGTATCTATCTATGCTGAACAGTTCGCTAGCAGATATGTCGCTAATGGTGGTGGTACATGTACATGATAACGCCGAACAAATGCAATGCTAATGCCGGGAAGTATAGCAAGCTTCACGGATGACATCCAAAACGAGAGATCCAAGATGACAAGATACTTCAAGCCCCGGGAACAGGGACCGTCTCTCCCGGTCCGATCTTCAATTGAGACACCTTTGCCCCGATCTCCTTGGGGTTGACGTCGGAACACGACTTCAACACCACCGATTTGATATGATTCACGGTGACGAAGTTGACCCATTGGCCAGCAATGTCGGGCCGCGACAAAATCTCCAAACACACCTCCACCTCCTTTTCGGAGATCGGGTTCCTTACGGAATCCTGCACGTTCTGCACAATCATCCCCAGCTGGAACGGCTTCCGCTGAGCAGCCACCACCGCCGAGGGACCAGTTCCCACGTAACCCGCCGGTCTCAACTGGGAGAGCACGCCGACCACCTCCTCGGTCCGCTGCGCCGCTGCTCCCCGCATGATCATCTCCTTCGACGGTGGCGGGGGCAGCTTCGACTGCCGCAAGGCCTTCTCCTTGATGCGATCCAGCAGCCCCATTTTGCGCGACGTCGTAGCGGACTGCGTCTTCACGGGGGTCTGCGTCTCCTCCGAGTCCGTCTTGCGCATCCTCTCCGTCTTCAGCTTAATCACTCCGCCCTTCAGATCCTGCAACCGCTGCTGCCCCTTACGGAACGTCGACAACGGCGCCAGCGACTCATGAATCACCGACGAGCCCAGCGTCGCCATAAAATCGACGCGGGACTCATCCCCGCCAGCCGCATCCAGCGCCTTCTCCCACAGCAACTCCACGGCCTGCTCGAATTGCACCTGGAGCTCAGTTTCGTTGACAGGATCCACGCGCCCTTCCTTCTTCGACATCCTCTCCAAACAAATCTTTCCCAGTCCGTAATTCGCCAATCGAAACCGTGGGCCCGTCGTCGTCGACTGCTGCTGTACATGCACCTGTTCCCAGATCCACACCAAGCGCTGCAAATCCCCCACGACGACCTTTCGCTTCTTCCACAGACGCTCCACGCTGTGCAAGAAATCACGCAAGTCAGCCGGGACGCCAGGACCCCAATGCGCGGCATGAATAGTCAACGCCTTGACGAACGCCGCATGTAGATTCAACAATTCGGCCACACACGCAGGCCTGACCTCCAGCACCGGCTCGGGAAGCTGAACATTGCTCTTCCGAACCGAAGAGGCCCTTTTCACGGGCGACGGTGGTGCTGCTGCTGACGCAGAGACAGTTCTCTTTCCCACCCCTGCTCGAGTAACACGCTCGGAAGTCGAGGTCGAGGACGCATAATGGCCACTTCTCGGCGTGCACGACACCGTCCGACGGATAGATTTCGCCGGCTTCAAACCCAAAGAACCACCCTGTTCCTCCTTGCCTAGACCAATGGGAGTCGAGACAGCCGAATCTTCCGTCGTAGTTCCCCTCCCGCAGTCGACATTCTCCAGCTCATTCAGTTTGCGTTTCTTGGAAGGCGAGACCGGGAGAGTGGGTGCTGGTGTCGTGGTGACCTGCTTCCCATCGCCGCTGCCATCGAGAAGGGTCTTGGGGGGAGCGATTCCCGGCTTAGTCGTTCTCGTGAAGGCGTTGATTGCCGCCTGGCCCCGGGGAAGGGAGGAGCGAGTCGACGAGGCGCGCGGCATTGCGGTTTCTTTTGTCTCTTTTCGATGGACGGGCTGACTGGCTCCTTCTTGAGTTATGAATCTTAATACCTAGTGTTTAAGGATTAAGTTAAGGTAGAGTATGATAGAAGGTACATAGGATTTTCGAATGCGGGGGGTTAAGTAAGGTAGGTAAGGTAGGTAGGTAAATGGCGAGGAAGAATTGATTATGGAGATCGTGAGTGAAAAAAAGGAAGAGTGGATTCCAGGTTGTCTTTAGGGAGCTCATTAAAAGGGGCGCCCAGATTTTCCCGGTGGAGCGCGTCCGAGCGCGACGCGCGACGTGCCCCAATGCGGTTAAATGGCTTTCGGTGGAGTCGCCCGGTTCCCTCGGGTTTGTTCTGTAGTTCGTCGTTAATTCTTCTAGGATCTTGAACTCCCCTTTAGATTGGAGTGCAGTGGTATATGGACTGGGAAAGATTATATAACTGGTGATATCTTCCGTTTTATTGTAGGTATGTCCCCACCCCGGAGATCAGACATGACATTCCTATCACTACAGCAATGCCTGCATCCGCGGAATGCCGCATACCAGCACTCACTTCCAGAAGATAGAGAGTCATAACTTTGTATTAAATAATGACATTCATTCATAGTGATAATCCCACTAAGGACTCCATAAGGAGATCGGACTAATTACTGAACATGCATAAACTCGTCAAGAATAGACTAAGTGCCATAATCCATAAACACCTTCCTTTCCGATCATGTCGTCAAAGCTCTCCCTACTGAAACCGAAGAGATCTATTTCTTCCCACTTCCAAACCACCCCGACAACGTTCCCTTCGCCTCAGACGCCTTCTCCTCGACCGCGTTATCAAACTTGTCGACATTCGAGCGCACCTTCGACGAAGCGTCTTGTCGGTACTCGTCCAGCTTGTTGACGCCGTCGTGCGCCAGCCCGGAGGCCTGGGTTTGAACGTTCTGAGCCTTGTTGATGGCCGCGTTTTTCTATCGGCGATTCATTAGTACTCTCATTGCTCTCGTAGACATCAAGGGGCTAAGGTAGTTAAGGGTAACGAGGCAGGCTTACCGCGTCCTGATAGTGAGACTGCGCATCCGCACTGGCCTGTTCGCCAAGTCGTTGGGCGTCGTTCAAGGTGGGCGACTGATTACGGGCTCGGTCGGCGTCGTCTGATTACGAGTTAGCATTGAGGTGGTTCTTTGCGGGGAGAGTTCCAAGGTCTGTCTCGAGTATTGTATTTCCCAGTCCGTCGAAGGACATTGAAGGCAGACGCTAGTAGGATGGGAACATACGCTTCATGGCCTCCTTCGCGGCATTGGGATCGCCGCCCGCGCGGTAGAGGTAGTAGCCTCCAGCGCCTGCAACGGCGAGAGCAGCGTAGATTCCGGTTCTGTTTTTCGACATTTTGTAGAAGAAGATGTGTTGGTTATTGGATGAGATGTGTAGAGGGAGCGAGAGAGTCGTTCGTAGTAGATGTGGTAAAAGACGTATAGAATGATTGAATTGAGTCTTCCACGGATTCAAGGCCGTATTTAAAGTGAAAGAAGGCCAGAAGCGAGAAGGAAACCAAGTGGTGGATGGGGGTTATGACGTCTTTACGTGGACGATTCCTGGGTCCAGACTTGCCCGGGTGTTTCTGATCACTTCCTGGGAATGGTTCGGTAGGTATTGTTTCTTATTTCCACTTTCGTCGGCTGATGAATGAGACAAGATAGGTTTACGGTGCATCAATTGCGCTCGTAACTTCTCAGGTCGGTACCTAAAGTCAGTAGAAGGAAGACACGAAGGAATCCTCCCATCTGATCAATTGCCTACGATGTAACTACAGATGAGGAAGCGACGGGTCGGCAGTGGCAGCCAGCACGACTGTCGACGTCACCGCACAGTCATCGGCCGAAGTGGTACTACTGCACTCCGTAAGTTACTAACGGGAACTGCTTCTTCCTTAACTCTTAGTCTTAACTTCTTAAGGCACCGCCGGTCGATCCGTGTGGGGTAAACGTCATACCCAGACACTCGCCTGGTTTACACTTTCCAGTAACTGATGAACGTTCCATTCGCCTGGTGTTAATCTGCTCAAGTTCTCGTAGTAAACCATCCCGGAACAGAATACTAGACAATTCCATGTGTAAGTGAGTAAAGATTGATATAAACAGGCCAAAGAAAATTAAAAGGAAAAGTTGAGAAAATTGAATTAAATCCGAACCATCAATCAATGCCACACCACGACCAAGGATAGGAAACTCCACGTCCAGAGAACCTCGCAGCTGAAACTCGAGATTGGGGCCGGGTATCTTCATGCACTATGAACAATATCCCACAAGAGCAAGACTCAACGCAAAGCCAATAGATAAAAAATGAAAGGGAAAGGAAGAAAGAAAAACGCCCGAACATGCAGAACAGAAGAGAGCCCGAAGAAAACTTTGAAACACAGCGGAAATAACATATAATGGGGGAAAGACATCGAACACCCCGAAAAGACTGGCAAGTCACAAAGCCCCCATGAGAGTCACTTATGCATCATTCATCAGTCATCAATTCATAATGATTCTCGCAGCCAGACCGCGGAAGTGTGTAGCTTCGAGTAACGAGAGGCCGCTCTTCTAAATAAAAACTCCGTAGCTATATCCAGAGAGGAAAAGGACAAAAAAAGAGGAAAGAGTGGTGAAGAGGATGGAAAAAGGAGGCCAAGTGACTCATACTATACAGCACCGGCGGGTCAAATAAACGACAGAAAGAATGTAGAACGAGAGGTAGAGCAAGTAAAAAACCACCAGAATATAAGGGTGGCTCGTTTTCCGATCACGTAAAACCGTTCCCGTGGGACACTTCAGTCCCTGTCGTCCAACACACGATATCGAGTGCATTGAAGAAGGTCACAAGCTCATGCAAAAAGCTTCGCGGTTCCTTTGTTTTCGCTCGTGGCAACGGCCACTAGAGCTTCAAGTCGTCCCATCCCGGACTCTCTGCCAGAGGAGTGATGGAACAGATCGGATCGGGGGTCGGGTTTGCCTTGATAACCATCGGACTGGGGTGCCTGCAGTACAATTAGTGACCTGAGGGCAGTCTGCGGGTCTGCGGGTAGCGGGTGCGTACTGCTTGAGACGTGTCGGATGAGAACGGCGGATGGTGGGCCTCGATGTATCCGCTGTTGTGCACGATGGCCGGATGGTATTCAAGGGACGCGGTCGAAGGCGTATGGACCCCTTCGCTGCTGCTCGAATCCTCGGGCGACGTTCGCGTGGCCTGCGAGGACGTGGTGGCATTGCTATAACTGGGGTGGTGACCACCGTGGGGACGATACTCCTGCATGTTCGGCTGGTACGACGAAGAAGGCCGAGAGCCAACGTTGTGCAGTTCCGCAATGGTTTGCTGGCTCCAGTGCGACGCGTCCTTCTGCGGCTGTGGGGGCTTGTCTCGAATATGCAAGCCTGTGAGGTTCGTGTGCAAAGACATATCCCACGAAACGTGTCCGCGGCGATGGCCCGGCCCAGAGACGGGCGGCGGCGGCCGAACCGACGGTTGCGAGTAGTTGAACCCTCCACCGAAGGTATAGTTCGGGGACGGCTTTCCCGTCTGATCGACTTGCATGGGACTGGGTCGCCGGACGGGAGGAGTAAGCGGGCGCTGCGAGACGACCTTATCGAAGCTTTCGATGCCCGGCAACCGCGGTGGCTGATCACCCCCGGCTTGGGATCCGAACGAAGGATGGTAGGAGTCTGGCGTCTGGTAGCTGCTCAGTCCACTCGTGGCCGGCCGATGGAGGGCCGAATATGTGGACGGATGCCAAGTTCGTCGGCGCAGATCGGCATCGGCCACACCGTGCGCCGCTTCATCACGAGACATTGGATAGTTGGAGCTGACCGGACTAGCATAGACGCCGCCTGAAGGGGGAGGATATGCCGCCGTGCCGGCGGCCGCGGGATAGCCATGCGGGGGGTAAGCGTTGACCGGCTGCGATGCGAACGGGTTGCCTCCCGTCGGAACTGATAAACGGCGGGCGGCCGTTTTGCCTTCCCAGAATCCTGAGGCGTGCGATGCCGTGGACATGGGCGACGCTACGTGGGGACTACCGCTACCTCCGGCGGAGAAGATGTGGGATGATGCGTAGGGGGAGCCGGTCGCAGCGGGACCGGGAATTCCGCGGACCTGACCGGGAGGGGTACTGGGCGGATCGGCCATCGTATCCATCGCCAGTCGTGCTCGTCCGTCATTGGCCATGATCAGGGGTGGAGGTCGACGGCGGAATTCCTGGGGCTGGCTGTAAGTCGACGCGGTGGACGTGATGCTGGAGGCGGAGAGGTTCCTGCTGTGGCCCCGACTATGCGTTCCCTGACTACCTCCTGTACCAGCCCGCGCCCGACCCGGCGGGCGCACACGATCGGTTCGAATCTGGCGTTGAAAGCGGGTGCCGGTGGCGGCCAACGAATCGCCCGGGATCTCCTCGTTGACGTGTACAGTCTGAGCATGTTGCCGCAGGTTGTCGAGTCGAGAAAACCGCCTCGAGCAGTGACACTGGAACGGGCGCTCTCCGGTGTGCTTTCGAATGTGTCGGGCCAAGTGTTCACTCCGGGTGAAGCTGAGGCTGCAGGGCGGGTAATCCGTGCAGTAGAAGCGTTGGCCCTTCTTCTTCTTGGATGGGGGAGCATTTCCCTTGTGGTCCGATTCAGCGTCCGAACCTTCCCGGTCGCCGTCCGAGTCTGCGTGCGACGGGTCCTCAGATGTTGACGGGACGCTGTGAGGTTCTGATAGTCGAGAGGTGGGATCGGTGCTATTTACATTGCGAGGGGTGTTCTCGTCCTTCGCGGCGTCGGTCGGCCGAACGGGGTTTTGCGCATCCGACGGTCGAGGGGTGGTTGGCGTGGTCGCATCCTCCATCATCCGGTCTGGGGGTGACGAGATGGTGTTGACCGGTAAGAACGTAGACATATCCGACGGCGACGCCGATCTGGAATTCCACGTATGTAGATAAGAAAATCTATGGACTGGATCGATGGCGGGGCAAGTCCAGCGATGCTCGGCACACAACAGCCGATCTATTTCACAGAGAAAGAGGTTGGGTGAAGGTTAAGGAGGTGAGAAAACGCGGTGTCGATCGGACGATGCTGACTACTGGACAGATTTGCGCAACGCCTGTCAGCTTGAAGACCATACATTTGGTAGGAAGTGACCGGAAAGGTAGGATTTTCTTTCTTTCTTTTTCTTCGAGTCCTTTTTAATTTATAACGGTGTTCTTCTTGTGCCGGTCATAACTTACAAATGGAAGGAGGGGGAAGGAACTTCAGCGTCCAAGGGGTGGGTTTATAGGAGAATGGGGAGGGAGGGGGTTGTGGAATGTACCAGGTTGGAGATGAATGTTCAGCCGAATGCCCGACGAAGATGGCGAAGCAAGGGCAAGGTAGTAGTTGTACACGATAAGCGGTAGAGAACGACCATTAGAGACGGGGAGGCATCTCTTGCAAATGAGCCTGACGAGGAGAGAAGGAGGGAGGATGACAAGAAAGATGCCTGGTCGATGAACGATAGAAAGGAAGAAGAAAAAGAAGAAGAGAGAGAGAGAAAGTCGAGGAGATGAAGTTTCGGAGGGACTCGAAGATCGAGTCGGGTCCTGGGTTGTGGGTATGACAGTGAACAAGGCCGGGACCTAGCCAAGACTGGAACTAAAATAAACCAGGAGAGAAAAAATAAAAATAAAAATAAAAATGAAATAAAAAAGGGAAAATAATAATCAGTCCGAAATAATCCAAAGTGGATGGATCATGAACAGGTCCGTTTCTCGGTGATCGATCGGCCGGCAGAAACAGATATAAGATCACGGTGGCCAAAAGCAGGAATTGAATCTGCAATAAATCAATTCCAAACCAGATCGCAGGAAGTCAAATATAAAAATAAATAAAAACACATCAATCAGAAACGATAATTCGAAGATCAATATAGTAAATTTCGAGAAAAAATGGAGATGGAATCCATGCAATCGAATAAAATGAAAGGCACGCAAGTAAGAAATGATAATTGGAGAGAATAAGGGGGGAAAAAAGGAAAAAATGTATGACGTATAGAGGCGGTGGGCGAATATACAGGAACCAGGGCCAGCGGATCAGACGGATCGATGAAGCATCCAGAGATATGGACAGAAGACCGGGAGGGAAGAAGGAAAATGGAAGAGCAAAGGAAGCCGAGGTGAAGGCAGGAAGAGGGGAGAGAAAAGGAGAGAGAGACAGAGAGAGGGGAAGAAGGTGCGACAGTACAAGTACAGGACGGGGCGAGTCCAGGTAAGCTAAAGCTGAAAAGCAATGGAAAAGGTGACGAGGAAAAGAGGCTTATCGGAAGCAACGGTTGGCGGACAAGCGGCGAAACGAGGGGCAGAAGGAGGGGAAGAGAACCATCAGCTCGGGATGGATGGGGAATGGAATGTGTTTCAGAGTAGGGAGTAGGAAGTACACTGTGTACACAGTAAGAGTTAAGAGTTTCGATCAAGATGGACGGGGGGAGGAACAGGGACAAGTACAAGTACAAGTACAAGTATCATTCTATCTGGGGCACTAAACAGGACCTGTCCTCGTCGTGGAGACGGCCCAAAGTCTAGATATTCTAATTTAACCTCGACCAAGAGGGCAGCGTGCATCTCGTCGTCACTGTCCGAGTTATCTATGGCAGGCGAGAACGCGAAACTAACTCAACCGGCACCATTGGAAAGGCGCGCCGACTAAAGTTTCTCTAGTCCCAGGTACTGACGACTTGATCCGGACCGACCGCCATGAATCATCGACCGCCGGTGGAGTCATGAATCGCCGATGAACTCATGGACCATTCTTGGCCGGGGGGGGGTGGTCGTTTGGCATTGATGAGTCCTGATTCCTAGACTTCCGAGTCTGGCATGATCTCTCGGTGTACTCCGACCTTCGATGCATTAGACCGTAGCAGAGAAGCACGAAGTAAATCGTCAATAGTCATAACCAAATGTCAAATCTAAACAACATATCCATCAGTCCCCGCGGTATTGAAACGGTATCAGGAACCCCCCAGTCCCATCGATGCCTCAGGAAAAGCCGGGCGTTTCGCCATCCGCCGGCACGGACTTTCTGGTTTCTGTGACCGATGGATCACGAACAAGGTGGCTGACTTTAGGTCAAGCATTTGGAATGGAATACCCCTCTGGACCAACCGGTAAGGCTGGCGAAGCGACGAGAGTCTCGATCCAAGTCTCGACCTGGCGTTCCATGGTCCCTGCTCCCTCGCTCAGGGTGGGGGACGTGATCTTGTACTAGAGGCACCAGGAACTCTAGCAGATCCTCGGCGGGGAAATGGAGAATTGAGAAAGAAAGAAAGAAAAAAGGCCAGCCTCAAAAGAGAAAGAGGACTACCTACTTCAGTGTGGGTAAGTCGATAGAACCACAGTTTTGTAGGCAACCAAAGAACAAAAAAATCAATGTAATAGGCGATCGGGTAAGATTTCCCATCGACAGACCCTCCCCTCTCGCTCCCCTCGTCCAATCCATCCTCGATCCATCATCCAGCATCGAGTTTCATGAATCATTATTCGAGCTCATGGTATCCCTGCTGACAAAAGACCCCGTTGAAACCATGGACTCCCTCGGACACGTCGGAGTCGGTGACGTTCACCATTCCGGACCCTGAGGGGGGGCAAAGGCAAAATGGAAAAAGAAAAAAGTCTTATGTGCTGGTAACTTTGGGGAGTACCTCAGGCTCGGTAGAGAATGCAAGTTCAATTAAATACCCCGAACCAGTCCCAGAGTTAAATCACTTTTTCTTCCAGTCTTTTTCCTTGCGAGGTGCTCGAGATCTCTGGTCCGGACGATCGGGAGCAGCTGCATGGCAATGCCTTTTCCCCACGGCCATGGTTGCAATGCTAGCTATGATGTATGTCTGTATGTCTCTGATGTATGTAGATGTAAATGTAAATGTAGATGATCGTACCTACATTCAATCCCGACTGGGGAAGGGTCCATCCCAGCAGTTACCATTACCATTATGAAATGATAATACTATGTACTCCGGTATACACTACAGTATACTCGATCATCTCATAGGGACCTTCGTGCTCTGTACGAAGTATGTGTAGTCAAAATCCTCGACCGCGTAAGCGCCCCTCCAGGGCAACGCACCTGACGAGATTCGCAAACCAGCCAGAAACTAAAATCATTTCTCCCAAAAAGAACAAGTGAAATAATCAATCCCACAAAATACGACCGCGTGGAGTCGCACAATGGCCATTCCGAATGCTTCCACCGACCCCAAGTGATAGGCAGTCAAAATCCCCGTGCTCCAGGAATCCCTTTCGCACATGCCCATGCAGATACATACATGCAGAGGTACCTTACATTCCCAACAGGTGCTGTATAACCACCCGACCTATAGATACAATGCATCATACCCGCATTTGACTTTGGAGATGAACGACTCAGATCTTCCTGGCGGCGATGGCAGCAGGAAGAATAACCGGGCCCTGCAGGGAATCCAGATCATGAATTTTTTTTTCCCCCACGCAATGATGGGGTTCCTGGTCTGGTGAATAAGTTACCTACAACTACGGATAGTTACAAGAACTAACCAAACTAAACCTTGCCTTACTTTATGATGGACATGGACATGGGCACCGACACCGACAAGACCGCCGCGTTCAGTAACGACGGTGGAGAAACCGTCCCTCCCTCTCTTGCCCCCCCCCCCCCCCCCCCCCCCCCCCCGTCCGTCCCTCACGATCCACGAAGGAGAAGAGTTTCGCGAAAGTTTCAAAGTCAAACCTAGAATATATGTACAATTGGATTCTAACCCTGATCCCTAACTCTAAGCCCAGAGTCCCGGGGGAGGAAAGCGATTGCAAACGGTAAAAACGGGAGTCGGTGGAAAGCTTCGTCCAGGTCCATTACATCTGACCTAGGTATGCAGGGAGGCAAATAGGCACGCAGCCGTAGTGCAATGGCCCCCCCGGATGCTGATGGAACAGGCCAGGCCAGGCCAGGGAAGCGACAGGAGATCTTGAAACGCCGACTTTTTGAACGCCACATCTTGGAGGGATGATGTGCTTCACTTGGAAGGATGAGGGCAGGACTCAGTACTCGCTATAATGTAGGTAGGTGTATACAGTACTGAAAGTCATTCATAGTAATCTAGTTTGCAAATGAATTAAATTCAACAAACTCAATATTATTCATTCCCTCGAATGCACCAAGTACTGACTGCAAAACTATTTATACTTCTTCGGTAAGGCTATACTATGATACGCACAAGTACAGAGTACTCCGTACTACGGACAAGATAAACCATCCATAGCAACGAAGCACAGACCCCAAACAACCAGCGTAAAAAATGATCACCCCAAACCGACCTGACGCTTAGGTCGTCCCGCCTCGTCTTAGAATAACGCAGACAGTGCATTAGCTCGCCCTGCAGCTTTCCAGTCTCATTGGTTCGCCAGGGGATCTGATCGTGGAGGTACCTTACCTGGCTAACCTGCCTATGGAAATTGCTCCTGGCGGCAAGACGGGGGCCAAGGGCTGTAACGGTTTACGGCGTAGGTGTACTCAGGTAGGTTGAGCCTGTAGGTCTGACTTTCCCTGCGTTTTGTATTTGGTGTCGGCGGTGGTTGGTTGGCTTGGTTGGTGGTGGCGGTAAAATCCAGGTCCTGAGAGGGGAAGAGAGGAGAGAGGGGCGATCGACGTGGCCTGTCTCCATCCGAGACTACCTTTTGATTTTGTTTTATTTTATTTTATTCCCTTTTGTGTTAGTTTTATTATTCTATTTCTATTTTCTAACCTTGGCCCTACAGAAATACGGAAAAGTCGAGGTACAAGATAAATGTACCTGGGGATTCACACCTCTTACCCCTCTCGCTAAACATTGATTGTTAGTTGTTGATTCCTATTCAACCATCGTAAAAACCCCCACTAAGATCAATCCAGCAAGGCAAAAAAGGATCAAACACGGACCCGAACCAGGGTCCAAAACCCAAGACTTGAGTCTGATTAGTGTGCAGTTCTCGTAAAAAAAACAGAACAAATGAAATAAGAATAAAATAAAACAATAAACACGGGCCAGACTACGGTGTACCGTGTACTGTGCAGGCAACGTGAAAGAGGGGACGCCACTCAGGAGGGGGGAAAACCGCAAATCAGTTCATATCCGGTTTTGGTCGAGGCGGTGGCTTTCTGGACTGGGGTGTTATTCCTGGATAACTTGCCCCTCTTCGTCCCTTTCGCTCGCTCTGGCCCTGACAAGCGAGGCAGGCAGGCAGGTGATAGCCTTTGGTGTGCACAGAACTCAGCACAGTATCGAGTAGGTGATGGATTGTGATGGGATGGATGGACTGTCAGTGTCCCCCGCGCTAACGTGGTATACATCCCGTTGATATGTGCCTGTATCTACATTGGTATTAGGTTTGCAGGGGTGACCGGGGACATTCAATAATATATTAATATCGGATTGTACCCGGTACTTAGCGACTACTTTACTTGATGATTTACCCCTGTGCACGGGGATGAACATACTGTGTAGAATGACTCTGGTCTTATCAGGGCGGGGTAACTTCGGTCCCGGTGGTCTGGGGAGGAGAGGGGGAGGGGAAGGCAGGTACAAGCTGATGGTGTACCTGCTCTAGCACAGTTTCTAGTTCGCGGTACTCCGGAGGGCGGTATCCTACGATGATCCTTTCTATCTGGAACAATCAATCATCTATCAGTAGTTGTCCCTAATTCGATACAGTAGTCTCTGTAGTATACCAAAGTTATCCTGATCTTATGATCAGATACGGATTCTGGCTACCTACCTACTAACCCCATTTGCCTAATCAGTCCAGGTCCCACCTTTAACTGAGTATCAACCAAACTCCGTCAACTCCGTACTCCGTGCCTTTACCCAGACCAGACCAGACCGTCCGCCACCCATGATTAGGTGTCCTGTATGAATATATTGAATTTGTCGATCATCCAACCCCGACCAACGGGCCCTCTCTTCTTCGCCGCCCAATTAGACGCAATCGCCCTTTGCGTCGTCTTACGTATAGCCGCCGGAGATCCCCATCGGCGGGTCCCTTCGTCGTGATGCTGACGTCTATGATTATCTGGCCACTAGGTGTCGGTGGTGGTTGGTCTGGCTGGGTTTGATTCTTGGGTTGTTTCGAGGTCCCTTTTTTGTGATTCTCTTTTCTTTTCTTTAATATTATTTTTGGGTAAGTGTTGTATGAGGTAAGGTAAGCTAAGACGGTGCCTTGTCATCGTGCGGCGAGAAAGAAAAGAAAAAGAAAAAGAAAAAACGTAAATCGGCTGATGTGCCCTGTACTTGGTACCTGTCAAATCCAAACCTAAAAATGAGTCGAGTCCTGGTGGTGGCACTAGAGCGGTGGCAAGGAAGGGATCATGTTCTAGTTCTACGGTAGTAATTAGGGATCTACATACAGTAAGAAATACATTATCTCGATTAAATGCAGAGAGAGAAGAAGAGCAGAAAATAAATGAAAAACGGTCCAAAACAGGATATATTCAGACAAACACTCCCGGGCTTTGACGATCTGCGCGTCAACATCATCTCGTGCATCGGGATGGGAGGAGAACATGTGGCAACTGCCAACGAACGAAGCAACGAAGCCCGAAAACAGCCGCCGGACAGTTCATCGAAGGATTACGATTGCGTTGCCTTCCATGCTTGCTGATGAGTGACCCTTCTCCCCCCGTGTCCTCTCTCTTACCATCTGTTTCTGTTTCTGTCCTATTTTCTTCTGTTCTATGTTCCATGTCATAATATCCCAGAGACAAGACCATCGATGGAACCGATTAACTTCAAACAAAACGTTACCTGTCACTGTACAGACAAAGAAGTTTTTCGAATTGCTGGTTGAGGCTGAGGCTAAATCAGACAGGAGAGTTTCCCCTTGGCCACTTGGAGCCGCTCATTGGGCGCACCAAGGTCGTACCTAATCCATCAGCTGATGGACTCGCTGTACCTTGCTGACTCGTAGTCCCGTTGATCCCGGACCCTTTTCACATGCGCAGTCCGTGCTCTTTTTGATTTTTCTTTTTTCTTTGTGAATTTCGATCTGGCTTTTTCTTTATGCTGTCGGTGGGCTTACCCGGAGGGCGGCATGTAGGTCTGATAGGATGCGGTGTGAGCGCTAGATGCGTTGTATACGGGTATGGGCGCTTCGATGCAGATGCAAAGAGATGGAGGGGGGCTAGGGGGGGTGTAAATGGTTAAGGGACGGGAAAATAGCCGAATGTTAGCCGGACGTTTCTTTTTCATTATAACCCTGTTGTCGTCTTCGTTATATTATCTCTATAGCACACCCGCCACGGCGCTGACCATCACTGCTGCCTCGCGCTCCCAGTTCCCACTACTACCACTTCCTGCTCCTCCACCGCCTCCTGAGTCTGCGCGTCCTCTTTCGGTTCCGAGAGTCGCCGTCGGAAGTTGGGATCCTCGCAATACGCATTCCTTGATCTCCTTCTTCAGTCGATCCCGGTTAGATCTCAGTGTCCGAGCGGAGACACCGCCTCGGCTGACGATATCCTGGGTGCGCACGGTGAGCGACGAAGCCAGGGATCGCCAGAAGTACGACGGAAGTGATGAGGTATCGAGGGAGTTGAGAAGGGGCTGCAACAGATTGTTCTTGTTACCGTGTTGGCCGGCAGAGGTGTCGCCTTCGTTGCGGTCGGAGGCCGTCGACGAGGGTAGTAGTGGATGGGACGGCGGTCGGAGATTGCTGAGAATGGCCTCGAGCGCAAAGATGTCCTGACATCGCCCGGACACCTCGGAAAGCGTTCGCTCCAGCGTTGGCAACATGGACAGCGCTCGGGAAAGGTTGTTCAAAGATGTCACAATGGCTGTCTGCATATACCCCTGCAACGTAGAGAGAAGCAGTTCCGGTTGAAATTCTGCCGCCGACCCCAGGCTCTGAGGTACCGGCGACAACAAGTACAGGATGGTGACTCCCGAGATCAGTCGCGCCCTCGAATCGCGCGCTTGCTTGTAGCCTGATTGACCCCCACCCCCGGCGGAGCTGGCGGACATGGAGAATCGATGGATGCCTTGCTGCGCTCTTGACTTGACCATGTTTTCGGCCGGGATGGCGAGCTCCGTTTTCAACGTACGAATGACCTTGACCCGGTCTAATCCATGACCTTCCTCTCCCACTCCCGTGGCCGAGAACATGCGACGTAGACTCACAATCGTGGATGCAGCGCGTTCCAGCGTTCGATAGTCATCCCTGACAGGTGTTGTGGAGGGCGTCGTGCTGTCACTTCCTGTCATGCCACGGCCGTTGATCTCGCTCAGTTGGCCCTCCAACTGTCTGCCGAGTGCCAGGCAGCGTCCGACCGCTCTGGCAAGTCGCACAGTGGCCAGTGATTTCTCTGCAGCTACCCTGGCCTCGTCGGCCGCTTCCCATTTTCGAAGCACCTCCTTTTCCAGCCGCTCGTACCCTTGCGTTACCGAGGAGATCTGGTCCTCTGCTTCCTTGAGGACATGTCCTGCGGCAGCGGTTTGATCCCGCGTGTGCGTCAACAACGGTAGAGCCGACTTGGTAGTTAGCGTATGAATGTGGGTGTCGATTTCCTGGAGGTCGAAAAGCACCCGTGAAAGCGGTGTTGACAGATCCAGTGGTGTATCTGTCGCATTGTTCGTGGCCACAACCAATGAATTGGCAAAGGAGGCGGGCGAGAACTCAGGGTCCAAGAAGGCCTCGTAGTCAATGTACGAGGGTTCCCCTTCTGCCATGATCAACCTGGTGGATATATACTTATATCTCTAAATAATCCCAGGGAAAGAAGGGGATGTCCCGATCTATGCAAAAGAAGAATAAAACGGAATGTAAGAAGTAGAAGAACAAGTAGCTCTTGCGTTATCACTGAGCTGGAAACCATCCAATACGGGATCAAGATGGGAAGGTTCGGCGGATGATCAATGGTCCTCAAGGCGCAAGCTTATTTCGGGGCTGAATACCAGCAGCAAAATGTCATCTCGCTGCAAGGATATAGAGCATTGTTAACGGAAGATGTTGAATGATGGATGTTGATCCGTTCCAGCCATGTGTCGGAACTATACCGCTTCGGTCTCGCGGCTGAGTCAGCCGAGATATAGATCGATGCCATTTCACGTATACTGCAATGTTATTCCATTTTATGAGAAAGGTTAGGTATGCTGTATAATTCACTCCTTTGAAACCTCATGAACAACGCCAAACAGGCATACCGAGGTAAACAATTGCCACGCCGCCGTGTTATCGACCGGCAGTCACGTGGGCGGAGGTCCAGACGCTCCGCCGTTCGGGAGACATTCTCGTCTCCGCCGCCGCAATCAGGGACCGACCTCTCCATCTCGAGTCGGCAAAGCTCTCGGTGTGTCTGTCCTTCATTCTTCATCATTCGCTGTCATCTGTGCTGTGTGGTGACAATTCATTCCCTGTCACACATAGCTCAGCTCTCTGCCGCCCACGCCGCCGTTGCCCTCGTCTCATCCTCGGTCCTTCTCCCCCTCAGCGATGCGCGCCAAATAATAAGTGACCCGCCGAATAAATAGCCTTGATTCATGCACCCCTTTTCCATCCTCACTCTCGGCATCTTCGTAGCGGGTTACATCACCGCCAGGTGGGATCTTGTTACCCGGTTATACGAACTGGCGATTTTCGCGTGGGATCACGGCGTCGTGGTATGTCTTGCTTCGGGAACTGGCCGCAAAGCCGGTCGCGGTTGGGATTGCGTTGCTTATCTACTCGAGCAGACTCGCACAGCGAAGGGCTTCCTGCTACTCTCGGTGTTTTTCTTTCTTCTCGTCCTTCCGATTAACCATTTGGCGGCGAGAGAGGGCGAATTGGTACGCTGATTCCCCACACCGAACTAAATCATAGGTGGCCGCCTAATAATCCTCCGCTGTTAGCATCCCCGATACGTGAACCTCGGCGTCTCTGCTCGGGAACAACTACGCCGCCGCGGTTCTTTCTAAATCGCCCTGAACGATGACAACATGCTCATGAGCGATGGACTACTTCGGGTATTTTGGCCGTACGATCTTCCTCGGTCGTCGTCACCGGGCGTAATTGTGGGATGGCGGAACTCGGAGCTCGACTTCTTTGTGCTTGCGGTGTTGGAGGATGTCGAGGTGTGCTCTATATTCAATGCGGTCCTTGGAATCAGTGCGGTGCTGACAGAGTGGTTTGATTCGGTATAGCCACGAAATGTCGACAATGCTCTTCGCGCCGGCATCCTCTTCCGCAATAGCCCACACCCAATTGTGCGCATATTTACGCTCTGTGGGCGCTCGGCCATGCATGTGCTGGGGTCGACCAACTCGCATGACCCGCCGACAACTTTCAATCCGTCGCATCTATACGTCAGTACGCAGTCGTCGTGCAAGGTGCCTCGAATCTATTGCCCCCCTGAGACGAATCTTTCCGTTCAAGTGATCATGTTCCACCGACCGCACCCAACTCGAATGGAGTATATGTCGCTAGATCCGATTTCCCTCGCTCTGGGTGACAAGGTCTTTACGTCGGATAAGTCGGACTCGGTATCGGATAAGATCGATACCGAAGAGGAGGGGGACAGGTCTCGATCGGGGAAGCTGGTTGAGAAACTCAAGCTGCACACGGTCGTTAAGCATGTCCCGTCCCACAAGGAACAGGCACTGCCCCTGATCATTAACCAGGTCAACTGCGCATACGAGATGGGGAAGCTCATGGAAAAGAACAGTCATCTAATAGGAATCCGCATCAAGCGCAGCATGAGTGTTGGTGAGCGGGTCGTTGAGTCTGCAACCACTCTATGGGATCTTTTCGTGCTGGGTGTTTCCTATGTGTTTTGGCAGTGGATTTGGCCCGTTGTCACGCGGGTCTTCGTCGTCGGTTTGGTCTTCCATCGCACCGTGGCGGAAGTCGTTCTGCAGGTTCTGGAGTGGCGCGCCCGTCCTGATGCGGCTGCGCTGAAAGATATATCAGCGACAGCTCAGCAGGTCGACATTCGGCTTCAGCAGTTCTGCTATTGGCCCATTCAGTATGCCAAATTGCGACAGAGGAAGGACAATTGGGAGAGCGTGACGACGAGCCATCCGGACTACATCCGCTTTTACAACAGCTTGTGGCTTGTTGCGAACGATGTGATTATTGGAATTGCACTGGGGTCGTACATAATCGACAATGCCAACTGGGTGGCCTTTCAAATCAATTCCATCCTGACAGGCTGGACGGTTGAGGGTCTGCAACGTACCATTTCCTGGCTTATGGACTGGCCGGCTGGTCTCAAATTGAACAACGAGCTTGCTGCATTCCTGGGTGATCTGTTCTTGTGGGTGATCGAAAACTGGGCCGGTAAGAATTTAATTCCACGTTCATCCAAGCTGATAGCTGACTCTTGGATCAAGCCTGCATTGCGAATCTACAACCTTATCTCCCCCATGTAATATACATCGTCGGGTGTTCTTCTTTTGCAGGAGCCAGCATGCCCATTGCGCTATTTTCCGATCTCGTCTCCATCTTGACAGTTCATATTTACTCTTTCTACACTGCATCAGCGCGCATCTTCAACTGGCAACTCACCATCATCATATCTCTGTTCCATCTTTTCCGCGGGAAGAAGCGAAATGTGCTCCGCAACCGTATAGATTCTTGCGACTATGACCTCGATCAACTTCTCATCGGCACTATCCTGTTTACAGTCCTTTTCTTCCTCTTGCCAACTATCATTGTCTTCTATCTGGCGTTTGCGTCTGCACGAATGTTGATTATCTCATTGAAGGCGGCTCTTGATACGTGGTTGGCGTTTTTGAATCATTTCCCGCTATTTGCGCTAATGCTGCGGGTCAAAGACTCTCGTCGACTACCTGGTATGCCGCCTACTGTCATGCAAAGCTTACGTTGGCTAATATCTTACGTCTGTTTTAGGCGGAATCCGCTTCGAGCTTCGTCAGGAGTATGACAAATCCTCAGGCAATGGCTCAACCTCAATTCCTTACATCCACCTCGAGGTAAGCGATTCCTATGCATCTTTGACTACACAACCTCGACATGGACGATTCTAACATGACCCATCTAGTCCATCCCCCTCACTCTCCGCGCCATGTTCGACCAATACTTCCAGCTCGGCCACCGACTTCGCAAACACTATCTCTCCCCGCAGGTCATCTTCTGCCTCTTCACCGGCCGCTTCGTGCCACCCATCCACCGCCGGAATCTATACAGCATGCAGTACAGCATGCTTCCTGCCCGCCGGGCCGGCATGGCAGAGGTCTGGTCGATTCTGACACAGCCGCGCAAAACCCATAGCACGGGTAGCGGGTCTTCGTCAATGGGCGGGGGGATCGGCAACGCGGCGAATGGTCTGCTCAAGGTACCTGGGGGGTTTGGACAGGGTGATATGAGACGAAGAGGACATCGCTGATTTTGATGAGTTAGATGGGTATAGATATGAGTTATGCAGATAATTAATCTAATTCTTTAATCTTGTGGAAGGATAAGATACATTCAACATGGATATTGTACAGTATAGACTGGTACTTCATGTATATGTATAAATCTAGCAGGCAATATGCAAACTCCTAGTGTACATGCAATCCATAATCATATATATAAATACATCACCAAGCAACAATAGCTCGCTTTGCCTCAAGAACATCAGCCATTTGCAGTGCCCGTGCAACCGATCCGAGACAGACACGGAGGAGAGGTGAGACACCATCGGCCAGGAATGCCGCGGCTCCGAATCTTCCATTTGGAATAACCAATCCCATTCCGGAACTAGACTTGACATGTTTCATTTGTCTCCGGCAAACCAGAACGAAGGAAGACCGCCACTTATCTTTTAGTAGAGCGGCGAGCGGCGAGCGGAGAGAGAGCGAGACGTCGGCTTGAATACCTCGGTCCGGGAGACGGTAGGGGAATGGGGTCACTTGTCGATTAGAGCGGAGATCTAGGTAAGGATGCTTCATGACTTCGTTTCGATAACTTCACGGACCCAGCACTTCAACTTCGCAGGTGCTCGATGTCGCTTTCCTTGGCGTTGTTTTTCCGTGCGTCTTCGAGCATCGAGTCGATTCCTCGTTCTTTTAAGGCGACCTATACATATTCATACCCATGGTTAGTTTCCTCTGGGTAGGCTTTGTCGGATATGGAGGGATTTGAATGGCATTGATGGGGACATCTGTGTTGAGAAGAGCCACATACGTTCAGACAAGTTCTGTATTGGGTGAAGAGTTCGTCGCAGTCCTTGGCCGAGGTGTTGCCGCGCAAATATTCTGTTTGAATTGTTAGAGGTGCATCTTATTATCGTAGAGTCTATTTCGACCATAGAGCGCGCGTACTTTCACTGTACCATTTAAGAAAGCAGGTATCGTATTTCCTGGGATCGGAAGTCATGTTAGTGAGGCCATTCGGAGGTAGGTTTGCTCTCCGAGGTGGACTTACTCTTTCACTTCGTTGCATTCAGGGGCTATCGAGGCGGCCATTTTGAGATGGGATAAATTGATCGAGTAGGTGAGTTGAAAATGAAAGTGACGTTTTCGTTTTGAACAGAAGCTTCGAAATTGAAGTGAGTGGCAATGCAGACTGCAAGGAATCGCCTCGACTCCGATCGATGAAGATGATCGGCGCGGCTTATCACTTATCCTGTTCTGGTAGGCGGTCTAATCTGCACCGGCGCCACTATTTCTCCACTTCCGACGCGGTCTTTTTTTCTTTCTTTCATCTTCCGAAGTTTGGAGATTGAAAAGGTCGACAGAGATTAGATTAGAAAAAGAAAAGAAAAAGAACAAAGCGGGCGCGTGTACAGATCGTCGTGGTCTGTCTGTCATTGTCTGCTTCTGCTTCTTCTCTCTTCTCTCTGATCAACGATCTATACCATACAAGATAGATCTCTGGCATCATGGATTCCGCTGCTGATTTCCCTCCGTTCCAGGCCCGGCTGACCTCGTCGCTGGTGCAGATGACGCGCACCGTCGGTCAACTCTCCGCCGAAGATCTCACTTTCCACCGGTCCTCGAGCTCCGAGCTCACCGAGTCTCTGGACGAGCAGAGTGACCGCATTCTGTCTCTTACGTCGTCTATCCTGAAAGCCGCGACGGCCGGCACGGATCTCGCCGCGCCGAGTCTGCAAGATGAGGATTCCATCGAGGATAACTGGCGCGGGGTGGTGGATGTGATCGACGCGTTGCTGGAGAAGGCGGATGCGTGTCTGGATGAGTTCACGGGTGTCATTAAGAGATTGAGCCCGTCGCAACAGGAACAGAGCGCTGCCGCTGCCGCGAAGGCCTCGAAAAAGCCCCCGACCAAGTTCCCCAGCGTTTACGACTACGGGCCGTCCAAGATCCCCAAGCCTCAGCTGGAGTTCAAGCGTGCGGTCGATAATACCGATGTCTCGCCTTTCAAGCCTCTGCTGCACACGAAGTTCCATGCGACGGTACCGCTGGAGGAGTCTGAGGGGTATGTGAATCCGTACGAGCCGGAGATCCGCGCCGCGAAATACCCACCTTCGACGTACGAGGTGTCTCCGCCGGTCGATTACCTGCCGTTTGAATCGACGACTGCTACGTTTGTGGATACTATGGAGGGCGTGATGGATATGTTGAAGGAATTGAAGAAGGCCAAGGAGATTGCGATCGATCTGGAACATCACGATGTGCACTCGTATCACGGTCTGGTGTCGCTGATGCAGATCAGTACTCGGGACAAGGACTGGGTGGTGGATACGCTGAAGCCGTGGAGGGAAGAGTTGCAGGTGCTGAACGAGGTGTTTGCGGACCCCGCGATCCTCAAAGTTCTCCATGGTTCGTCGATGGATATCATCTGGCTGCAGCGCGACCTGGGATTGTACGTTGTCGGCATGTTCGATACGTTCCATGCCGCGTGCGCGCTGAACTATCCCAAGCGCAGTTTGAAGTTTCTGCTGCAAAAGATTGTCAACTTCGAGGCCGACAAGAGGTATCAGATGGCCGACTGGAGAATCCGGCCTCTCCCGACGGGAATGTTCGACTATGCTCGCTCCGATACTCACTACCTTCTTCACATCTACGACCATCTGCGTAACGAGCTAGTCGAGAACTCAGTCCCTGGCCACAACCTCATAGACTACGTCCAAGACCACTCGAAGGAAGAGGCGTTGCAGCGCTATGAGCGCTCGGTCTACGACGCTGCCACCGGCCAGGGTCCCGGCGGCTGGTACGACTACTTGTGTCGCAACCCTGCCGTTCTCAGCAAGGAGCAGTTTGCCGTTTTCAAGGCAGTGCATCAATGGCGCGACCAGGTCGCCAGGGAGGAAGATGAAGGCGTGCAGTGTGTCTTTCCGAAGCACATTCTGTTCAAGGTCGCCAACGTCATGCCTGTGGACATGGGCACTCTATTCCGGACGTTGTCCCCGGTGACGCCTATCACCAAGGACCGGGCATCGGACCTGCTGGAGACCATCAAACAGGCGAAGATTGAGGGTGCCACGGGGCCTGAATGGCGCGATGTCTACGTCAAGCCTACCAAAACCAAGCAGACTGCGCCTGTAGCCGACCAGGACCCTCTGACGGACCAAGAGGACCATCCCACCGCTGGACGCTACGAAGTTTCCCAGTTCTGGGGCGGTATCCTCAACTCGCAAGAACCGCTTACACCTCCTGAATACTCCGCTGTCGCCTCCGCTGAGGCCCTTCGACTCTCCCTCCCTCTTCCCCCCATGCCGCGAACCGTTTCCGAAGTGCAACACACCACGGCCCCCGCCGCCACGAAACCCGAGCCCACCACTCCCGCCGAAACCCCCGAGGCACCCGAAAACAAGATCTTCACAGTCAAGGAGCTCGGCGGGCCCCGCAAACGCAAAGCCACCCCGGTCGAAACAACGCCTCAAGGACCGCCCGTCCTCGACGACATCAGTCAATCCGTCGACCTTTCCGAGATGCCTAGCAAGAAGCCGCGCCGAAAGGAGAAGAAGAACAAGTCCGCGTCCGGCTCGAATACACCCCAGCCCGAGGCCAAGTCAGAAGAGACGCCATTCAACTATGAGACAGCGGACTCGGTACTGCACGGTCAGACTACGAAGGGATCAGGTCTGCCTAAGAAAGCGCCATTTAATCCGTATGCGAAGGCTATGGATGCGCCTTCGGGGGCGCGGAAGCAGAAACGAGAGATGCCGGGGAAGACCTTTACGTTTAGGTGATTTTGCAGAAGTTTTGGTCTTTCGCGTTGGCATTGGATATTTTGGATTTTCTAAGACGAATGTGGAACGGATGGATGATGGATGGATGGATGGGCATGGGTAGAAAAGATGATTGGTTTCCATGGTTGTTCATAGCGATACCCTTGAGTTAGAAAGAATGTATGATCTTTCAATCGACATGTGCTCCCTCTTTTCCTATTCAAATGTAGTTCACCTATTAAACTGTAATGTTTTTTTTTCACTCAATGACCTACTATTCCACACAATACCTATCTCTAGTAACATAGACAAGCATATCCACCACCACCCAAACCAAATCCCCAACTCAGTGAAACGGGGGGACCTACGCAAGAACCTTCCTCCTCTGCTTAATCATATACGAATACATCATGATAGACCCTAGAGACCACACAAATTAGCAACTAAGCCAATCCAATCCAACCCATCTCCCTCTCCGAGTAAAATCACAAAACCACCAACTCAAACAAAAACAAACCAGATATGAGAAAGATAGATGGTAGAGGAATGACTCACCCGGTACATAAAGCCCCAAACAAAAATAAAAGATCCCAGAGACGGTCACGCTCTCCGTCGTCGTTGTCGCCTTGTACATAAGCCACCACTCACTAGCGATACCAACAGGGTAGAGAACAATGAAAAGGGAGTATCTACAGAAGAAAGTATCTGGTTAGTTTCAGACCCTTGACTCTTACACCCCCGCCCCCACAGAAAAAGGAAAAGAAAACATACCTCAACCACCTAACCACGCCCCCCTCCAACCCCGACCCAGACAACAACGCCACGAAGTAAACATACCGCACCGAATCAGCAGCCGACCAGGCCAGCAGCATGCAGACATACGCGGGCGACGAGGCCGTCACGTCCGGGAACCCGTAGTTGATAGCCCAGACTTGGACGGAGCGGGCGAAGACTTGCGTGAAGGTTGTGAAGACGGGGGCGCGGGTGATTCCTGTTTATCATTTAGTTGGCTTCGTTTGGGGATGTATGTATTCTGTGTAAGTGTTTTTTGTTCCGGGAAGAAGGGGGGGAGAGGGGTTGTTACCCGCCGCGGCGTGTAGAATGTCAGCTATAGCGAGAGTTTGAGCCCATCGTGTTTGGGGCTCGAGGGTGGTGTAGATGGAGGTTAGAGTGGAGGAGGTAAATGGAGATGGAGATGGAGATGGGTTGATGAGGGGAACGAGGTGGAGGAGAAGGGTGAGGAGGATGCGGAGCCAGAGGATGGCGCCGAGGGCGTTATAGGCGAGAAGGTAGGTTTTGGATAGATTCATCGTTAGATTGGGAATTGACTTTTGAGGTTCTGCAATCGAATGGGGGTTTTTCCTTTATTTTTTTCCTGCTGAAGAAAATGAAATCTGGAGAAGAAACTAATTGACGAACTAATTGTTAGTGCACTGGGTTAGCTTCACATGTGAAGGTCTTTGTCAGCCATTTTGTGGACTACTTGGTGATGTAGGATGTAGCCGGGTATACGCTGGCAACCTCTTGTATGGAAGTTGAAGATATCCACAGATTTGATCTACTAGTAGACGATAGAGTTAAGAACAATTAAGTTTTCTATGTCTCTCATCATCAAAGAGCGGTGTAGATAGTCACTTCCAGGAGAACGGACAAAGTTCAATAGCGGCATCTTGTAGGTCCATATGTTCCGCCTTATCTATGGAGGGGTCAAATCGTGCAACCAACACAGAGATATTAGCAGACGGAGTCTGGGGTACTATGGTGTTGAATGTTGATACGGTGAGAGACTCTTGATTATCTACCCTGCAGATCTATATGCACGGAAACAGTGATATGTGCATGGACCGTATGTATGCACATACTTATGGACCTGCATACCTTCCCGTGTATCACTGCAGCACTAGACCTACCTTGCTGGTTACAGATAGACCGGCAGACTACATGGACATGGAGTTCAATGCAGTCACTATAGTGGATCACGACGAACAGGCATTGAATTAAGGTGTCAGCTTCAACGAGGATGGCCGTGTTGCGCTGCACATCTGTAAACTAATTGAACCAGTCGACTATCTGCATGCCGCGGGTAATTGCTACATTAGAGGGAGGCGAAAGGGAAAGAGATAACTCCGCAACAGGAGATTCCGAGTGAAGACGAAGACTCAGGAGAAACACTGAAAAGGTAATAATCAGAATGGATTGGCAGTCTGGGGTCTGTGGGTTCAGCTGAGTGGGTATGCGGAGTCACTGCATATCATCATATCATGAATGGAGCAGTGGGATGATGGCCATCCATTTTAGGCAGTAGATAGTACTCCGGAGTACACCGTAGATACTGAATATGCGTGGAATAACACATCCTCCTATAATATCACCGGCACTATAGACCAGATATAGACCAACCAGGCTTGGCTTACCACGGGGCTGGGTCAGTCCGCAACCCTAGAAAGTTGATAGATAGACTGATACTGGTCCCTGATAGTAGATAGGAAGGTCGAATACGAGGTCAACCAGGGACCATGATGGTGTCCGTGCTCTCCCTTTGTCTCGTACTATTCTTATTTCTTACATGACCGTCGTTGGCGGTGCTATTTTCGAGTCTTGGTCCTGGGGATCTCGGGGATTAGCATGGGACACGAACCAGGTAGGTCAGACTGGGTCACGGGGTAAAGGAGAAAAAAGCAATCGAGTCGAGAAGTGCCGATGCAGCTAAGAACTATGAAGTAGGAGCGAGGGGCATGACATGTAGCATTGCGCCGACGACTTACGTACTCTAAACCCTCGGGCCACCTAACCCGGGGTAGCACAAGAAGCGCATCCCAGGGGGACTTGACGAAGTCCATCTCCACGCCACGGGAGTACACGGCGCATGTACTCCGTAGACCAGGTAGGTGTCCACCTGACTCCTGAAACGTCCGAGTCTAATGTCTTGTCTGACTCTGGTCCGTTCGTTCAACTGCAGCTAAGGGGTAGTACGGAGTACTCACTAAAGTCATGATGTAATGATGTGTTGAAAGACCACTAACTAACTCACTACTCCGTTAGTTGAGCACTCCCAAGTATCGTCGGTGGGGGTGAACCGCCAATGGAGATAAGGGGATTGTACGATGTTCGAACTTCCCTGTCGGTTCAACGGTCTCTCTCAGTAGTTAGTCTCCCCTGAACAGGATGCAGAAGTACCGAGCACCGACAGGGGGAGCAGGGGAGTACAGTATTTGGAAATCATCCATGTCAACGAACAGGGGGATTGGTTACTATGAGCCAAATAAATCAACAGGCATTGTATACCTGGTCAGTAGTAATCTTCATTCCCTACAGAGTACACCATATACTAAGATACTAAGATAGGGGCGAGGGTGTCACCGACTCAGCGCCTGCAGGACACTAACCCGCATCGGGGCGCTCCTGCTGCGGACGGGCTATTTTTCGACGCAGGTACCATCCTGAGATTAGGGGGAGGGGACAGGTTTCATCCTATCCTTGGATCATACTCATGGATCTTATGCAGTTGACCGGTTGACCGGTTAATGATTATTATTAGAATATCAGTAGTACGGAGCACTTTTTTTTTTTTACTTTCCAATTTTTGTTTGTGGTGTATTTGGCGGTTGGCCCTGGCTTGGTCCATATGGCATGGCATGGCATGAGACTCTCCTTATTCCTTATCAGTGCAAGTTGGTCGGTAATGGTGGGAAGAACTGTGGGTCCCCTTTCCCCCCTCTTCAATTCCGTTTGCCTCCCTCGTCACCATCTTGAAATTCTGAATAAAACTCCATGATTCAGACCGACATGGGACGGTTCGCCAATGGGAGCCACCGGTTTCACCACACAGACTTCCTGAATCCTGACGGGATTATCGATCTACAGTATCATCGACGAAGGCAACCGGGAAAAATCTTAAACTCAACAATAGCAGGGAAACAAACAGGATGACGACTCAAATGTTAATTGCATTATGACAGCGGTAACTTCGGATACCTACAGATCATAAAGGTTTACTCCGTAATCAACTCATCTACTCCAGACCGTCTAGCGAGTGCTAGCGAGAATATCATATAGTAGGACGGGTACTTTCAATCCGGTAGGTAGGACGATAGACTGTACTGTACATGTACATCGGTTGATAGACTACTGCAGAGGATGTCGTGATACTCAATTGTTGAAACGCAAAAGAAAGCATGGAATGGGAAATAGAAAATAGAATATAGAAAATAATAATCAACTCCCTACGATGTAAGTCAATCATTCAAACACGGCATCATCCTTGTCAGACTCCAGATAGATGACCGCCCCAACCACGCTGGTAACCGTCCTCCTCCACCCCTCTGCACGGTTGCGTGCGGTGTGTGCAGCATCATCAGCATTTAGTGTCGAGTCAATCTTTTTTTTTTCTTTTTTTTTTCTTGGTGGTCGCACCTTCGGCCCCCCTTGTCCCTCCCGAACGACCGAGAGTGGCGATGTTCGGGTGCCGCGCATTGGGCCAGGGGTAAACGGATGGGGAAAAGGGACTCGAAAGTCGAAACGCCCGCTAAAGACGCAGGACTCCGTAGGAACTGGTCTTCCCTAGGGGAATTGCTAGTACCGAGTAAGCTGTTGAACTGTTGAACACGCTTTCTATTTTTTATTTATTATTGTTTTTGTTGGTTATACTTGTCTGTTCAACTCCGTACTCCGAACACTTTCGCAACTAACGTGAACTAACTGCTAGTCCAAAGGATTCGACAAGGTACGTGCAGTAGGTGGCTCCGGCGAATGGGGAAATTCCCCTTGCGTCTACGTGCATTGCACCTTTTGATTGTTGAACATCGCAGTCATGAAGGATGCAAGACAGGCGGGAGACGATCATCCGGCCGATTTCCCTGTTCAGCGGTCGACGTGAGATGATGGAGGGCCGGATATGCTCTGACGGTGTGTACTTCATCATGATGGAATTGATTATCTTAGATGAATTCTCTTAGTCAACGACACCGAGGGAAAATTTCATTGGATTTCCAGACCGGAAAAGAGCGAGGAATTAATCAAGTCAACCGTGATTAAACATGCCAATCACCCAGGGCTGACGGAGAAGACTAAAAAACAGGTCCTCCCATGTTCTCCATAATTTCTCGCGTGTACGGAGTAGGTCGTTGGTCGGTGTGCTTTTTTGTATTGGATTTGATTTCTTTTAATTTTTCTTTTATTTTTTTGTCCGCTTCTCGTTGTTCATAAGACAGTCTATTAACCCTCGTGCCTGGTCCGGGATAGATTTGAAATCCAGAGACTCGAGGAGGAATGATAAATGCGGGCGGTGATGGTGGATGTAATTCCCGAATAGGCTTGAATTCAGGCACAGGGATCGTTTGCTGGGTCTGGGGGGTGGATGGAAAAGTGGAGTGCGCTGGCAGAAAAAAATTAATGTATGCGGTTTGGGACAACCACCTCTTTTTTTTTTCTTGGTCTTCTTTTTTTTTGCGTTCCTTGCCATGGATCCTCCATAGATTAACTTACCAGATGCAGGGACCGGGGAGATTCCAGATTCCAAGTCAATCAGCATATTTATTATTATCTGCGGTGTAGAGCATTACAGGCTCAATATCATAAATAAAAAAAAAAGAATTCAAGAACAGAGTACTCCGGTCTCCTAGCGAGATATACTCCTACGCGGTTCCTGAGTCTTCGCGCTGCAGGAGTGGGCCAAGTCCAAGGTCCCTAACGCCCTAAAGGAAAACCCGACCCCCTCCTGCTGCTGCCGCCATTATTATTTGTTCACCTTTCCCCTCCCTATCGTCCATCTTCATTACTTTACTTTACCTTACCAGCTGCCCTCATGTCCTATTAATCTTACACTCCTTCCTTCGCTTGCTTCCTTTCCCTCGACTGTCGTTATTCTGTCATTATTCCTGTCTCATTCTACCAGATTAATTGCATTCCCTGTGGTTCTGTCTCCAACGGTTCGCCATCCACGGCTCTGCATTTCCTGCCTCCCTCTCTCCGAATTATCCATTAATTCCTCCGCGTCCTTGCCTTACGCTCCCTACCTGTTGCTCGCCTCGCCAGCGCCGAATTCGCTCGCGTCGTTTATCAATCGTCGTTCGCGACGCTCCTCGACCGTTCGGAAATATATCTCGCACAGCCCGTCTCGTTTCTTCCGACTTTCCTGATACCCGTCGGAGCATTCAAATCGTCTCGTCCCCTGTTGATCGCTCCCACCACCGCTCTTGGGTTTTTTTCCCTCCCCCTCGTTGGCATTCCTCCAGTGGACCAAAAATTATTTCACCTCGACAAACAAATCAGCAAAGTCACTAGCTTCTCATTGACCGGCGTTCCTTTCTCTCCAATCCAACAAAGAGCGACTCGACCACTTCCATCCGTGGTGCTGCTGTCACAACTGTGAAACGCGTACGCTAAGGGGTACAACTCGACTGATTACGTTGTGGTCGCGTTCAAGATTCTCAACCCAGATGACCAGCTCGGGTACATGAAATTTAGCGGCTGAGATTTGCGATCGTCAACCATCAAACCGACATTACTTTTTGCCGGTGTTTGTTGACCCATCTGGTGGCTGGTCGCCCGTCGTCAGTGTATACCGTGCCTTTTTTCGGAGCGGTTTTTGTGTGCCTTTTCCAGCTACACAACCCACCGTTGATCTCACATAATGTCGGTTGCGACTATGTTACAACCTGCTTCGAGAACCTCAACGTCTTCATCCTCTTCCTTCCAACCCGTTTCGCGTCAAAACACAATGTCTTCCCACGATACCCGGTCTCTCCGCCAGTCCAAGCGGCTGTCGGTCACGGCGCTGTACCTGTCCATGTCCGCGAAGGACAGGGACCTTGAAATATCAGATGATTTGGCGAGGGGTAAGTTTTTCCAGGTCCTTTTCGTCTTTCCCCTGCCTTCCGAATGAAAACACTAACCGGTCTGTCTGTGAAAAGCCCAAAAATACCTTCGAGAATTGAAAAGCAAAATTTCATCGCAATCCAAGAAGAACTTCGTTCTCGAAAAAGATGTTCGATACCTGGATTCCCGAATAGCCTTGCTGATTCAAAACCGCATGGCACTGGAGGAGGTAAGATAGCAACCCCAAAAAGACTCCGGCGCATCATCGGCGCAATACCTGCTCACAACTGGTTCTAGCAAAACGAAGTCGCCAGTCACCTCGACGATGCGATCGATCCTCAGGAGGGCTTCTTCCCGAACGACGAGAAAACGCAGAAATATGGAAACCTTCTATTCCTTCTCCAGTCCGAGCCGCGTCACATCGCCCACCTCTGTCGATTGGTTTCCATGTCCGAGATCGACTCCCTGCTCCAGACCGTTATGTTTACCATCTACGGAAATCAGTATGAGAGTCGCGAAGAGCACTTGCTTCTGACCATGTTCCAGTCCGTCCTCACCTACCAGTTCGACAACACTCCGGAGTACTCCTCGCTCCTGCGCCAGAACACACCTGTATCCCGCATGATGACAACCTATACCCGCCGTGGACCCGGTCAGAGCTATCTGAAACAGGTCCTTGCCGACCAGATCAATTCTTTGATCGAGCTGCGAGATGTCGATCTGGAGATCAACCCCTTGAAGGTATACGAGACCATGGTGAAGCAGATTGAGGATGAAACGGGCACTCTGCCGGACTACTTGGCTCGGTCCGTGACGGCCGAAGCGGCGGCGGAAAATGAGCAGGTCCAAGCGATCATCGCGCCGCGCCTGAAGATGTTGACGGATATTGCCAACGGTTTCTTGACCACGATCATCAACTCGGTCGAGGAGGCTCCTTACGGGATCCGATGGATTTGCAAGCAGATTCGGAGCTTGTCTCGACGCAAGTACCCGGACGCTCAAGATCAGACCATCTGTACCCTGATCGGTGGTTTCTTCTTCCTGCGATTCATCAACCCCGCTATCGTCACCCCGCGCTCGTACATGTTGATCGAGTCGATCCCCACCGATAGACCTCGCCGCACGTTGACCCTGATCGCCAAGATGTTGCAGAATCTGGCCAACAAGCCATCCTATGCTAAGGAGCCTTACATGGCCAACCTTCAGCCCTTCATTCAGCAGAACAAGGAGCGCGTCAACAAATTCTTGCTGGATCTGTGCGAGGTCCAGGATTTCTACGAGAGCCTGGAGATGGACAACTACGTGGCTCTCTCCAAGCGGGATCTGGAGCTGCAGATCACTCTCAACGAGATATATGCGACTCACTCCCTACTTGAAAAGCATAGCATCGCCCTGGCCCAGGACCAGCACTCGCATCTGCACGAACTCTTGCAGGAGCTTGGTTCCGCGCCCCCGCAGGTGCCTCGGAAAGAAAACCGGACTATTACGATCCCTCTGTTTAGCCGCTGGGAAACGGCCCTCGATGACCTGACCTCCGCTCTTGACATTACGCAGGAGGAAGTGTTCTTCATGGAGGCCAAGTCAACCTTCGTCCAGATTCTACGATCTTTGCCTCCGAACTCCTCGGTCGCCCGTCGACCTCTGCGCCTCGATCGTATTGCAGAGGCCGCGGCGACCCTGAAGAACGATGCGGTTATGGTGCGCAAGGGCATCCGTACCATGGAGCTGCTGAGTCAACTGCAAGAAATGGGGGTCATCGACCGGTCGGATGAGTTTAGTCTCCTCCGCGACGAGGTGGAGCAGGAATTGGTCCACCTGGGTTCCTTGAAGGAGAAGGTCCTGGATGAGACGAAGAAACTGGAGGAAGTCTTTGCTACGATCCGCGACCACAACGCATACTTGGTGGGTCAGCTGGAAACGTACAAATCGTACCTGCACAATGTCCGCAGCCAGTCGGAGGGTAAGCAGAGAAAACAGCAGAAGCACCAGGAACTGGGCCCCTACAAATTCACCCATCAGCAGCTGGAGAAAGAAGGGGTGATCCGCAGGAGCAATGTTCCGGAAAACCGACGCGCCAACATTTACTTCATGTTCAAGAGTCCTCTGCCAGGCACGTTTGTCATCAGTCTACATTACAAAGGTAAGTTCACACATTGGCTTGTTTCGCAGTCCCCGTGGTTCACCGTATACTGACAGGGAGAATAGGACGGGCCCGAGGCCTCCTGGAGTTGGATCTCAAGCTTGACGATCTGCTGGAGATGCAAAAAGACAACCTCGAAGATCTGGATCTGGAATACGTCCAGTTCAACGTGTCCAAAGTGCTAATGCTATTGAACAAACGATTCGCACGGAAGAAGGGCTGGTAAGAGACTCTTGCAGGGATCTCTGCTACTCTCCCTTTACGATATATGAGACAAGGCAAATGCTTAACCTGAGTAGATTGCCTGGGTTTCCAGAGCCGAACTTGCTGCCATCGGGGTACTAAATGACGACATACGAATTTCGCCTCAAGCATAGCCTCGACACGGCAACAGAAGTGCCGACTTGTTTGATTGATCTGTTTTATTATCATTATTATATTACGACTTGGAGGGAGGTGAACGGTATAATCCTTTTCACTTAAGTTTCATTGTCTTTGATTCGTTGCTTTTTCTTTTTCTCTTCTCCTGCGAATCGAGGTGGATGGAGGAATAACTGCATTACTCACCATGATTTCTGTTTTATTCCTTCATCGGCACGCGTGACTATAGGATGATTTATATCTGGTGAGAAAGCGAGCACCTTAATTCTGAGGGTGGACCAAACCTGTTGTCTCGCAGGTCGAGGACGGGTTGGTCTCCATGGCCAGGGATTGGGCGGTTTTGCTTGTTGGTATACCCCGTTGAAATGATTTTGTGTTGTGTACGATTGACTGCTCTTGCGTGTTTTTTTCTGATTTGGTCGGTTTGTGCCGTTCGCGTGTTATATCCACTGCTGTTTATATGGTCCTATAGGGATTGGATATAGGTAATGAGGATGTTCGAATTCATCATGCTTGTGGTATTAGCCCAAGCGTTGCATATTCTTCGAACGTTCACTCACAGTAGATTCTGTATTCTGTCTCGCTAGAGAGAAGCCAGTCACTCCCTTTAAACCATTTCCATCCCTCGTCAGGAGTAGACATAAAAGCAACCTAAGCCAACTAAGTTAGCCATCTGATTTTCGGAGTCGACGATCCTGGAAGATCAATCAATAGTCAATTCCATGACAGCTGTCAGTCAGGCACTGCCTGGGATATAAATACCATCCGATGGATTCTTTTACCTACCTGAGGCTTGATCTAACTCGACGAGCTAGGGTTCCGTGTTTTGTGGTAAATTAATCCAAGGACATGACTCCATTGAGGCGTTTTCGCCACTATCTAATCATTTCGCCGTTGGTCTTGGGTTCTAGATTCGGTCAATTCAAATCCCGGACTTGTTATGCATCAGGTATTTCCCTCAGATAGAGAAGGACAAATACTCTTTTAGTTACTAACTACTCCGTATACGAGGATGGAACTGTACATCTGACATTGGTATTGAATCGCATCGATATATCTGTGTCTCTATCTATCTGTATCCACTATCAACGCTCTCGCATTCAGGGGTAAATCCAGGAAGGAATATTGATTGTGAGATATGACCTATATTAAACGTATTCCCTCATGGCGCGTCCCCTTGCTTTGAAGGACACTCCACAGTACTCGACTTACTTACAGCCCCAGTTCTTAGGTACTTCGCTGCCTAGATACTCTCAGTACGACACATTCACCCCCTATTTCTTAAGTTTTTTCCAACAGGTATGGATGAATAATGGCTTCAGAAATTTGCTCTGCTTGGCAGGATCTCTCGTCTCTCGGGGCTCCATCCATAACTAAATAGGTATCTACATCATACGCTTATACGGGTACGAAACTTCAAACGCATAGGTTATAAGTTACGGAGTAAACTCCATAGTATTGTAATCCCCTGGATGCCTAACCAACAGTGTCATCGCCCGCCTTAATCTAGAAGGCCTGATGTGGCTGAGTCTAAGGGGCAAGTGGGCTTGGGCTGGGAAATTGGGAGAACTACGGAGCCACAACCCGCAAGACTAATCTAGTAGAAGGCGTACGGAATGTTCTATTTGATTTTCATGTGGGTTTCTGGGCATTCTGTATAGATTATTGGCTGCCTTCGAGTTGGTTGAGGCGTGACGGTCCTTTGCCCTAAGGGGGTTTGTTCGGTAAGGGTTCTAGAAGGAGATATTTCTTTACGGAGGAATAATATGCTGGGTAATTGTGGTTTCAGTTGGATGTGGCGAGTTGATCTAATTTGTTTTCTAATTGCTGCTTAAATGAGAGTTTCTGATCTATGAGGCTGCGGACGTGGCTGTTCAACGGTGTACATACTCAGTAGGTTGCGGGGACTACGTCATCTCGTCGTCGATCGCTGCTCCGGTTTGGACTTGAGCGTTGCGTTGCGTCTTGGTTTTATTAGGGAGAAAGCCAGAGTTAGGAGAGCAGTTCAATAGATATCCAGAATTGACAGATTGATATATCGATACAGGTCGTAGCTGGCGGTGGAGCGAGGGTCGATTCGAAGTGACGACTATTGTCTTATTTAGGAAGTACTGTAACAATTTCCTCCTGACAAGAATCGGCGATGGATTCTTCAGAGGAAGAAATAACAGAACTACTGAGTACTCCGTATACTCCGTTGTCTACGGCGACTCCTGACGACGAACAGCCCCTCCCCGTGACTCCACCCTGCACGTTGACCGTCTGTTCTGCTCTTTCGCCTCCTGCATCTTCCTTTCCCCTCTTCGCTTCTTCTTATTTGAATTTTTCAATTTTCTTTCTTCTCTCGCCTCTCCTCTTCCTCTTCCTCTTTTCCTTTTCCACCAGACTCTCCACCCGTTATTTGTGTGATTGCGTTTTAAAACCCCCCCCCACCTTGCACTCCTCTCCCTATCAGTCTCATCTTCTCACGCTAAGCCAATCCGACCACGGGTAACTTAACTTCTTCTGCCTCTCTTCCGCCTTAAGGTTCTCTTCTTCCTCACAACAACACTCCCTCTCCTCTCTTTCTTCCCACTCCCCCATTCAATCCCAACCTTCACAATGGCCGCCCCCGTTGAGAACCAGAACCCCCCTACGTCGAAGTATGACGACTATGACTTCCCGACAACGGCGCCGGAGTCTAAGAGCGGCCACCCTGGCCATACCACCCCCGAGCAGGACGCCAAGGTCGAACAGCTCCGGAGTGAGCTGGAGAAGGAGGGCTACACCAAGCGTCTAGATACCCTCACCTTGCTGCGTTTCCTCAGAGCCCGCAAGTTCGACGTCGCCGCTGCGAAGGCCATGTACGTTAGAACCCAGACCCGCCCCCTCCCCCCCTCCACCAAAAAGGTTACACCCGCTGACGAGAGCCTTTCCTGCCTTCAGGTTCGTGGACTCTGAGAAGTGGCGCAAGGAGTTCGGCACCGACGACCTCGCTCGTACTTTCGACTACAAGGAGAAGCCCGAGGTGTTCAAGTACTACCCCCAGTACTACCACAAAACCGACAAGGTGCGTTGCGTCCTCCGTTTCTCCTTCCGATTTCCCGTGGATCTCGATCCGGTGTGCTAACGTTTGATCTGGTGAAATAGGATGGAAGACCCGTCTACATTGAAAAGATGGGCAAGATTGACCTGAACGCCATGTACAAGATTACCACCTCCGAGCGCATGCTGCAGAACCTCGTCACCGAGTACGAGAAGCTCGCCGACCCCCGCTTGCCCGCCTGCTCGCGGAAGTCCGGCAAACTGCTGGAGACTTGCTGCACCATCATGGACCTGAAGGGCGTTGGAATCACGAGTATCCCCTCCGTCTACGGATACGTTCGTCAGGCCTCCGGTATCTCGCAGAACTACTACCCCGAGCGACTGGGCAAGTTCTACCTGATCAACGCCCCTTGGGGATTCAGCGGCGCTTTCAACGTGGTCAAGGGCTTCCTGGACCCCGTCACCGTCGACAAGATTCACATCCTCGGCTCCGACTACAAGAAGAAGCTCTTGGAGCAGGTCCCCGCCGAGAACCTGCCCGTCGAGTTCGGCGGTAGCTGCCAGTGCGCTGGTGGCTGCGAGTTGAGCGACATGGGTCCCTGGCAAGAGGCGGAATGGGCCAGAACCCCCAAGTGGGCTGTGCCCCAGGAGGACTCGAACGTGGTCAAGAACGAGGATGCCGGTATTGAGCAGAAGACCGAGCCTGTTGCCGAAGGCTCTCAACCCAGCGCATAGATTATCCTTCCTACTTTATTGACTTGTTGATTTTGTTCTTTTCCCGTGATTTCTTTTGTTCTTGGGACCAATATGGTATAAAAAGATTATAGGCGCTATTTCCCCCCCTATCCTCCTCCTTTGTCGCTCTTCCTCTCTACGCATCATGTTCCCCTAGAACATGCTCTATATCCGTTTAGACACCTTTTTTTCTCTTTTCTTGCCTTTGGATCTCTACTATTTGGTTCCTTCTTTTACCCTTCACAATTCAATAATTGAATATTGCCTTTGATGACGAGTGGCGGGTGACTGTGACAGGTGACAGGTGACTAGCAGAGCTGAACTAGCTCCCATCACCCATCTCTTTTGATATTTCTTTTGCCTGTTTCGTTGTTTGGGTTCTTAGATATTAAAGTTTCACAAGATAACATGAGCGGCGCGGTGGTGCTTATCTTTTCTATATTATAGATGGGGGGCTGAGGAGATGCGAAGAGAGTAATGGCGAGAAAGGGGTTCGTTGTTTGTTGCTTTCTATAAGTACTTGCTCGCTTGCTTGCTTGCTTGTTACTACTGGATTGTTTGGGGGACGTCGAGTTAGTTGGGTTGGTGTTAGGAGAGATGAATGTTCAATATTCTATTGGTATATAGCTGGCTGAGATAAATATGTTACTTTTGAGGGTCCTAGGTTTTAATCAGTGTGTTCAGTATGTTGTGGGTTCGGAATCACTCGTTGAGTAGGTAGTCACTACGTACAGTGCGTTCAAAAGCAAATATGAGGGATTCAATTCATCAGTCAATGTCAATTAATCAATCGAAGTTGGTATCATTCCATCCATGCCTGACGCCAGAATATTTAAAACAAACAAACAAAACATGAATATAGACAAGAAATCACACCTTCTTCTCGACCACCTCCACGGCCTGTCTCGCTCGTTCCGTTTTCCCAACCGTCGACGCCAACGCATATCCGTCTGATGTCGAGCCCTCGGCCGCAGAATCATCGTCGCCTTCGCCCTGGAGTCGCAGCAGCGTCCGCAGCGCGTCTTCGTAAACCTCGGCCACTTCGCCGGTACGCCAGCGCTCGGCCTCGTGGTCCGTTCCCAGCGGTACCTTGAGATCCCATTGAGCCTTGCGGGCTTTCGACTTCCGACGTGAAGGCCCATCGCCGTCCTCGCGGCTTCGTTTCTTGGATTGTGTTTGTGCTTGTTCTTGTGACTGCGCTTGTGGCTGTGACTGGGACTGGTCCTGGGGTTGTTGATCCGCGTTCGCATCTGCATCCGGCATCGCGATATCTGCACCTTCACCCCCTGTAGTCGGGCCGTCGGTCTCCTTCTTCTCCCCCGTTTCATCCGTCTCCATCGCAGTCTCTGTATTCGTCGTCTCAGCAGCCCCATCAACGCCCTCTCCCTGCCCCTCCCCACCCTCGCCATCCTCATCCTCATCATCCCTAAATTCCTCCTCATCCTCCTCAATCGCCCTCCTCAGCTGCTCCGCATACGCCTTCGCCGCCTTCCGTGGCGCATCCCGTCTCGCCTGCGCCACCGTCGTCGTCAACGACTCCAACTGCGCATACAGCGAGGTCACGCGCGCCGCAAGATGCGTATCGTAGGGTTCATATTCGACTGTTTCCGTGGGTGCCGTGAACGACGCCGGGAAGGGGAATTGGGCGGAGGAGGAATCGAGCCCGTTGATGCTGATTGAGGAGGAGGCGGTGGTGAATGTTTTGGTTATGTACTATTTCATCTCCCAAATTAGCTCCCGACAACTCTGTTGGTTGTTTGTGCTATGGAATTTGGGTTTGGTAGAGAGGAGGGGGATAAGAGCGGGGAGGGAGTTGTATCTAACCTGATCGACTAATTCACGAACACGCTCGCGCATCGGATCCGGTGCATCGCTTTGGTTAGCAGACGGGGGAAGATGAAGGTCTAGTTTCTGTCGGGAGAGCGCGACGGTGTTGGCGTAGAGGTAGGTTAAGTCCGCGGGGGACTGGAGTTCGATTTTGCGATGCATGGCCATGGTGATTTGTTTGTTTGTTTGAGACCACCGGGATGAGGGTGGAAGTGTTCCGTTCCCCTTTTTTGTATTTCTTCTCTGGCGTAAGAAGACAATGGGTTCGCGTCAATTGAGAGGGGAGAGGTATCCAGACAGGAAGGAAGAAGGGAAGTGGAGACGCGTCGGAGGTCCGCGATAACAGACGGGATGATCGTAAACTTCCAACTCTCCCAGGAACTGTCCAGATGCGGCAGGCGGATAAGGAGCCTGTTTTGTCAGGCAGTAAGGCAGTAAGGCGTGGTACGAAAACGGCAGCCTCAGGCCACTCGTCGATCATTGCCCTCGTCAGCCCCGCCAACGATGTCATCGATCGATCGATCCTTTTCTCTTTTTTCCTTTTTCTTCTCTGGTCTTCAGCTTGAAACTCTAATCGAGTCCACTTGGTTTCGGGGCTGCCTTGCCCTCTCGTTTCTCTTGATTTTTAGATCTTATGACCTCATGGCTCATAGCTCCGGGGGGGGTTGATTTAACAATTTAATGTGTCGTTTCGCCCAGCGGCTTTCTTACACCGTACACGATACTCTTCTTGCCAGCTGTTCTTGATCTCCTTCCCCCTTGTTTCATTTTATATTAAGCTCATTCTCCCTTACCTTGCTCCGTACTAGTCGAGCTTAGCTACCCGGGTCTGGTACTGGTCTCGGTTGTTGGCCCGACGAACGCTACGGCAATCTCGCCCCTCCCTTCCCCTTCCCACCCTTTCTCCTTGATTATTCACGAGGATGGACTTGGTGTACAGATAGGGGATCAGGGGTCTTGCTGCGATAGGATTGGGTAGGAGTCAATTGGACACGAAAAGGCGGTGTATACGTGTGCATTACGCTCCATCCCGTATACCAACTTTACGGCGTGGAATGATCAGCTACGGATACCACCATGGAGAATAACAACCCTGCCAGCATCCGGCTGGTAGATAATACCTGTCCGCGCGACGAATCGCCCTCCCAGGCGCCCACGGCTACGGAGTTATCTCGACGTCTATCGCGACGGCTTACGAGGCCGTCTGTGCGAGGGGAACTGGCCAGACGGAAGTATGCGAAGTGGCAGCCACATCGACTGGGGATCACGGATGACGGGGATCCAGATACGGAGAGGAGGCCGTCTGATGGCAGGGAGTTGTCGTTGACGGATACGGCGACGAATACGCTGGGAGGGGCGCCGAGTCTCGCGACTACTTCCTCTCTTCCGACGAATGAACAGCTCGATTCCAATCCGATTGATTTCGCCCCGTCTGCGACCGCTGGGGAGCCGGCCGGGCAAGGAAGTGATGGCGCTGAGGGGGGCGGGTCGGGGTCAGGGTCGGGGTCTAGGTCCGGAGTATCGAGGATGGAGACTGGGTCGGTGTCGGGCCCCAGGTCTCATCCGGTTGGACTCAAGCCCGGTACAGATCTGGATATCCTCTACGAGAATCAGCGGGGGTGGTTTCTGTGCGGGATACCGCTATATTCGCACCACTCGCTGCTGAACTTCGACCCCGCCACTTGGGTGACCCATGACTTCAGAGACAGTCCCGTGAACATCACGAATGCGCAACTGCCTGATCCCAGCTGGGAGTGGGCGTGGCGAAGATGGTACGTGGATATGTCGGGGGACGTGGACGACCAGGGATGGCAGTACTCGTTCTCCTTCGGTTCGTCGGCCTGGCATGGGTCTCATCCGTGGTTTCATTCGTTTGTGCGAAGGCGCCGCTGGGTGAGGCTGCGGGTGAAACGGGCGTCGGAGAGGAGTCGTCGGGACCGAACGGGGCTGGAAATGGCCCATATGCTGAACGACGACTATTTCACCATCCACACGGGGAAGAAATCGAAGAGGGCGTCGAGCTCAGAGCGCGCGTCGGGCGTCTCCTCGGGGTACTTGAGTCGGGCCACCACCAAGGTCGAAGAGGAGGCTCCATTGGAGGAGATTGGAAATATCCCCAGCCTGATGCATGCTCTGAAGACGGCGATCGTGGACCGCGAGAAGATCGACGCGTTGAGACGATTTGTCGAGGAAGGCGGTCCCGAGTTGTATTATTTGGAAGGACAGGTATGTTTCTGTATTGATATCAAGGCTTCGGGAATTCAATTCATCCGTATCTACCACTTGACTGATGCTGACTCGCTCTACTCAGATCCCCGAGATCATGCCCATGTTTGTCTTCCAGGCCTCGCGATGGCAGGTTCTCACACACTTGGTCGGTGTTGTCGACGAGCTGTCCCAGAAGATACCCGATGTCGGCGAGCGAGAAGCCGAGGAACTCCGTCGCAAGAAGGAGTACCTCAGCAAGGCCGCAGACAGCGCGCGACATCACCTCCGAGGACCCGAAGTCGTCAGTGCTCGACGCCGATCATCGGCGCCAGAGATGCTGGATTTGACGCCCGGGTCCAAGAAGAAAGGCCTACTGTCTAGGTATTTGGGGAAGTTCTCATTCAAACCGATGGATGACGGAGGACCGATCAAAGGTATACCGAAGGAAGCGGAAATCGGCAAGGAAGGTCATATCTATCAGTATTCGTCTTGATTCGTTTTGGTGTTGAGCAGCTTTCTCTTTTTGTTTTGCGTTCTAGCTCGGTTCTCGGGACTTGATACCCATGTTCGTTTGTGTTCAGTGAAATTTTCAGGGGTATTGCAATGGGTTTCCATTGATGACAAGTGTAATAGATAATTCAATAGTTTTCTTGTTCCATTGCATTGCTGTAGAATATACGGAGTTTGTATAGCTATCCCGTGACGAAAAAGTAACTCCCGGGCTCGCGACTTTCCGACCCTCTCACCGCCTGCCTCTCTCAGCAGGCAGCAACAATTTTCTCCATGGGAAGAACCGACGGCGAACACAACACCGTCTTTACCACCTCGCGAACCGACCTCGTCCTCTCCAATCTCCTTTCCGTCTCCTCTTATCTCCTCCCTTATATGTATTGACATATTTCTCGACCTTTGCAGATGTTCTCCCATGGCAGAGCTTGCCTAAAAGGGCGTCGCGTCTCTACCATCTTGGACAACATCGCTGCTGGCCCCGATGAACCGCTTCTCTTCTTGTACCCGCGCTGGCTCAAGTCGACAGTCCGGCATTACCGGACTTCTCCTTCCAGGCCTTCTGCTTCTGCGAGGGTTAGGCACGCCCGACGGCTCATTCTCGGAGGTCCTCGTCCACCCCGAAAGCTGTTGTCCGGACCCATCTTGAGACGTGGCAAGCCTCCTGTAGCTACCCATACGGATGGCAAGGCAGAAGCTCCGACGACCACGAATACCTCGGACAATGGCTCGTCGAAAGTCGCAGGGAGCCTCGCCGCACTAACCGAGAAGACGAAAAACCCCCGGCCATTCATCGGGCCAATCAAACCCCCGTTCAACCCTTTTCTTAGGTGGCCCGAACCACCGTCACGGTCTCCCTCTTTTAAGAGGCGGAGCTCCAAATATAAGACGCAATGGCCTGCGAGTCGGGCAGAATGGTACACGTTATCGGCCCAAGATCGTGCAAAATTGGCTCTCCAACGGAATCGCTTTCGACGGAATCCGAAGGAAAAACGAGTTGCATGGAGGGTCATAGAAGCTACACTAAAGCAATTGCAAAAGAAGTCTGCCCGGTGGACGAAGAAGGAGTTAAGGCATAAGGAGCTGTTGGTGCCGGAGGAGACTGTTGGGCTCATCGCGGGGGTCACTAATATGGGGATGAAGGAGAACATCTGGTTCATACCCGTGCACAATGGCTGCAAGGTTCATGTGCTGCATCCACAGGATGGCGATGGCCGGGGTCGGCGGGTCATAATTTCGGGGTCGGCTCGTGTCATTGAACTGGCCAGCGAGCGCATTGAACATGCACGGATTCTCCAGGAACAAGCAGACCCCTTGGTCGACCTCCAGAAACCTCCGATACCTGTTATCTCTTCCAGAGACACCCTCATATCCAAGGGTATCGATCCTCCGCTCGTTCGAGGCACTTGGGATATAAAGCGAGCGAGGCCGGCAATGCTACACACAATCACGCCTTTGGCGGCGAGTCTGTCAACTGTGCGGGAGTTCGCGGAGTACGTTGAGGAGCTGACACTCTCTAAGCCCTCACCCTCTGAAGAAGAGAAATCGCCGCACCGAAAACAAGTGAACGACGCCCTGGTGGCGGTTTTTGCGGTTGATGCATACAAGAAGCTGTTTTCTACGGCTGCGTTGAATGAAGCACTCTCTTGGATGTGTAAACATAAGTACTTTCGGTATATTTACCCAGTTCTATCCCGGGCCCAACATGTTGCAACTGTGGACACCGTAAATATCCTCCTGGAGTCGGCGGCCCAGCGGCAGGACCCAAGCACGTATCACTGGCTTCTCAAGGCTATGTTCCGGGCGAAGATCCGACCGAACGAAAGCACCTGGATCACCTTCCTCGACCACGTCGCCTGGCCCAAAGAGAGGAAAAAACTTTCGGACAGGCTGCTGCGACGGGGGTATCTGAGAGGGATTCATGCGAGGCGGGAGGCCCTTCGATTGACACTCGAACAAAAGTTTCACACGCATCTAGAGAATGGCCGCAGCGTGGACTCGTTCATCAACGAGCTCAACGCGCAGACAAGAGATTGGACTACGGGCCTCTCGATCAGCCTGATGTTTGGTGTCATCCAACGTCGTCGCGATTACATGTCTTTGGACCGGCTGCTGGAGATCTGTCGGGAGGAGAACTTTCCGATCAACAGCAGTTCCATCCTTCATATCATGAACATGTTCGGGAACGATACATTCCTCGCCCTCCGGTATCTGTACCGATGCGGCCCTGAACCTGAAATGGTCTTCGACGGGCTTATGTGGGAGAGACTTTTCTTCATGGCCTGGGATGATCGCCGTTACAATCTCACCCGCGTGCTGTGGCGATACGCCTGCCTGTACGGGGCCGTGACGTTCGCAATGAAGAAGCGTGTCGACGCGGCACTAATGAGAAGAGCCATACTCCCCGAGGATAACGAATTCGTCAACGCCTGGCACAGGAATGCCGGGAAGGTTGCGGTCGGTGTGGACCTGCATCTTCCGAAGTACATCGGCCAGAGCAAGGTCATGACATACGCCCCGTCTGAGTACCATTCGAATCCGATCGCCTACCTCGACCCAGGCCTCAATCCGAGCAACAGTGAAGGTCATCGGCGTAGTGTGTTCGCCAAGCAATTGCTACATCGCGATATCCGTGTCGGGCTCTTCTACCGTCCCGAAATGCCCCTGCCTCACATGTTGGAGGCTGCCGCCAACTTGGATGCTCAATGGCATCGCGTTCCACTGCCGATGAAATGGCTGCTGCAGAACGCCCTTCACGTTCCCGTGCACCGCAAGTGGAACCCCAAGCTATGATATGGGCGTGGTTGTGTGAGCGACAGCTTGAGTCCCTCACAGCTTCTCTTACTCCAGTCAGGCTGTTCAGACATTTGGTCCCCTTGTATATTACTCTCACATGGCATCGACTTGAGCGGCGTTGCAAATGTTCTTTCCATTTTTTTTTTCTTTTCGGTGCATTGTCCGGCATGCCAGCTACCCAGCCTTGGTCTCTCTTTATATTGTGCCAAGTTCTGTACATCAACCTATGTTTATCCATGTCTCCCCGCTAGCTATAGATACCTGTGTAACTACATACCTTGTATATATATATAATGTACACATACCCTAATTAGGGAATATAGAATGCATTGTTATGTATTTGATTGTTCTCCAGTCGTCAAGTCATCCGATCTATTGTCATAATTGCGTATATCTATAAGAAAGTGGATGATTATCCACTGCCATTTCCATGCAGCAACGCCGGCGGCGGAGGAGCAGGCATGGCACCGCTCATTTCCGGTGCAGTCGGACCGTAAGCATCGAATTCCGTCCTCACCGACCCCACGCCTTCTTTCAAATATAGCACCAGTCGGTAGGCCGAGTTGCCGTTCAGGTAATAGCGGTGCAGTTGCTTGCTGCGCAGGAAGCCGAGGCGTTCGTAGAGCTTGATGGCGGCCGTGTTGGTGATTTCGGTTTCGAGGGCAATCTGTCGGTTTTCATGTCAGTCGATCCACTGGCAATCTCTCTCCTCTACGTATGTCCGCCGTGAAGAGGAGAGGGAGAAATTAACGAGGCAGTAAGCTTTGGGGGGGGGGGAGGGGATGGGGGGATGGAGGACAAAAGCGAACAAGGCCCGCCCGCCGTGCAACACCTGTACAACAAACATATGATCCCCCCCCAACCCCAACAACGAGAAGGAGAACGTACCTCATCCGCATCCCGTTCAATCATCGCATCAATAGCCATGCGCACCAATTTGGTCGCAATGCCCCGGCCACGAAACTCCTCGCGCACCGCCAACATGGCAATATACCCCCTCAAGGGCCCTCCGCGGTGCGGCTCCAGTTTGGACACCACGACGCCGACCATGGGGTCCTCGGGCCGCGAGTCATCCATGGCCATGAAACAGAGGTCGCCCCATTGGTAGAGGAAGTAGCGATAGACGTAGATGCTGTACGGCTCGGAGAGGTCCTTGGAGATGAGCTGGCGCATGGCGGCGACGTATTCATCCTCGCGGGATCCGTCGTAGCGGGTGTAGCGGAGGTCGGAGGAGGGAGCCGGAGGAGGAGGGGCTGTTACATCTGCTGCTGGGGCGGCGGCGGGGACGGCGGGGAGGTCGTCATGGTGGTTCATTCCGGGGGCATTTGAGGAAGATTAAGAATTAAAGAATAATAAAGTGTGGGGTATGGGATGTCGATGGGATTGTTGGTGTTGACACTGACAAGTTCGGGGAATGTTTGGAGGAAAGGAAGAAGGAAAGGGAAGATTTTCATGACGTCCGCCGACATGTGATTCCGGGTCGCTCTCTTTTTCCCTCACGCTTTTCTTTCGTCCTTTCTTTTTCCCTTTTCTTTTTTCTATTCATCGGGTTTTGTCAATCGTTGAGTTCTTATTGTCTCTGAGTGTCAATTAATTGATTCCGTCTTATCCACCCCCCTCCCCCCCTTCCTCCCTCTTTCCTCTTCTCTGCCTCTCATGCTCCGCCGTCGTCTGGCCAAGGATAAGGACGACGTCCCGTCGGAGCCCAATAATGCTCAATCAGCCTCCTCGCCCTCGTCTACGCCTCCTCCGCCCGAGAAGTTTGGTTCCTTTGTTACGAAACCGCGTAGTAAGCGTCGCAATGGATTGATCTTCGCGTTGGGCGGCCTCTTCGGCATCCTGGTGGCCGTCCTCTTCGCCAACCAGCAGGACGTCATTAGTTTGGAGTCGCTGATGGATTTAAATTTGGATTCGTTGATGGATGTGATTCCGCAGGGCATTGTTAGGGATGCGAGGGAGTTCTCGGTATGCTTGACCTAAAAGATGGCGTCCCGGGTGCTATACTACTGGGTAAATTGACTAACGGCTTTCGTCTTCTTTTACTTCGAATAGCAACATGAACGCGACACGGTCAGTTATGACTCCTTCTCCGTCGGACTTCATCTTCAATCACAAGGAATCGAAGCCAAACATCCTGTTGTTATGATCCCCGGTGTGATTTCCACCGGACTCGAGAGTTGGGGAACGGGCACGCAGTCCCGGCAGTACTTCCGGCGTCGGCTTTGGGGCAGTTGGAGTATGATGCGCGCGCTGGTTCTGGATAAAGCGGAATGGAAGAATCATGTCATGCTGGATAAGGAGACGGGGATGGATCCGCCGGGGATCAAGCTCCGGGCCGCGCAGGGCTTCGATGCGACCGATTTCTTCATCACCGGCTACTGGATCTGGAACAAGATCCTCGAGAACCTGGCGACGATAGGATATGACCCGACCAATGCCTTTACGGCGGCGTACGATTGGCGACTGGCGTATCAGCATCTGGAGATCCGTGACCAGTATTTCAGTCGGCTCAAGTCCTACGTGGAGACTGCTGTCCAGGTGCGCGGCGAGAAGGTGACCCTAGCTTCGCATAGTATGGGCTCGCAAGTGGTGCTGTATTTCTTCAAGTGGGTTGAGAGCGACGATCATGGCAAGGGTGGGAAGGACTGGGTGAACAACCACATCGCCTCTTGGATCAATGTTAGCGGCTGCATGCTGGGCGCCGTTAAGGGGCTCACGGCCGTCCTATCGGGAGAGATGCGTGACACGGCCCAGCTGAACGCGTTCGCCGTGTACGGACTGGAGAAGTTCCTGTCCAAGGAAGAGCGCGCGGAGATCTTCCGCGCCATGCCGGGCATCTCGAGCATGTTGCCCAAGGGCGGCGAAGCTGTCTGGGGCAATTCCACCTGGGCCCCGGACGACCAGCCGGGGCAGCCGATGTCGTTCGGGACCCTGCTGAACTTCCGCGAGAGCAACTCCACCCTCACGGCGAAGAACCTGACCACCCCAGAGAGCCTGTCGTATCTGCTGGACCAGAGCGACGACTGGTACCGTAACCAGGTGCTCGCCAGCTACTCGCATGGCGTCGCGCACACCACCAAGGAAGTCGAGGCCAATGAAAAGGACCCTCGCACCTGGCTGAACCCCCTCGAGGCCCGACTGCCGCGGGCCCCAGACATGAAGATCTACTGTCTGTATGGCGTCGGCAAACCCACCGAACGCAGCTACTTCTACCAGGAGGAACGCGACCCCCTGGTCAACCTGAACGTCAGTATCGACACCACGGTCACCAACGGCGACGGCGTCGACCACGGCGTTGTCATGGGTGAAGGTGACGGGACCGTCAATCTACTGAGTACGGGCTACATGTGCGCCAAGGGCTGGCACATCAAGCGATATAATCCCTCGGGGATCAAGATCAAGGTATATGAGATGCCTCATGAGCCGGATCGATTTTCACCCCGCGGTGGTCCCAACACAGGTGAGTACTTCTGTCTAACTTGATATATTCGACCCACGATACTAACAATAGCAAGGCGACCACGTCGACATCCTAGGCCGCGCATCTCTTAACGAACTCATCCTCCGCATCGCCAGCGGCCACGGCGACGAAATCGAAGAGACATTCGTGTCGAAGATCAAAGAATACGCCGATCGAGTCAAGATTTACGAAGAATAAAACAATACCACCTGCTTATTTACGTTTGTTACTTTCTGTCACGAGTTCTCTTTTCATCTCATTGTATTCATGTGGATGTTTGATAGAATACCTTAATATACGCCTTTTTTCTTTATTCTCCATCTTCTTACATCTGGTTGAACCGTTTTACCATTGCTACATTGCCTGACTTGACGGTGTATGGATTGCCTGCTTATATGTATGGCATAGGAATGGTGTTCAGGGTCCAGTGGATTGATATTCAGGTTCATATCGAAATCTACTACCTATTCTTGGGATCACGTCTCCCGCATATCATTCAATTGTACCAATCCCACACTGCGCAGCGGAGTAAAAGAAAATGAATAAGTAATATAACGAGGTCTCATGCTAGAAATCGGCAGGTGAAAATCAAAAAAGCGAAAAAAGAAGAGGTCGTACCCGGGATCGAACCGGGATTACCGGAATCAGAATCCGATGTGCTAACCATTACACTATACAACCTATTTGTTGAAAGAACTCAAAGTAAATTGACACTATAGTCCTAAAGGCGTAAACCTGCTGGAGAATGTGTTCATAGTTCGGAGTTGTTGAACACTGTCATTTCCATAACGATACACACCCTAGGGAGCTTTGCTGGGTAGATTTATTGAGAGATTTGGAGGGGTGAATGGTGGGGAGGGAGATTGATTTACCATTCAAGGCTTGAAAATTAATTCCTAATTAAATGGTTTTCCTCCCTATTCTTCAAAATAGATTTGTTGCTGTACTTTCGGCATCCCATGGAGTTTGATGCCTCAGGCTTTCTTTTTCCGTATAGAATGCACCCAGAGTTGAGGGGAAGGAATCTACTAGGCACAGAACCAGAGAAGCAAAACAATGCAGTACAGTAGAATTAAACGCCAGATGTGATGCTCTACTAACTATACGTCTCATTCGTCTAGACTCGTCTTGTATGATAGTATAAGCTATAGCCACCCCCAGGTTTACTTGTTTCTGATACTTCATCGGACATGTCGCAAACGCAACTACATTAATCGATATGATCAATCGGTGCATAAAAAGACAACCGAGGTATATCTCAAAAGCCAGCACAATGCCCCATTCTCCCTGAAAACGTCTCGGATAGAGACTGAACAATATAAAAAAAAGCAAAAAAGAAGAGGTCGTACCCGGGATCGAACCGGGATTACCGGAATCAGAATCCGATGTGCTAACCATTACACTATACAACCCTGATTTGTTGAAGGGCCGGGCGACATCTTGACACTATGAGCCTATGCTCATTGATAGTCATGGGTGTTGATTGCTATGGCTGGTGTTAGGGTTAGATGTTGAAAGGTAAGGGGTTGGAGGGATGGTGGATCCTTTTCTCTTCATGTGTAAACAGTGGATATGGTACGGAGTATGAGTCATTGATCTTCCATCCAATGGTCTGTTTAGATTGTATTGGCTCGATTATTTGGCCCTTGTGACAGGGATATCTTCGTTACTGGGGTGAACTCTTTCTTTTCTGGGACGGTTTGAGCTCAAAATGCGGGTAAGGGCTCGATATGCCAGTGGTACTGCTTTCTTCTTTTCCGGGTGTCAGGGTAGCTGAAACTATCAGTCAACTAAGGTCTCGATAACATGATAACATGCACGGGGACGATAGATCGGTAGTATAGGACGTCTATCCTAGTAACAGAAGTTCTATGTCACATCGTGTTCCCTGGGAACCTAGTGTTTGGGTTCTGTGGAGGGCGATTCTTTTTCCTTCCGGGTGTTGCAGTTTCAGAAAGGCCATGGTTATGTGGCAGCGTTGTGGTCTGTCACCTACCGCGCTTTCATATTAAATCTCCCGATGGAGATTGAGACCCTAGATAGAGTCAATATATGGCGCCCGTTAGATGTATCCAACATTGGGCCCGGTAGATCGGAATTAAGTGACGATGCGGAGTTTCAATTGTAGCGAGGAACTTCTTGCTGGTCATTTACCTCGCACGGATTATACGTAGGATAGATAATGGGCTGACACTGCTCCGTGGGCTATAAGTATTCTGCTCGCAGGTCTCTAGAAACTATTTCTGTCTGGACCGGTCTGTATAATGCCACTATCTTAGGGCTCTGCATATCTGCAGGCCGGTCAGTGGATTGGGCACTCGATGTGCTGAACTCACGAAGATTGAAATCACGGAGATATCGAAGCACCGAGGCTTTGAAGTATATATTGGATGAACATTCGATGAAAAGCGGAGTGCGATCTTGTCGCCGAGGAAGCTGGTCTGCCCGCCAGTCCTTCACCGAGGGTGTCAACGCAAAAGTACCAATCTTCTTCTATAGATCCCTCGCATTCCGGGTACGGAGTACTTGGGTCTCAACTTTCATGGGGCCAACGAGATGACAACTAATATGCCAGGCATCGCTTCGGGCCGTTTCTGGAATAGACCGTTTCAGCCGACCCTACCTACCACACCACGTATACGAGCGAATACGCAATGCAAATAAAGGTAAAAGGGCAGCGGTAACAGGAATCAAGAGCAGGATATGTCAGCCGTCGTAATGTCGTACACTAAGTAAGCCATACGATGCCTGGTTGCAACAGAAACGCAAGGAACCTGACCCACTTGGTACACGCGAGGGAATACGACACCGATACGCACCTTCTTGGCGGCATATACTCCGAAGTACAGATCCAGGAGTTGAAGGCTTCTACCTAGGTCTGTTCGATCCGATGCGGGTAAATGTCGTATTTCCTGCGTATAGAATGTTCATTCATTGTTCTTCTAATTGGCTGCTGGCGGTGATGTTGGTATAAGAATGTCTGGCTTCCTCCCTGTCAGCTTCTTTGGGTTATCGCTTTTTAACCAGATTTGACTTTTTGATACCCTTTTCTTTTTCTCCTATTGATTAATTCTGCCTCTTTTCTTTTTTTTCCTCTACATAAGTTGTCTATATAATCACAATAAGATGGTTTCTTCAACCGTTGTCTTGAAGGAAGACCCCGACGCCGCCCTGATGAAGGCAATGCATGGCAAGTCCGCCGAAGAGAAAAACGCTTTCTTCGCCATGCTCAAGAAGAACAACTCTGCCCACCGCGAGATCACAAATGAGTATGTGCGTCGATGGAAGGAAGAGAAGGGTATCGACGCGACCACCGACGAGGCCCGAAAAGAGCGAACGACCGAGTACATGGGCGTGGTCAACAAGTGAGTTTCACAACCCTGTACTTGAAAGCCGAATCATCGTTGCAGACAGCTGATCGTTCGGTGCACGGTAGCTATTATGATCTAGTCACGGACTTTTATGAAGAAGCGTGGGCCCAGTCGTTCCATTTCTGTCGGTTCAGTATCGGCGAGCCATTCCTCCAGGCGCTAGCACGACACGAACATTACCTTGCGTATAAACTGGGCATCAAAGGGGGCATGGAGGTGCTGGATGTGGGCTGTGGCGTGGGAGGTCCTGCTCGTGAGATCGCTCAGTTCACGGGGTGTCAGGTGGTAGGCGTCAACAACAATGCATATCAGATTGCTCGGGCCACGAGGTATGCAGAGAAGGCTGGCCTGGATGATCGGGTTTCCTTCTTCAAGGGAGACTTCATGGTAAGCGTCCACCCAGACCATCTAAACCCCTCGCACACTCTCGCTGACGACGATACAGCATCTGGACTGCCCGCCTAACTCCTTCGACGTTGTATATGCCATCGAAGCTACCGTGCACGCCCCGAGTCTGCAGAAGGTGTACGAACAGATCTTCCGAGTTCTCAAACCAGGCGGCCGCTTCGGAGTATACGAATGGGTCATGACAGACAAGTTTGACGAGTCGAATCCCGAACATCGAGCCATTCGGTTGGGAATTGAACGTGGAAACGGAATCGTGAATATGCGGACGCGAGCCGAAGCAATCGAGGCCATCCAAGCGGCCGGGTTTGTGCTGGAGTATGAAGACGACCTAGCTGAGCGACCGGATCCCATCCCCTGGTACTATCCCATTGCAGGCGAGCTGAAGTACACGAGAAGCTTGTGGGATATGCTCACGGTCCTGCGCATGACGAAGTTCGGACGAACTGCCATGGGTCAGCTGTTGTGGGCGATGGAAACTATGCGGCTTGCGCCTGCTGGAACGTCGGAGACTGCACAGGAGCTGGCTGATGGCGCTGATAACCTCGTGAAAGGGGGGCAATTGGGCTTGTTTACCCCGATGTACTTGGTGATAGGAAGGAAGCCTGCGATATAGCGAAAGTGATGTGGAATATTGTATAGTAATAAAACTTTTAATGCCCCGATTAGTTCCACCATGTCCCCGTGATACTGAAAGAGCAGCTGAATGATGCCAGGAATTGACTCAGGTTTATAATGTCAAATTCTGATTGGCCCTCAACAAATCAGGGTTGTATAGTGTAATGGTTAGCACATCGGATTCTGATTCCGGTAATCCCGGTTCGATCCCGGGTACGACCTCTTTTTTTTTGCTTTTTCTCTTTCTTCCTGACCTGTTATAACTTCAAGGCGGTTGATTCCTAATTTCGCTTTTGCTTTTGTCAATTGACTGCGGACTCTGTTGTCGTCTTTCTCGCACGCATAGTCGGACTGGAACTCGAACACTGAACTGCCTAATGTCAATGCTTTCCAGCCATCACTTTTTGCTCTCCCATTTTTGTTCTTTTCCCTCATATAGATCATGCTCGAATCCAGTCCAGGGCGTATGCCAGTGAAATATATAATCCACCAGATGACTCCGTTATATCTCTTGGCCGAGGAGGTATCCCAATCCTTGAAAACTTCGTGCTTGACAGACACCGCGGCGACCGAATATAACCAAACAAACAGGCATGCCGGAAAAATTCTATCAGGGAAGGTAGAAAACTACCGTGTTTCATATTTGATTTATCTATGGAGGTTGGCGACCCAGGAAAAAGACATCATTCGCAACACCACACGTATGAAATGGCAACAGAGAGACTGACTATTCGATGATGAAAGTGGTCAATAACTTACACCCCAGCCCATCACCCATTATCCAAACGCTGGCGATTGCGAAGGCATCCAGAGTTTCAAGGTAGGCAACTGTTACAACAGCTGTTATTGGAAAGAAAAAAGAATTGGTAGAGGCCCCGATTCCATATCGACTGTCCCAGCACAGCACCTCGCTAGGAACGCATAGTCAACATATCTACATAGAAATGGACGTGTACGTTTCTCTTTATCTATCGTGTCCTAGCCACGAAGGGTCGTTTCCTCTCGAATAAAACAGACAACCCCCCTCCGTCTTCAGCACATATAGCAGGTTCATTACTATACCCGCCACACCTAGCAGGATGAAGGCTCATATTCACGCGTTATTGACAGCCTTCCTCCGAATTGGCGAGGAGTACCCCTGCATGCTCTAACTTGTGGAACAGGTACGCGCCAGCCACCGAAGCAACGGACAGGCAGATGAGAAGATACGTGAAAACAATATCCTGATACCTTGACCTAATTCCTACCATCACAGCACTTCTCCCTCATCTCCACATTATCACACAACGAAGCCCTCCAGTATGAGAATGGAATATGACGACGTCGCCTGGGAACAGAGCGATCAAGTCTTCGACGCCTTCAAGCAGAAGATCACCAGCCCTGATGTGCTCCTCGCAGTCACCCGCTTCATGGCAAGCCACAGGGACTGGGCCCGACCCGTTGACCGAGCCCGCATTGCAGGCCTGGGTGCATTCAATCTATGTTTCCGCATGGTCTTCGAGGACGGGTTCTCCTCCCTCCTCCGTTCCCCATGTCCGGGCAGAGTGATGTTCGCAGAGGAAAAGGTCCGAAACGAGGTTGCTGTCATGACCTTCTTGAAGGAGAACACACGCGTGCCCGTCCCAGACATTATCCATCATGGCATGGGAGACGAGAGTCCCGCGGGACTAGGCCCGTTCATCCTCATGGAGTATGTTGAGCATGTATCGAATCTGGCAACGCAGATACGAGCCCCGGAATATGACAAGGGTGATCGCCCGATCCTGGACCCGAACATTGAAGAGGAGAAGCTTGAGTTTTTCTACGCCCAAGTAGCCGATATCCTGCTGGAGCTATCCAAGCCGTCTTTTGATAAAATTGGCTCGCTGGCTAGAGATGCGAGGGGCTGGAATATCCCCAACCGGCCACTGACCATGAATATGAACGAGCTCGTTCAGCTGGGGAATTTTCCAGCCAGGTTGCTGCCATAGACGCCCTTTACAACCGCCTCGTCGTATTATCAGAGCCTGGCCGAGACCCAGTTTAGGCATCTAGCAACGCAACGCAACGACGCCGTTGAGTCGGAAGAAGACTGTCGCGCCAAGTATATTTCCAGAAAGCTATTTTGCAAACTAGCATGGGAATCACGTCTTCGTGACAATACCATGCCCGACGACGGCCCATTCAAGCTCTTCTGCGACGACCTGCGTCCAACCAACATTCTTCTCGACGCTGACATGAAAATCGTCGCAGTTATTGATTGAGAATTCACATATACTGCCCCCGCAGAATTTGCATGCACCCCACCGTGGTGGTTACTGTTGGAAATGCCGGAAGAATGGCCCCGTGGAATCTCGGACTGGACGGAAACCTATCGGCCACGCCTCGAGACCTTTCTTCGGGTGCTCAAATGTCGAGAGGACGTTGCTATTGCCGATGAAAGCTTGGTTGAAGGACAGCGTCTTTCCGAGAAAATGCGAGAAAGCTGGGAGCATGGGGACTTTTGGGTCAACTATGGTGCTAGGAAGAGTTGGGCGTTTGATGATGTATGGCCGATGATAGACGCGAAGTTGTTCGATGGTGATACTTCGATGCATAGCGAGGAGAAGTTGGAGTTACTTGGGGAGGAGGACAGAGAGGCAATAGGGCCCTTTATCCAGAAGAAATTGGAAGATATGAAGCAGCGGAAGTTAGACGACTGGGATGCATAGGCTGCTTAGAGACGCCTGGGGTGTAGATTTACTAGACATAACACCGAGATATCATCCCATCTCCGAGGTCATCATGTTCGCTGGTAGAATAATATTGCGTTACCATGCCTGGATCAAGTCGTGGGAATTCGAGATGATGATATGGCCCTGACACTTGGTGCAGGGTGTACTTCTTCCCTCGAAGGAAGTTTTGGAAAAAGTAATCCTTATGTTGAGCAAAAGTACAATGGCCAGAGAACTCATATCCATAAACATAACCATACCACGAAGACGCCTACCCACCGTATACCAGCAAGAACTCTAGGTCAATATTCTCTAGCCCACTAGTAAAGTACACTACATACGACGCAGACACAAACCCTACCGACATCTACAATGACACTAGATCGAAATCCCAGACACACACACACACACACACACACACAACAATCCAACACAACAACACCACAAAGAACCCTGAAAGCAATGCAAAAGAATGATCTAGGCTTATATAGTCAAATAAATTGCGGCTTTTCAACAACTCAGGTTGTATAGTGTAATGGTTAGCACATCGGATTCTGATTCCGGTAATCCCGGTTCGATCCCGGGTACGACCTCTTCTTTTTTGTTTTTTATTGTTTGTCTTCAATTGTTTATCATTGGGATGGGCAATGTCTTGTTGATTAATGGGCGGGGAAGAAGGTGTATTGTGTATATAAATGGTCATGGATGGTTTTCTCTGGATATTTGGGTCAGTTCAAAGTCAAACCCTAACTTCAAAAGGCATGGCTGTTGGGTACAGTACTTCATCACCTCTTAATCGAGCATCTAAATTAATGGAGAATAGAATAATAAAAGCATGTCAGATAAGTTGATTGAAACTTCCAGACCAAGAAAATATAGACACAGAATAGAAACAATAATGTACAAAGGTTCCTTGTTCATAAATCATAAATACTACCGGTATGATTAAACTTTAACAATACCGCTATGGATAAAACCATCCAACACCCCCTTCCGCGTTCCTCAACACATGGGCCGTAGAGATGATTAGGAAGAGAAAAAGCGGCAGCCGGTGGACTGAAGTTAGGTCACTTGTGCATCCTAACCCTGGGGAACTGAGGAGACGATGGTCGTCAAGGGTATCGGAGCGTGATAGGCTTTTTGATAAAGGGTCCCAAGGTATAACGAGGATGCTTTGCGTCAAGCATCTTCGGTCCTCAGTAGTCCATCTTTCTCTTCGTTGCGATTGCTGTTCACTTGTCGCAATTGAGTTCATCCACGTCCTCCTATAAAAATAGATCAAGTGTTCCCCAACGGATGCTCTGCCTCGAATCAGGACAGGTCCGCCATTCCTTCTTTTTCTATATGCCAATGCAATGGTCATTAAACAAGCGTCATTTCCTTTCTAAAGCACAGCGAGTGAAGTGCATGTGATAAGGCGCCTCTGTACTTCCCCCCATGTATCCCCCAGGCGCCAAAGATGTTGTGAGCGATCGACACGAATGGTAAAAAAAAGTGGTGAAAAATATGTACCCGACCGAGCGGAAGAAGAAAAGATAAAATGCTCGGCCAGTCGTTGAAAGCGAAAGACATTATTTGGAATTGGACAAGAAAAAAAAGTCCATTCTGGGTGACCCAGAGAAGAAGTGTACAAGCGAATGTCTCCAACAAGGAACCTGTGCAACTCAAGACATTAATGAAGCCGAGCGTTCGGTATTAAGATTATTGACGGAGCTTCGAGAGTTGGGCGTAAAGAAACGCTGCATTGCAGCCCAACCGGTGTCACAAAACGTATGCATGTACAGTAAAATAAAAATCGAGGGGCGGTTAAAGAAATCCAATGGCGTATCCAGGCGACCGAGTCCAAAAACCCCAGAGGTGCCGATCCATTAAGCCGGATAGTGCCGAAAGGATAAAAAAGCGTATTAAAAATATATGTGTCGAAATCTGCTCGATGCAATAAGAAACCCAGCATGTCGTTAAATGTGTCAACGCCGTTTCATAGATAGATGCAAATAAACAAGCGGATGCAGTATATGCAAATCACGGGCTGATGACGTGTCTTCCGGATTCGATATCAGACGCAGGCGAGGCCAGAGTCTCGCCTTCCCAAGTATAATGGTCGTCAATGGGGCTCAAGGAGCCGGACGAGATCGACGACGAAGAGCCGACCGTCCACTCATCGCTGTCGAGGTTGTATTCGCCGTCGGCCAAGTCATATCCGTACTCCCGGGTATAGTCGCCGTATTCGACATAGTCGTAATCCCAACGGAACATCTTGTCGCTCTGAACGCGGGGGAGGAAACGAGTCTTGGCGAAGTAGAACGCGATGGTGGCGATGAGACCACCGGCGACCAGGTCAACCGCGTAGTGGTGAGAAAGATACATCGTGGCCCACCACATCCACAGAGTGTAGGTCACGAAAAGAGGCTTCAGTCGCGGGAAGACATGGCTCATGAACAGGGCAGCCAGTGTCGAATCAGCAGCGTGCAGAGACGGGAACGCGCCAAACACGACGGGCGACTGCTTGAAACCGGAGGTATACAGGTCGATGCCGAAGAGCTTGTCAATCCGGGCAAGACCCGCCGGGTTACCCTGCATGGAGTAATCGGCAGGAGCCAAGCCATACAAATTCTCATACCACGGGGGCGAGCAAGGGAAGGCCAGTTGAATCGTGACAGCAAGCATGCTGATGTACCCAAAAGTCCGAGCGAAAAGAGGGGTCGTTCCGGGAGGTCCGAAGACGAACATGATGAGCGAGCAGACAAAGGGAGCGCCGTAGTGGCAGATTCCGTAGGGAAGCCACGCCAACACGTCCAGCACGACGTTCTGGTGGGCAGACAGAATATTACTGATGTTGGCACCATACAGAATATTCTCCAAGGCCGGAAGCACGCGGACCCAGATTGCAGGGCGCCAATCGCTGGGAATGAACCTTTGAGATGATAGTCAGCATCCGTTTCCCCTGATTCAATAATGATCGGGCGCATCAAGGACCAGGGTTAACTCACTGGCAAGCGTAGAAGAACAGAAGCCAGCCGGCAATCGGCAGAAAGGGCAGGAAGAATTGGCGAGTGATAGGGAGCAGGAGCGAGAACAGGAGCATAGTAAAAGCAGCCGTTTTCGCCAGAGGCCCCGGCGCTTCGATGACAGTCAACGAGAAAATTCCAACAATCAACAGCAGCAAGTATTGGAAGTCGTAGAGGGTCCAACGATGACTTTGTAGCGACCTGAGCGTGTCGACGGGCGAGAAGGACGTCTGCAGAGAGGATATCGACGAGGTGGGCGAAATCCTACTCCGCAACTTGGACCGAATCTTCCGTCGCATGCGATGCGGCACCAGGAGCTGAATGGAGCGCCATGGGACCTGAATCTGAAGCTTGCCGAACTGGTTTTGCGTCCGATCCTTCCAGGAAGGAAGGGTGGTGTTCATTTTTGCGGCAAATCTGACAGGAGTCCTCCTTGTATAACCCTCGAGTGTTGATCTTCTCTCAAATTGACGCGGAAGAGAAGATTGGGAATGAGAGTTGAAAGGGTCGAGAAGATTCCCCCCAGGGCGGAGTTGACGGAAAGGGGGGCGCTGGCTCTAGGCGTCAACGTGACACTCTTGTTTGAAAGGAGGTCCTCCACGAACGTTTCGATCGCTGGCAGGTACACGCCCACCAAAGCCTCGTCTGGCGGAGATATAATAAACAAGGACTGATGAGTTATAGTTGGGAGCGCGAGTCCCGGTCTCCAGCGGCCAAACGAGGATCACGTTGCAAGGGCCTCTCTGACGCAAGGCGGCGGACAGTAAGGAGACGAAAGAACCAGGAACGAGGTCAATGGCGAAAGGGGGGCGCAACTGGCCACGGGAGCCGGAGAAACAGCGGAGAGGAAGGGAAAGCTGGAGGGCGAAGGAGGCGGAGGTGAAGAAATTAGGATGAGAGACAAAGATAGGACGAGAGAGAATAAAAGAAGAGGAGAGCGACGAGGAAGAATTTTGCAGGCGCCGGGCTGGAAGCGCCAGGTGAAGAGCGACGGGGCGACGGACAACGACGGGTACGGCTGACGGGGGTTTGGCCGTACGCCGTACTGGTAATACCGGTTTGTGTCGTCACGACTAACCTGATCGGGGCGGTCCCGGCACTGCCACTAGTGCATTTTGGGTAATCCAGGATTGGCCCTGCACCTCTTTGGGCTTAGTCAAGCCGAGGCTGCGTGCCTGAACGGATTATGGGCAGATTTTTTCTTTTTTCTTTTTCCCGCGACGGATGCTACGGAGGATTTGGTATCTACTAGTTGGCCTGAGGCAGCCCCCCCGAGCGGAGAAAGAAAGAAAATATTAATAAGAAAGAGAAAATTTTCTGAAAGACCTTTGACCTTTGACCTTTGACTCAAACCTCAACGCCCCATAAGGCATAAATCAGGTTATTGTGAAATCCACGGATGCAGCGGAAGCATCGGAGGAATCGGAGGTAATCGGTGCCGAGCAACATGAAAATGTGAAAATGTGACAACAGTAGCAGTAGCTTCGAACAACAACCTTACCTTACTCAGGAGCTCTTGTTAGGAACTCAACCTCCCAGCCGCCTCGTACTCGCATTAACTATTGGCAGAGAGGAGATTTTAGTATTTCCCCCAGCAAGAGGGCCTAGAGAGAAAAAGAAAAAAAAATTAATAACCAGGCGATACGCCCCAAATGCCCCTTGGAAATGCAATTGATTGCAGGATCTTTCCCCTGATGATTGGTACAGACATCCCCGCCGTGCAGAGACGGTAGCCAACGAGGGACCGAAGATCTCCAGAACCAATTTCGCTTAATCCACAACGGTTGCACAGTCAGCAGCCCGTCGGCCAAAGAAATCGCCGTCCTACGGCCAAGTCCCGCTGTCCCTGAATAGTCTCGTTGGTCATAATAATTCGATCTCCCAAGGCAGAGCTCTCCTTACGGAGGCCTTGATCCATGGATGTACACCGAACTAATGTCCAGGATACCGGCGAAAAGAAAAACAATCAAAGTATAAACACTTTGAAACAGCTGGGGAATCGTGCACCTACGAAGGGAGAGGTTTGTTTATCCCCGTAGACTAATCATTTGCATCATAATAGTGACAGGAATGTACCCATTATGCGGAGTACATTTATTGTCCTACGGACTACGGAGTCGATACGTCGTCACTCGAATTCCGATCGTAAGACTGTACTCGAGGTCTTTATGTATCAAGCTCGGACAATAGCCGCAGAGGCCAACAGCTAGCTGCGACATAGTCCTCCATAGTCAGCCAACATCTACCTTAGTAAGTTAGTTGGCGTCCCTAGCTCTCCCCAACCCGTCGACTATGAAAAAGTCTATCCATACCAGCCATCTCAATAATAATCATTCCTTGACTGTCAGACCGAGCAGCTGCAACGATAATTCCTCTGAAACAGCTGTCATCTTTGTTCCACCTCGAAACCATGCACCTGCATGAGGACCGGAGGATGATGAAAGACATACATTCATTCATACATCAACACATATCTACCCCAGACAAGAATCTTAAGGCACTCTCAGTCTCTCACCTCGTATCCTCTCGTAATTAGGTAAACAAACTGACCTCTCATGCTCAGACTGACATTTGAGAAAGAGAATGATGTGCAGGTCTAGAGGTAATAATTGGGCACGCGAAACCATACCCAAAATGGAAAGGGAGCGGTTAGAATTACCGTCCCATACGGTACGGCAGACCCGCCGTACGATACGATAGAAAAGATGATCACGGCAAGCCGCACCGGAGAGGATGATCAGTCTGCATCCGAGAGGTGCATAAAAATATTAAAAAAAAGGAGGGAATTGGAGAACTGAGCAATTAAGCTTGGATGCAGTCCTGGCAGCTGACCGGGGCACACGTTCCCTTTGGTGTTTTACAGTTTTGACTCCATCTTAACGGCAGCTCGAGGGCTCCTTACTTCCGCTTACGACAAATCGTACTGAAGTTTCCGCTTTGGCCCCAACAGGTCTCCCCCCTTCCTACCTCTATCCTCGCCCTAAGATTAAAGGATGCCAAAGTCTTGCGATCGGCCTTTCTGGTTGATTTGAACACCACGTATCCTAATATCCCCAGCAGGCAGTGCATACGTACTATTTAATTTGACGGAGTCCTTCTATTCCCATTCTATAATAATTCTGACCTCGTATTCGTTCAGCGCAGGGCTACGCAGACATCAGATGAAAGATAGACAAATAGACGATGATTAATGTTGGTTGCCTGGCCCTGGGTGGGTTCGCCGGGAATTATGAGAGCTTGGGCCAGCCGGCGCCAAGCTGGAAAAACGAGAGGATCAGTTGAGGCCTGGAGATCATCCACCACAACAAGCTGGGCAGCGTTGGATTACTTGATTCCCTTGTGCCTCTCCCGAAGTATTGTTGCCATACTCCATCAACATGTTCCCAATCTGCTTTCTTTTTTTGTGGCGCGAAAAATTAATCTATTATCCCGCTCTTAACAATCTAGAATTCTCGATAGATTGATTACCGGATATGCTGGTATCCCACCGTTCCCGTGCATTACATCATGGCCGTTAGACAGGGAACAGTCAGGTCGAGTACATCATAGTACATCATCGATATCAGGATACCCGTGGATCCCAAACTTGCGCTTCTCGTTCGGGAGAGACACATACCTGCAGCCGACATGAAATCTGCTGATACGACTGTCTCCCCCTCTTTTTCAACCGAGCTTTTCTTCAACTTTGGCCGTGGCTGACCGACTCGAGGGGGACTGGTTGCATCAGGTGATGCTAGCCGCCCGCATCCTCGAATGGCGAGTCAGTCTGAATCCTGCGTGAGGTCATCCCGCAGATATTAACTCAATCACGGTCGTTTGGTCTGGATAGATGGAGCACGCCGTCGCTTGAAGGTGATTCATAACATTGTCACGATCTATGGCGACCTGTTGTGTCCTGTTCGCCGAACAAAGTTCGGCGAACTCCATTGAGGTTGCCTTTGGGTTCCCCAGAACAAGATGAACCTCTCAACCAGGATTCCCATCTTGCACATCCTGCAATCAGCTCTCCAGGTGGCAGATCGGATCTCATTGGTCTAGAATAATCGATCAGCGAATGTCGTTCACAGTGTAAGATAAGAACTCCGCAAATCAAAAGTAAATTCATTGCCCTTTCCCCAGGTGGGTAATCGAGAGTAGGATTTCTTGTATTCGTACCTGTCTCATACCCTTACACAAGGGAACAACGAGGAGATTCGAGGCTGAATCACATTAATTTGTTACACCTGCCTGATGTCGCACGAGGCAAGGTACCTTGCAAAGTGGTCCATGCGTTGACAACACTCAACGACCGTGTTTAGGCTCAGGCCCAGGAGCAAACAAGGGCTGAGATTCTCAAGCCGACCGATTGTCTCAGAAGGCCTTTACTAGAGATGCAACCCAGACTTACGCTCGGTCCGCAAACCTAATGATCTCGCTCCAAGCTTCTTACCTCATTTCCCTCCTTGAGTTTCCTAGAGTAGATATAAAGCCAAAAGTCTTGCCGATTTAGCATGAAATGGCAACGTGGGTGAGTGGTTAAGCCGTAAGACTCGAATTAATTCGACGATATCTTATCCCTTCGGGGTCGCAAGTTCGAATCTTGTCGTTGTCGATTTTCTTTTTTTTTTTCTTTTTCTCTTATATTGAACTGATATATGACTGTTTTTTTATCTCTCTCTCTCTACCGTATTACCAATAATAATGGTCGCGCCCATGCGGACTTCGCAAATGGCAGAGTCCAACTATCATCAAATCCATCTACATACTACATAACCAGCCACCTCAGGAGCAACTAATCAACCCTAATTTCCTCAGCAGGGCTCAACGGACCTGACCCATTCCATACGAAAGGAGCACAGTAAAAACAATACCACTGTCATCCCTTTCGTATCCAATACGAACCCATACGGTGTACATACATCCATCCCTACAGTACTACCCAATGAGACAATGACATCCCAAGCACCCTCCCTCGGAAATAGGGCGCAGCACATAGCGAACCACCCCACATAATTGGCGCATCTGAAACGACAAGGCATTCATTTCACTCTACCTAGCAGGCGCCCGTCAGTAATAGTCACTACTAAGTAAAAATGAGGCGCTGCTGGCATCTGCCCGTGGCAGTGCCCCTTGCCAAGTACGTAGTCTCCGACGAGAAATCCTTCCGCCTAAACACACCTCACTATTAACACTAGGCTAAACGGAATGAAACGAACAACTTAAGACGAGATGAGATCATCGGTTCTTTGTCTTTGCAGAATGCGCTGGATCCACGGTTCTGGGCCCTAGGGTGGATATTCTATTCCCACCCCTATCAAGGGCGAAGCGGCTACCTACGTAGGTGTTGATTTAAGAAATTGGGGCGCGGCGGCGGCGTGGAATGTGGCTTGGACATTCTTCGCTTTTTTCGTGCCCTTCTGGATGGAGGCGTAAAGGTTGAGTTGAGTAAGTAAACATTGGGCGACGTATTCGTGGGTCTCCTTGTAAGGTTCTTCGTAGAACGAACGGAAATAGAATGGAGGGAACAGTTAGTTATATGGATGCCTATAAGTTGGCGGTGTTGCAGGTGGGTGGTGGTTCTATTTTGGTAAGTAGATTGACCGTTTGCGATCTATGAGATGGACTGGTCTTGGCCTTGGCATTTGCTTCTATGGCCGTGAGCTTGATGATGGTGTACGGATCAAAATTGAGGTAATAGAAAGAGGCGAAGATGATCCTATGCATCAATCTCGAGTGCATAAGTACTGTAACCCTACTGTGTACTCCGTACATGGGCAAGTGAGGGGGCGTAAATTGCCAACAGAGATCCTTGCATTTGGGCAGACAGTTAGATTGGATTTAATAGAAGTATGCGGGGTCAATGAAATGAAATACTGTTCAAGCCCCTGTGGCTTATTTTCTATGTGTTGTTGTGGTGCCCCTTGCTCTTTTGAGCGGTTTGATTGTTGAACAATGTACGGTAGACACAAGGACTAAAAATTCCACAAACGAAATTGTACTCATACGGTCTTCCTGACTTGAACTATGGCCACCTGCAAAGATGCCCATGTATATACTAGGCTGTTCTCCGCGGACATCTTTCTACCACGGCAAGACCCGTCTATAGAAAGAAAGAATCCCCGCATTGGGAACGGGTGCAACCCTAAAGCTACCATGCGGCATCATGTAACCTACGTCATCCAGAACAACCCAGGATGGATAGACAGGACGTCGTTCTTGCTCGACTCCCTGAATCCTCCACCGGTGCATTTCCTAAACCGTCAAATCCATGCATGGTGGTCGTGCTGTGTCTCAGCTGCACATCACCGAAGCCATGGTGTCCGCTTTTAGAAGATTTCAAGAAAAGGCTATCATTCATCGGTCTATTGTTTACGACTCAAACGGATATCCAAGAAGATACACATCCACAGATCGTTACCGGTCGAATTTATCTTTCCTATCAAAAAGCTTGACCTATGATGGACATCGAACATCCCACATGAAATCGCTTCAATCATGGCGATGGACTTATTCTTCCGTCGGGATTATTATCCCAGACAGATGATGCAGATCCGCTGGCTTCCCCGCATGGCCTGATGATAACCAAGTCCTCATATTTCAAAGGCTGTAAGCACTCGGTAGAGAACTGGAAAGTTCAATGATTCAAGACGATTGACCACTATGATGATACGTAATCTTGTACTCATGCTCTCTGCTGCGACGGCTACCGCACAGCCGAACCATACAAGTTGTATGAGCAATTCTCGGCGATTCATCAAACACCTCGCTTACTAGAAACAGTGGTTCAGCCCCTATACACTCCTCTTACCCTAGGCTCCATCAAGCCGCAGGGATGGCTCAAGGACCAGCTCGAGCTTGGAGCCAACGGGCTTGGGGGCAACATGTTCGAGTTTTACCGCTTTGTTCATAACTCCCGATGGATTGGGGGAGAGGACGAGTATTCCGGACTCGCTGAGGCCTCTCCGTATTGGTTCAACGGAGTCGTGCCGCTGGCTTTTGGGCTGGATGACGATAGATTGAAGGATCAGGTTAGGTATTACCTGGATTACGTGCTTGACCATCAGCAGGAGGATGGCTGGCTCGGATTCGAGACCACGCCCCAGGAGCGAGGCCTCTGGGGAAGATGTCTACTCCTGCTCGGTTTGATTGTCAGCATGAGTCTCCCAAAGCAGGGAATAGGAGCTAATATCCATAGCAATATGCGGAAGCCGATCCGACCCAGACCGACAGGATCGTCGACGCGATGCATCGGTACGTTCGGATCGCGCATAGTATGCTCCAGAACAACTTCACCGGATTGATCCAGCACCCTGGCGACACCTTTGATGCATCGGGGTTTGGCGCTGGGCGCACCCATGAGCTTCACATCCCCTTGCAATGGCTGTATGAGAAGTATCCGCGGAACAATTCTCGACTGCTCTGGGAGACGATGGACCTCATGATTGCTGGCGGCATCAAGGCTGAGGCGGACTGGAGAACTTTCTGGGTGCCGGATGCCTATCCGAAAGCGCTGAAGGGTGATGACTGGGACATGAGCTGGGTTTTCATTCACGGCGTGAACATGGCCCAAGGCATGCATCTTTGTCCCGCCCTCATACCACGGCTCCAGCTGATGAATTCTAGGTCTGCGGTACCCCCTGGCTGTGTACCGCAACACGCACGAGGAGAAGTTGAAGACTCAGACGCGGACGGCGTTGGATCTCCTGTCTCAATATCACACATCGCTGGCCGGAGCCATCATCGCCGATGAGTACATCACCGACCTGAGTCCCACCAAAGGCTCGGAGCTCTGCATTGCCGCCGAGATGATGTTCTCGCTGAACTGGATCTACCAGTACCTCGGGGACAACGACATCGCCGACTGGGCCGAACTGGTGGCATTCAATGCGCTCCCGGCTGCCATTTCCCCGGACTGGTGGGCCCATCAGTATGTGCAGCAGGAGAACCAGCCCTATGCCCATCCTGTGGACCCTGAAGTGTGGACTATCAACGGTCCCCGCGCCAACATCTTCGGCCTCGAGCCGGAATATGTAAGAACCACCCCCATCTCCTTCATGCAATGCACAAGTTCCTGTCTGACTCTGTTCAGCCCTGCTGCCTGGTCAACCATCCCCAAGCATACCCCAAATTCCTCGCCAACCAGTTCGTCCGCATCGCCGAAGGTCTCGCGCACATCTACCTCACCCCGGGCACAGTCTCCACGACCCTCGACAAGAACAACCAGGTCTCCATCTCCGTCGACACGCAGTATCCCTTCGCCTTCAACTGGACCTACACCATCACCAACTCGCATGCCTTCCCCTTCTCCATCCGCATTCCCTCCTGGGCAGGCCCCGAAAGCCGCATCCAAATCAACCGGCAATCTCCCAAGCCCCTCTCCCCCTCCCGCCAGGGACTACACACGATCTCCATCCCCGCCAGTTCATCCCCCACAACCATCACCCTCACCCTCGCCACCACGCCCCGCGTCATCACCCTCCCCAACAACACCGCCGCCATCTACTACGGCCCTCTCCTCTTCGCCCTCGCCGTCTCCAACTCCCCCACCAAATCCCCACCCATCGACTACACCAACATCAACACCACATTACCCACAAACACCACCTCCCCGGGCCACACCTTCGACATAACCCTCCACCCGACCTCACCGTGGAACGTCGCCATCGACCCCTCGCAGATCGAAATCGTCTCGAAGAAGGTCGATCGTCTGCAGAACCCGATCTGGGACCTTGGGGCGCCGCCGATCGAGCTGCGCGTGGCGGCCGTGCAGATCGATTGGCCGGTCAAGTATGGGACTGCGGATGAACCGCCCGTGGATGTGAATGTGACCGGGAAGCCGTTTAGTGCAAGGTTTGTGCCGTATGCGAGTGCGAAGTTGCATATGGCGAGGTTGCCGGTTGTGAAGTTGGAGAGGGTCGATTTGAGGGGTTGATGTGGTTGATTTGTTTAGGATGGATGAGATGAAGTTCTTATGGTTGTTGTAGTTGGGGTTATGGTGTTTGTGAAAGGGGATCGTGTGTGTTGGTGATAGTAAATAGGTGCTTATAGGTGCATGTAGTAGTCATTGGTATCTGTAGTAGTATCGTATATCACATATCAATAGTCAAGTGTTTGACTGTGGGCGATGAATGCAATCCGTGTGCATCTAGATATGTATATGTACATATTCCATGTACACTCGAGACTCTCTGTCTGTTTCATCTCGGCTCCGTATAATCCAATCCAACCCGCTTTCCTCCCAAAACCCCAAGCAAAATAAAAAAACCCTACGAACTCGCCAACATCTGAAACCCCTTCACCAACCCCATCGCCGAGCCCGCCGCAATCCCACCCACAAGAACCATCTGCACGCCACCCACAACGCCGCCCCTTACATTCCTCTTCCCCGACCACCCACTCACAAAACACGTCTTGCCATACCCGAACAAAAACAAAGCCACGACCATCGTCGCAATCGACCACTTCAGCGCGAGATAGGCGTCTGTCGGCCCGACGAAGAAATACGGGACTAGGGGCACGAACCCGCCGATGAAGTAGCCGAGGGCGATGGTGAGGGCGCAGACGAGGGCGCGGGAACCGGACGGCTCGGGCATCGTGTGGTGGAAGTTCATGAGGAAGGAGGGGAGCATGGGGGAGGTGGAGAGGTGGGCGGTTAGTTCGGAGACGAGGGCGGGAGGGAGGTCGTAGGGGTCGAAGATTGAGGTTATGGTATCTGTGGTGGAGGAGGGGTCGGTGAGGATGGAGGTTGAGGTTTCTTGGTAGGTTGCGTGGTAGGATTGTCTGTTATTTGCGATCCCGGTAGGTTAGAGTCTGAGGTTTTTCTCTTTGGGGGAGGGGGCAGGAGATGAAGGGCTAGAAAAGGATAGCACTCACTCTTCACTCTTCGCTCCTAAATACCCTCCCAATCCCATCGAAATGGCTCCTGCGATCAACTCCGCCAGCCCGCCAAAGACCACGACCTTGGTGTCGCCCAGGGCTGAGAGACCTGCTGTGAGAGCGAATGGCACGGTCATGCCGTCCGACAAGCCGATGATGGCATCAGAGACGGTGCGGCCGTCGAAGAACCTCGACTCTTTCTTCTCGGGGCTGGATTTCGACTGGCCGGAGCTGGACTCGAGGTCGCTGCTAGAGTCATTTTGTAGGGGGAGCTGGAACTCTTTTTCTAGGTCGGGGGAGTATTCGGAGACGGGCGAGTAGCTGGAGAGGAGGCCCTTGAGGGAGGAGATAGACATTTTGAGAGGTTGTCTATCGAGATATGAGAGAAGGAGAGGGGAGGAGACAAAAGGTAGGTACGTTTAGAGGTGAGGATGTAGTAGTGAGTCTGTCTCTGATTGACAGAATCTCTCCGATGCAATAAATACTATGAACGAAGTCGCCCGACTCCACTTTGTGAGGTCAAGCACAACGGCAACTTGTAGAAGCGAGGTCGAAGAACTAAAAACCAGACATCCAAGAGTCAATCAGAGTGCGCAGGAGCGTCGCGTGTTCCTTATCAGGTGGCCTATCGAGGCAGAATGACCGACAACGTGCCGGAGGGGCTGGCGGTCATCTGCTGCGGAGGAGGGGAAGGTGCGGCACGTGGGCCTGTGATTGGTCTCGGCTCGGGGTTGCCGACCCACTTGCGGATGGAGACCCTGAAAGCTTAGGCAGCCAGCTAGTACTATCTGGGCAGGAGAGTGGACGCTGGCATTCTGCGGACTCCAATCAGGCGGGGGCAGATTATCCTCGGAGGATCTGGCTGGTGGACGCGCTGATGGGAAAGGGACCCGCTTCTGAGCATTCCAGTGTGATTGGCCTGGGCCCTTGCATTCCTGCATTTTGGTCTACATTCAAACATTGCCTTCCCGCCACATTGAAGGCTGTCGAGTATGGGCGGTAAGGGCTCTGCTTATTGACAACTGTCTGCCGTGACAATTCTCCGGGAGATACTTCTTCTGCTACCTGCCTGTTAGGAGATAGGCTCCATCGATTGCAATCTGTCTACGACACAGCTGAATCGCTCGGAGGTCTCCTATCGCTCACCGCGATATCATTGAACTAGTGTTTATGTATTGCTCACACGACCGCCGGAGTCCTCCGTACTTCTCCTGCAACGATATCTCACGAGGCTGGTGTTCCACCACGCGCAATGAATATCATGGGCATTACCTATCATCTGGCGGTGAAACCGCAGAATGGCCGTATCTCGATCCCTGCCACTTTGCATATCTTGCGGTGGAGGGCATCCTGCTGGAATGTCATCCGAGACGCGACGAGATACCGATCGATTGCGGATCGGTTGGAATGGAGATAAATATCGCCACGCCGGCAATGAGGACAGGCAGACCAAAGGGATCAATCATACCGGAACAAGCTGAGATGATTGAGCAACCATCATGAACTCGATTGTCACTTTACTGCCTGCGCTGGCCGCGTGCGCTTCCGCACTCCCTCACTCACAGAAAGACGGAGTCTGGAGTGATCTCCGATCCAATGTCGGTACCTCCTCATATAATATCACCTCACCTCACCGGCACTCCAACGCAGAGCAGACACATTGACCGTCCATTCAGATCAAACATGTCATCTACCTCATGATGGAAAACCACTCCTTCGACAACATCGCCGGATACTGGGACTTTCATCCGGACATCGACAATCTACGCAACGTCACCTACTGCAACGAGTACACCAACCCCAACTGGACGGTCTGGGACGAGCCGCTGGAGATCTGCGCCGCGCCTTTCGAGACCGAGGTGCCGCTCGCCGACCCGGACCATGAGTTCGCCGGCGTCACATACCAGATCTATCGGAAATGGGATGCCACGAACGACGACACCCCTAACATGGCGGGGTTCATTGAGCGGCAGTCGGAGAAGTATGGCGCCACGCCGGGGGAGGCGTCGTTCGTGATTAAGGCGTACGATGAGAGGAAGTCGGCAACGCTGGCGGAGATTGCGAAGAATTTCGCGTTCTGGGATTCTTATGTGAGTGCATCTAAAAGGGAATGAATTGGGTTGCTTGCAACGGGCTAAGGGCTGACTGACGAGAAAAGTTCGCGGAGCATCCGGGGCCTACGAATCCGAATCGACAATTTGCGACCTCAGGCTCGACCTGTGGATATCTGGATAACAATAACCAGGCTGCCGGGTTCTTTTACAATGTCACCGGGACGACGTGTGCGACTTCGATCTTTGAGGCGTTGAGTAACAAGGGCATTAGTTGGAAGAATGTATATCTGACAACCCCCGGCGAGCATGTCGAGTACATGATGCTGATATTGTCCTAGTACTACGAAACAGACATCATCGATGGATGGATGTACAAGGTCAGTATCCCCTCTTCACAGCTGAATTGTGCTAAGAATATGAACAGTGGGTTCAAGACAACGCCATGGACCGGCTCGCCCATGCCAGTGACTTCTATCGGGATCTGGAAGAAGAAACCCTACCTACCTTCTCCTACATCAACCCGGAATGCTGCACCATTGACTCCATGCACCCGAAGAGCAACATGGCGGCGGGCGAGCAGCTAATCAAGCACGTCTACGATGCAGTGCGGAAGTCTAAATACTGGGACAATGCGTAAGTTGACATTCATCTTTCGCCCGAGCACTTCTTTGTTAAGGGAACAACACTGATCAGAATAGCCTGATTATCATCAACTTCGACGAACACGGCGGCTTCGCAGACCATGTCCCACCGCCCGCGAACGTCCCTCGACCGGACGATCAGATTATTTTCGACGGAGAGTCGGAGGGACATCACGTCACGTATGATTTCACCCGGCTTGGTGTTCGGTGAGCTCCCCATCCCCATTCTACCTTATCATACTGGATTCAGGAAAACCAAACAAAGCATGAACATAAACTGACTAACCCCTCAGCGTCCCCGCCTTCCTCATATCCCCATACATCGAGCCCAACACGCTCATCCACGACCAAGGCACCATGTACGCCGAAGGCTCGGCCTACACGCACACCTCCATCCTGCACTTTCTGCAGGAACTCTGGGGTCTGGAGGGGTTGAACAATCGCGTGCAGTGGGCCAAGACGTTCGAGCATGTGTTCTCGCGGAAGAAGCGCACTGATACGCCGAAGAGGCTGACGACGCCGGTGTGGTATGGGGGGAGTTGGGAGCCGAAGCCGGAGCCGTTTTATTTGTTGAATCAGGATGAGAGTTATTATGCGGGGAGGGGAGGTTGATATATGTAGAGGTGTAGATGTGGGAGGAGTCGAGTCGAGGTTAAGGCGGTGGTTATACCCGAACAGTAGATGAAGATAGATATAGATACGGAGTGAATGATAGAAGAAATCAAATATTGGTAATCATTGAGGTATCATAATATAGCATCTTATCAAATGACATCGTCAAGAACGTCAAAATGGCACTGGTATCATACGTTCCTTTGCGTGGACAGTCAACCCTGAAATAAGAGGAAAACCGCCTGGACTACCTAGTCCGCGAGAGAAAACGGAGCTCTCTGCAAGAACCCACCATTCCACACCCAATCAATCTTCAATCCTTCTTCCCCGACTGCTTCCCCTCATCCGTCGACCCGGTCATATTCCACAGTCGACTCTTATACGCAGGAAACGAAGTATGATTCCACATGTTGACCAGCACGCTACACCTCGGTATTAGCACTCCATCCACGAACAAACCAGCAACAACAATGAACAGAAAAGGGCTTTCAAAGTGGTGAAAAAAAAAACGAACCTCTGACTCCGATCCTTATACTCCTCATCCTTCAACTCCTTCACGCCGACCTTCATACCGTCGCGCGTCCAGACAACGTTCTTCTTCTCCATCTTCGAGCGCGTCGTGCGCGTGACCTCCTGCGCGATACTCCATGCGATGTACCCGATCACGGCGATGACGGAGACGACGACGATGAGGATGATGAGGGGGATGATGCGGGCGCCCATGATGGATCGGTTCGCTTTCTCTTTCGTTCGGTCGGTCTTTGTTTCTTATCCTTTGCGAAGGAGGGGTAGGTTTGCGGATTGGGTGGGTTTGAGATTTGCGAAGGGTTTATCGAGAATAGCTAACTATGGAGACTAAGTGGTTAATAGGGACTTGTTATTGAGGATTGCTCTCGTGTAGGGCTGATGACGAGCGGAGCCGATCACGAACAGACCAGAAGATCGGGTTCGTGTTCCGGTTCGTGTTTGGGAAGGGATGACAATGACATAGTCCAGTAGTTACATACCTCAGTTGGGGTCACGTCGAGAGTAACTTATTAGGAACACAGATCAAGATCAGGAACAACTGAAGAGAGAGCAAGAAAGGAAAAGGGGTAATTAAAAGAATGTGAAAGAAAAAAGGACCCCAAGAAATCAACGCTGGTTCATCCGGTTTTTGGTTCGTCGCATCGCCAAGAATTCGGGGCCGCGGAGGGGAAAAGAAAAAAATAAAGAAAATGTTGGTGCCTGCGATGGATATTCTTAGATGACCCTCTCGCGTGCCTGTCGGGTCTGGGCTGGTACTTTTGGGTGCAATCTATTTGAACTCCATATGATTTCATTTTTAGTTCATTCTGAATTTGGTTTCTCCTCTTCTGACCTGCAGGACGAGTGCTTTTCCATTGGATCACGCAGATAATGGAGCGGGCGGTGCTGTCACAGCCTTGTTGACCGTTGCGGAGAAATCAACTGAACAATGTCATTCGAGGATCCTATGGAGTAGTGGGAGGATCTAGTCTATTCTAAACTACGAAGTGCTCTATACCATCGTCAAGTCGATCGAGTAGTCACAATCCTACAAACGGAGTCGTCCAGGCTCTCTCCAGCCACCCCGTAATCCAAACGTGCCACAACCCTAATTCAACCATGTTTGTATCCTCTGGTACCACGAATCATCTCCTCTCTCCAATGTCGATGAATGTGATCTTGTAGCGGTGTGCTTTGTATCGCCTAACCCTACATATTCCGTCCTGTATATAGTATAGCAGCGTTTAGCAACAGTACAAGACAGAGGCAAGATGAGATGACTGTGCAAATGCAACGTTTCACGAAGCCACCACTTCACCTATCTTCGCATCATGGGTGACCTGGCTTGGTATTTAAGCATGGCAGGACCGGGACTATCGAGGACTGCTCTCGTGGCATGCATCGGTTATGATCGAAATGGACACGATGCTGGTGTCTGTCCTCGTGGCCGTTGCCCTTCTGCTGGTGAGCTGGGTGTTGCCGAAGAGAAAATCCACGGTGGGTATTGCATTTTTAGACCAGAGGCTCAAGTTCAATATGGGACTGACTTGATATAGGTCGCCAAATACCCGGATCCCCCGATTATTCCTTTCAGTGTACGCACAGGTTCATTCTTGGGTGATTAGGGGTTCTCTCACATCGACTGATCGATTGACGGCAGAGCGAGGAAATCATCCGGAATCCCCATGAATGCTTCATGTATGGATTCAGACACTATGGACAAGTGTTTCGGTATTATGGCAATGGAAGCGTGAGCTGCTCATCCACTTTGCTAGCGTTTCTACTCATCGCTATTCAGTATCGATATATGGTCTCCAAGGAGCTGACCGAACGAGTCCTGACTGATGATACAACCTTTAGCTTTGAATTGGGTGTTGCAAAAGTGCTGCCCCCTCCCGTATTCTAGATTAACTGTACTGACTAAATGCAAGGCTTTGAAGATAAACCTCGTCTCCTGCTTCCACCGCGGCACTTTCCACTCGGACGTCGATGCCATCGTCACGGAAGTCACAGTCAAGCGTTTAAAATCAATCATACCCAAGAGTGAGAGGAGTCGCCAAGTGGTGCCATTCATACTGATCATGTCTAGTATCCCCTATCTTCCAACGTAACGCCGCAGAACTGGTTCAAATGCATGGAAATGAGCCCTTCGACCCGCTTCCATACCTGCAAAAGACAGTCGCCGAGGCTATTGCCGTGATTATCTTCGGAGATGTATGTCTGGCTCCTAGGCGTGAATTTACTGCTGATTCGATGCATCTAGGAGATCGCCCGGACTTGTAATCCCGATCTCATCGTCAATATCGCCGAAGGGGTGGCCAAGGCGACAGGCATGTTCCAGAATCAGTCAAGCTGGGGGAGAAAGTTTCCGACTTTGTATTCTTTCTATAGTTGGTGAGTGATCCCTTTATGTATAGCTAAACGTGCTGGCTTACATACTCTCCGGATTATAGGACCGAGCTCATTCTCTTCCATCTGATCTGGCGGTTCGGCAGGGAAATGGGTCCGACGGTATGGACTGCGCTGTCGAAGTTATCCAGCAGTCCTAGAGACAGCAAAGATGCAGATGACACCAACGTGAGTCCAGTCATCCACGATTAACCGAATCATTCTCATCCTATTAAACATCCTCCCAGTCCACCGTCCTCGCTGTCCTCGCCCGCAAACTCGCCTCCAAACCCGGCCACCTTTCCATCGCGTCCAAGATCTGGGCTATTACCTTATCCTTGGCGTTTATATTTGCATCGGTGCATCAAACGTTAGCACACCTCTTCCCTCGTCCTCTTTCCTAGCCAGGCACAGCTAACCGCGGACCTTATACACATGCATTCACACAAACAGAGTAGTCATAATGACCTACGTCGTCTTCGAACTCGCCCGCCACCCAGAATGCCAGGAATCCATCGTCCTCACTGACCTCTCTCCCTCCTCGCCCGTGACGGTCGACTCCCTCCGCGACGCCATCCACGCCGAGTCCTTCATCCGTGAGGTGCTTCGCATGAAAGGTGAGGCTATCACCACCGTGCGCAGTCCGCGCCATGATCTAGAACTCGCGGGGTATTTTATCCCGAAAGGTATGTCGTGTCGTGTCATTCTTTGCTATCACATCAACATCTACCTAGCAGATACAAACCATACCTTCTCTAATAAATCACACCTGTCCATACGAATGTCTAGGTAGCTGCTAGCTAACCAATCAATCATATGGATTGTATATCTATATAGGCTCCCTCCTCCAACCTATGGTCTACCCATCCAACCGATCCCCCGAGTACACAACCAACCCAGATACATTTGACGGGATGCGCTGGACGCAAAACCGTAAGCTGGCGACGACGACCGGTCCGGGACATTTGTCTTTCGGACTGGGTCGGTGGGCTTGTCCGGGGAGGTTTTTGGCTGTTGCGGGTGAGTTTTTTTCTTCTCCCCTCCCGGCTATCTCTCTCTGAATTACGAATCACGGTTAATGCCAACTAACAAAAAACCTATGTCTAGAAATCAAACTCGTCATATTGACCCTTCTGGCACAGGCGGACCTAGAACTGGTTGATGGGGAGTTTACATTAGCGGATAAGTTGAATATCGTGGGGACGCCGCCGAGGGGGAGGATGGTGATGAAGAGAAGACTAAGAACAGGAACAAGCGGAGGGAGAGTGAACTGATCATATCTTTTCATTTGGTTAAGGTTGAAAGTCTTTCTGGTTAATTGAGTTGATTTTGTTCGGACAGTTGAGAGTAGTTGAAGGCAGTAACGTAATCGGTAAGCGAGCGCCGCATGCAAGCGAGCGCCGCAGCTCACGCGTTTTGGCTCCGGTCGATAACCTCACTCAATTCAACTACCAGCCATGCCTCCAAAAGCGCGTCAAAAGGCTAGAAATCTAGCTGAACAAGAAGGCAGGATCCTATTAGCGATTTCTGCTATTCAAAAGGATGAAATCCGCAATATTCGTGAAGCAGATCGTATCTTTAATATTCCTAAGAGAACCCTCCGTCAACAACTTAGTGGTATCCCAACACGTCTTGAAACACGCGCCAACTTCCATAAAATGACTCAAAATGAAAAGATTTCGCTTGTACAATGGATTCTATCGTTTATTCAACGTGAAGCACCTTCCCGACCGTCTCATGTACAAGAAATGGTCAATATTCTTTTTGCTGCCCGTGATACTACACCTTTTCAATCAATCGAACAGAAATGGGTCTACAACTTCGTCCAAAGGCATGATGAATTGAAGACATACTTTTTTAGACGATACGACTATCGACGTGCCCAATGTGAAGATTCTAAAATTATTAGAAAGTGGTTTGACCGTGTACAAATTACTATAATGTAGCATGAAATTGTATCTGAAGATATCTACAATTTTGACGAGACTGGCTTTGCTATGGGCCTAGTAGCTACTGCTCGGGTAATTACTAAAACTGATTTCTATGGTAGAGCACGTCTTGTACAGCCAGGAAATCGGGAATGAATTACTTCTATTGAGTGTATTAGCTTTTCTGGATGGGCGCTTCCACCTTGTATAATCTTCAAGGGAAAGGTCCATATAGAGGGCTGGTATCAAAGTGATCTACCACCTAACTGGAGAATTGAAGTCAGCCCAAATGGCTGGACTAGTGATGAAATAAGTCTTCGCTGACTTAAGAATCTCTTTATTTCTATCACTACTAGTCGTACAACTGGAAAATATCGTCTTCTAATTCTTGATGGCCATGGCAGTCATCTGACACTTTAGTTCGATCAGATATGCAGTGAGAATAATATTATTCCTATCTGTATGCCTACTCATTCATCACATCTACTACAACCTCTAGATGTTGGCTGCTTTTCACCACTGAAGGGTGCATACAGACATCTAATGGAAAAGCAGATACGCTTTAGAATCAATCATATTGACAAGCTTGATTTTCTTAAAGCATTTTTTAAGGCACATACAGAGACTTTTATTGCTAACAATATCTGCAGTGGTTTCTCTGCTACTGGGCTAGTTCCATATAACCCAGAGCGAGTGCTCAGTCAGTTGAATATTCAACTAAGGACTCCTACACCACCAGGCAGTTGGTCAACCAATTCAGTGCCTAAGACATCCTATATCTCTAGGCAGCTTGAGAAGCAGGCATTTACAGTAAAAAGAAAGCTTCTTGAAAGGCGTACGCAGCAAGGAACACGCTCATAGAGTCTTATCTTTTCCTTAAAGATACGATTGGACAAGATTATCAAATGCAACGAATTAGTTCTAAATGAGGCAGTTCTTGCGCGTCAAGAAATTCGTGATTTACGAGCTGCAAATGAGAAGCAGCTTCAAAAGAAGAAGAAGTCTACTAAGCAACTTACTGCTGCAGAGGGTTTTTCTATTCAGGAGGGTCAGGAGCGATTTCAGCAGAAGAATCAGGTCTTTGAAGCTCAAGATACTGGACCTAGGGATCCAGGGCTTCTTGCAGTTGGGCCTCGTGTACGCGCTTTATCGCAGTGTTCTAATTGTCATATTCGGGGGCATACTAGGGTTAGATGTCCTAATCCACCTAGTAATTAGTTTGATATAGAAATGCGATTGTTTTGTTGGTAAAAAGGTGCTTAAATCTCATCTAGTCGTGGAAATCGGGTGGAGGTGCGGTGCTCGCTTGCATGCGGCGCTCGCTTACCGATTACGTTATGTGAATTACAAGTCCGTGGTAAAGGAGGAGAGGTACATACTTGCCTACACCGTCGGAGGACCTGGGAAAATTGACAATGATTGTTTCTTCATGCACTGTGATGCTTTACATAACATAGTCTCTATCTAGTATACACCCTAAGCAACTATACCCGACGCAAGGTCTTTTTCCTCAATGTAATGTAAGGAAGGAAGGAAGGTTACATACATACAACAAGCAACCTGTCGTCATAATGAATCATAGCCACCTTCAACTACTTTCAACAACCAGCAAAGAATCTAGAATCGATCAATTAAAGGGTAACCCCTCTATTCTCTTTTCTATGACCTCTCATATGAAATAGATCAATCAAATCAGAAGAAAAGTAAAAAAGGAAGAAAAAATGTGCGACGTACCCTTCATCCCCATCTTCCCGCTCTGCTTCCAATGCGGCACCGACCAGAACCCGTGTCGTTGTAAAGTCGTCGGTCCGACGTTAGGTGCGTATTTCCTTTTTTCTTCCTTCAAGTTCCTTTGCTGTATCCACCTGCAATCGAAAATGGACTCTGGCTGACGCATACCCCTGACATGAACTAGGATTCTGCGTGACGATCGTGGCAGCGGTATGTTCTTTCCTAATGATCCCATACATATACACACACTCCCGATCATGTCAAACCCAGCGGACTCAATTAGTTGACTAACAAAAATGGATGCAGGTGATCTGTTACCCGGCATCGATATTCTGTGGATGTTGTTTGACGCAGAAAGGGAAGGAGTATGTCTCCCTACTCTATTCCCTGTCTCTTGAAGAACAGGGCCTTTTATTGCCTAATAGCGATGATGATGCTGATATCTGATGAACAGTTGCCTGGGGTATCCGGTTAAATTGAATCAGAAAGTGGCGAATATTATACCGATATGAGACTCTTACTAGAACAGTGAGATATATACCGCCTTGATAATGCTTTAATGTACTAGATCCATTCATAAGAGTTCTGGTTGATTCAGGAGTAGATTAAATAGCGTATTAGACAAACTACTCTGACCAGACGCAGGAACATTGAAAAAGTAGAACAAACGATAAAGGTATAGAGTAGAATAAATCATAAAGCAAGCACAAAACAGGAACAGACAAAACAAAAAGGTATCCAGATCATGAAGACGCAACAACGACAGTGACAGAAAACAAGCTTTCCACCCCTCGCGAATTATTCAGTCTTCCCATAGATAACATCAAACATTAACTCATCTATTTCAACTTCTCCTTGAGCTTGTGGAAGAACCCGCTCACGCGGTTCTGCTTCTTCTTTTCTTCCTTGCCCGTACTGTTCTTGTCGGCACCGTTCTTGTCGGCATCCTTGGCGCCGTTCTCGGCACCCTTCGAAGCATTTTCCATCTTGGTGTTGTTCGCGGCGGCTGCCTTGTCCCCGGTATTCCCCTTGGTTTGGTCAGCCGGAGTAGCGGGTAAATCCTTCTGCTCCTGCGCACCCGGTCCCTGTTCCTTGGGGACTGCCGATTCCTCGGGGCCGGTAGTCACCGTGGGCCCTTCGGTCGGGGTGGTGGCGCGAGGAGACAGCTGGGTGGTGTCGATCGGGGGTCCCGTAGCTGCGGGAGGCTCCTCTGTCGTAGCAGCCGAGGCTTTGTGGGCTTGATCCGTAGTCGCTCCGGGAGCCTTGTCTGTCGTAGCGGCAGTGACGGCGGGCGCGGGAGTTCCGCTCGATTGCTCGACGGGAACCACCTTCTGCAGCTCACTCTCCAGGTCTTTCTTCTCTTCCACGGCCGGCTTGTAGGCAGCGGCCTCCGGAGACTCGTGAGCCTTGGAAAGAGAATCTTTCACCACGTCGGGCACCTCGCTCGCGGGCGATCCCACTCCGCCGTTGGCCTGATGCTTCTGAGACTCGAGGGGAACGCCGGCAGCGAGAGCGGCAGTAGTGGACGTAGGGGCAGCCGACTGAATCGTGACGGGATCAGAGGCACCCTGACTGCCCTCGCCCATGGGGAGGCTAGACTCGGGAATGAGGGTCTTAGATGTCGGAGGAGCGGCGGCGGCGGCTGTGCTCTCACCGACCCCCTTGGTCTGACCACCCGTCAAAGAATGACTGGCATCCTGTTCGTACCCAGCCTGGTCCGTCCGGGCAGTGGACTGGATCGTGTTGGAGTTGAACGTGCTGGGGTGGGGGACCTTCTCGCCGGGCTTCAACGAGATGGGGTTGCCCGTGCCGCTCGAGGCGGGGATAGGGTTGATAGACACGTTCTCAAGCCCGGGAGTCGCGGGGAAGGTCCCAGGCACGTTGGCTCTTTGTTCGAAGGGAGCATTCTTGGCCAGCTCGGCGGTTGTCGACCCAGGGGCCGCCGACGAAAAGGCGGCATCCCCGACGATATGCTTACTGGATTCTTTGGGCACACCACCTGCCAGGGCAGCGGTCGTGGAGTCGGGCGTCACTCCGGCCATGACTGGAGCACCGTTCTGGAGGATTGATTGGGATTCTTCGTGGATCTGATCGGGATAAAGGACGTTGTTGATATTGTTACTACCGTCGTCTTCCTCTGGGGCAGTCGTATCGGTAGTCCAAGTGCCGTCGACAACAAACTAATTTCAGTAGAGATGGACAAAAAAGTTAGTGAGATGATTCTGATTTCCAAGAAAGGACGCTGACGTGACGACTTATAAAGGGCGAGCCAGAGTGGGGAGACGGCAGGAAAGAGAAGGGAAGACGGCCGGGAAGACCGAATGACGTCAGCGGAGGTCAGAGGAACGATCCGCGTCATTGATTGCGGTGATTTCCCGACAAAGGCGGGCGCAGAAGGATGCGAACAAAGACCAGACCAGCCATCATTACTTGATGGGGGGACAATCCGTTGGCGATGTCGTAAACGTGCTTCCCCGCAAGACCATCGTGCCCTTACCTTGTAGTGCAGCTTCTCGTCCGTCGGGGACAAGTGAACCTCCTTCTCGAAAAAGTCCCCTTTCTTCTCCAGCTGGACAGTTTTCCCCCAGTCATCGAAGGTCCCCGTCACGTAGACCTCGTTTGCATCGTGGGGCCTAATTGCAACCCATGTCGCATCAGTCAGCGGTCAAGTTGATCCCGGCGTTTGCTAGTCGGAAGGTAATTTGTCTGGTCTCGTCTCATCTCGTCCGATCCGGAATCGTTCGCAAGGAACGGAAGACGACGGATACAATGGCATTGACATCCGGACAGGACTGAGAGGAGAGCGATTGCTTTGATTGGAGTGGCGGGCATACAGCCAGGGATGTGAATCTGGTAGCCTGAACTTACCAGCGAAACGTGTAACTTCCCATCGCTATTCTGTCGGACAAGAGTGAGAAGAGCAGAAGTGGAACAGATGGGTCGAGGAGAACGAGCACAAAAATGGGAGGGAAGGAAGCAAGCTTTGGTTATTTTTAAATTTAAATTTTCTTCCCTGAATATCAGGCCGAAAGAAAGAGAGGCTGGGGAGAGTCCAGGTTGAACGAAGTGTTAGTGTTGCTGGGAGCAAAGCGGGGGTGTGGCGGTCTCTTCTCCCCTTCTCTCTTTCTTCTTCGTTGACCAGAGTGCCAGACACTGAAAACCGACCGGAGAAAACCACACAAGGAGGGGTAGATGCAAGTTTTAGGGATTCTCTTCCTATTCTTTTTCCTTTCACCGGAGAATATTCACCAGGACATTCTCAATGGCAGCATTCCGACCGAACAGCGTTATCGAATGAAATCCCGGCAGGCAAAGACGCTGAGACCGCCGGCAGGAATCTAGACGCTGCCAGCGAACCATCTTGTACAACTCATCAGGGGCTAGTCCGATGATGGATTGGCTCCGTGGATGGTCTATCACCGAGTGGTGATGCTTTTTCTTTGTCAGGTCTCGACTGTCTCGTGCTGTACCTGCAGTGCAGTGACAACACTAATCCAGAAGCAATTAGCACTACGCCGTGGCAAGATCCCCAACCACAGGTCCGTACCTGTGGTCAGAACAGGACCGAGCTCTACGGAGGCTGGTTTATGTTCTCCGTATACGAAGTGATCAGTGTACACAATGGAGATTGGCCATAGCTGATAGCTATAGCTAGAGGGATCCGGCTTCAGCTGGCAGCCTGAATCCACGGGCGGCAACGGCACGGACCCGGCCTTACAGGCAGCTAAACTCAAGGCGGCAACAGAAGCTGGTTGAAAACGGCGATGGCACAGACTCATCAACCCTATTCATGAAGACTCCATTCCATGGTCGTGTCAGAGTCTATTCGCTAGAGTCACTAGAGTCCCTACTACTGAGTCTACTACGTCAGTCGGCTAGAGGCATCTGGCATCATGACCTCAGCCGTTTTTGCCACCGCTCCTCTCGTTGTCTGATGCAGTCCATTGCCCCTGGATTACGCAAAAAAGAAAACGAAGAAAGAAGAAAGAATCCCAAATTGATTGATGGATGGAACTATCATTCACTTGTTTAATCTAGAAAGTCCTAGTGTCATTTCGGTCTCATTCAGGGTGGCGCAACGTCCGGGCCAGATGGTCTTTCCGGAGTATTTCCCTCCCCAACACCCCCTATTTGGATCCTGGCGACCTTCTAGAAAACACCTGGAAGACCGCTAGACAGATGGAAGCTTCCACACTTTGTCCGTTCCCGACGCCTCGCCAGAGTCCACCCGGCTCCATTTCCATTAATCTGGTACGACTCACGAACGCCGATTTCCCTAGTCTTTGCCATCATCTCCCAAGGTCGACTATTGACACCAGCTGGGTAGCTATTGAAGTAGTGTTGCTTAGCGGGGACGCCAGTGACGTCGATCCGTGCATCTCCCATAAGGATGTTCGTAAGGGAGTACGCACTACGCAGTACACTGGGTGGTGTGCACACTGACTGTAGTGTACATCGTAGAATGTACGGCGCAGAGGAGCTGCAATGGGCGTTGGTGGAAATCCAGCAGACCCAACTAGAAAGATAGTCATTCCATTCATTCCAATCGTTGGTCTCCAGAAGCTCTGGCCACAAGCTTTCCGTCACTTCCTGCTCCCCGCCTTTTTCCCTTTTCTCGCCTGCTTCTGCTTCTGCTTCTACTTCTTTTCCTTTTCTTCCCCTCCTTCTTTTCTGCACAAATCTTCCCCCTCCAGATCAAGCGAGTGGGTTTTCTATCCTCTCTTTGTCTTTGATTTCTCTCTCTCTTCTTTTCTTCTCCTTCTAGACTTCCAACTTTTCTTCTCCGTTTGTGACAGCCTCACTTTCCTCCCCCCCTGTCTGACCATCTGTCTCGCTTCGTTGGTCTCGTGGCTTCATCTGTCTGGGGTTTGTCTGACCTTTCGTCCAAGGAAGCTTTTCTCGCGACCCAAAGGACGTCAGAGCTGGCGGTCTGGGAACTTGTAAGTTGCAACTTGTCCCGCCCTAGTTCTGTTCTGTTACCCCTCCAAAGCTTGGCCCCGGCTGAAGCTATTGCGCGTTCCCACTCTGCTCTGTTGCAACCCCCTCTATGAATTAATTAATTTGTAAAAAAGGGGGAAGGGTCAGAAAAAAAAAAAAAGACAGGACAGTCTGAAAAGAAAAAGAACAAGAAAAGAAAAGAAACAAGACCCTTCCACTCCAATTCCCATGTCGACTTCCACTTGTTTTCCAAGCCAGTCCATCTCCACTCGTTAGCGGAGACTCTCTTCCCCCCCCAATAGACGCCGCCCGTCGGTTTCCCTACCCGCCCCTCTTCCTCCTTCTTCTCCCCTTCTTTCGCTTTTCTTGATCTGCAACTCGTCGCACTCAAATGACCGCTTCTTTCCTACCTGCTTCGTGCTCCCTCCCTGTATTTCTTCCCTTGTTTCCCTCTCCTACTCGGTCAACAAATTATTTCCATCTCTACGTCGATCCCCGTTCTAACTCTCTCTCTTCCAGTCCACTCCCGCTCTACCCCTCCAGCAGCTTCCCCTGCAACGCTCCAACATCCTAGCATCTTCCCCGCTTCTCCGTGGCCGGAGCGGTGTTCTCTCCGGCCCTACGACAAACAGCATGGCTGAAAGCTCGTTCCCCGCGACCAACACTCGTCTCCGCGTCGGCACCAAAGACGACATGTCGAGCGCCTTCCAAAAGATCTCGGAGGAGGATGAATATGAGGTGACGTCACCAACCGATTCGACCTTTCGATCCGCAAACGCCAACCCCGCTTCCTCGTCTTCCGCCGACAACCTCTTCGGAGGCAGCGTATTCGGCGAAGCCACCGGTAGCGGTGGAGGTGGCGTACCCGCCGGCGGAATCCGGTTCACCAGAAGTCCCTTTGGGGGCCCCGCTGGGGACGGGGATGAGGAACAGGACTACAACGATCTCCCTGAGGGAGACCGACCGACCGGGGGGCCGAACCAGGGATTCCCGAACAACTACGCGTTGGGCCGTCGCACGTCGGTGTCTGCCGAGTCCTTGAACCCGACATCTGCCGGCTCCGACAGTTGGCAGCCTCCGTATCACCCCAAATCCGAGGAGCAGCTGTCTCGCCTGAAGGTCGCCGTCAGCAACAACTTCCTCTTTTCGCATCTGGATGACGATCAATTTAAGACGGTGCTGGACGCCCTGGTGGAAAAGCCGATCCCCGCCAAGGATATCAAGGTGATCTCGCAGGGCGATGCAGGTGACTATTTCTACATCGTCGAGAACGGCCACTTCGATGTCCACATCCATCCCTCGGGCTCGGTTCAGCCGGGCGCGGATGGTATGGGTAGTAAAGTGGGCTCCATCGGGCCCGGGGGCTCGTTTGGAGAGTTGGCGCTCATGTACAATGCTCCTCGCGCGGCGACGATCGTGTCTGTTGATAACAAGAGCACCTTGTGGGCTCTCGATCGCATTACATTCCGGCGAATTCTGATGGACTCGGCTTTCCAGCGCCGTCGCATGTACGAGGCCTTCCTCGAGGAGGTCCCGCTGCTATCGAGCCTGAAGCCCTATGAACGGGCGAAGATTGCCGACGCTTTAGATGCGATCAAGTACCCCAGCGGCTCGACCATCATCACGGAGGGCGATCCCGGTGACGCATTCTATCTTCTTGAGTCCGGCGAAGCGGATGCTTTCAAGGCTGGCATTGAGGGACCGGTCAAGTCGTACCGCCGAGGCGACTACTTCGGAGAGCTGGCTTTGCTTGATGACAAGCCTCGCGCCGCCAGTATCATTGCTAATACGGAAGTCAAGGTGGCCAAACTAGGTCGCGACGGATTCAAGCGTCTACTTGGTCCCGTGGAGCAGATCATGAGAAGAACCGATTACGATTCGAGGCCCACATCCTCGGCCGCGTGAAATCGATGAGTTGGGCGAAAAAGAACAAAGAAGAAAATCAATTCAAAAATATTATCATGCTACGAGCAGACGGTGTGTATGTTTGTTATCTACCGATATCTATTCCTCGGTGATTTTGCACTTTCCTCTATGTTTTCTGTTTGTAATTTTTTATGCTACTTGGAGCCCCAGAGGTATTGGTGAAGGAGCATGTGGTTTTCTCTGTTTCCTTTCGTTTCCTTTTCTATTTCCCGCTTAAGATATGAAGATTTTCTTGTCCGGTAAGAGTCTCGATGCCTGGCCAGGCGTATCCTACGGCTTGTCTCGCGGACATGGTTTTGTTATTGTTGTTTTCAATTTGCCCTGTTAACGATTGATTACGCATGGTTGTCCACTGACCATCAGTCGCTACAATCAGATCTTCGCCTTGTCGCCTAACTCCCGACCTTCCAATTTACTTTTGATCTGATATTGAGCTCGGTATATAACTAGTCATGAAAGTCGTTTCTGTTCTTTTCCTTGTTTATTTGTATGTATGTACAACGCTACCAGAACTGCTTAGGAACCAGCTTCTATCCTCCTGTGCCCTAAGATATGCTGTCATCAATATAACCAGGAGAGGTTCATTGCATGCATAGCCCTATCTCGTAGATGTCCAGACTCTAGACGCCTTGGCTTTATTGTTTGTAGCTTGTAAGCAATCCTCACCGTTCCACCACCAAATCACTTCGCAGCACCCACTTCTCCCCCGCCAGGACCTCCTTCCCTTCGTGCAGCATGCAAGCGTCCCCGTGGCGATGGAGCAGCGCCATGCCCGTCTGGGGCGCCACAGACACAGGACTCGGATTGCGATTCTCCTTCGTAGCCTCGGGATAGAAGACGGTCTCGCCCCCGGTGCAGGTGGTCAGGTAGATCAGGAGCGTCCAGGTCGTGCGGGCCGGTTGGGCCGGGCACGATGACGACGAGAATGTGACGTTGTTGAAGTCGTCGTCTGGTGATGTTAGCCTTGAACCGTGATACAACTTGGATGCTACAAACTCCCCGGAGGGATATGGGGATAAAGGAGGGGTAAAGAAACATACAATGCGCCCCAAAAAACTGGCCCTTCGAATACCGATAGATGCGTATATTGGCATTCAATCCCAACGGCTTCCCACCCCAGATTTCTTCCGGAGTTCTTTTCCTTCTTCCCCCGTCCTCACCTTCATCTTCATCTTCCTCACATTCTCCCGCCCTCTCCACCACCAACTCCCTCAACGCCGTCTCCCGCCACACCATCTCCGCAAACCCCTCATCCTGCACCTGGAACCGATCGTTCACGCGCACCGCCTCGTCCTTCTTCGGCTTCCGCGGCGTCGTGAGCATCGGCAACGACGCCAGGAAGGACACGTACGTTTTGCACAGCGACGCCGGGAAGAAGTTCGGGATTAGGTAGATTTGGTCGCGTAGGAGGGGCTCTAGGGTTAGGTCTGAGGGGGGGATTAGGGGGCGGAGAGGAGGCCAGTTTGGTTTGGGTGCTGATGTAGAGGGCTTGGGGTTGGATTTAGAGGGGAGGTCTTTTTTGGGGGGAGGTTTGGATTTGGATTTTGGTGGCATTTTGGTCTTTGCTTGGTTTCTCTTTTGGGTTCTTCTGGTGGTGTGATTTGCTTTGTTTGGGAATGGAGATTTATGTGTGTATGTATGTGTGCGCCTGAGTATGGGTGTATATATGTTGTTGCGTTCACTGATCCTGGAGTGGGAGTTGGTTGATGGATGTCCTCTCTTGCCTGAGGTGTCTAGTGTTTTAAGGTATCTGTTTCGAGGGTTCGGCCTGAGGCATTAACATGCAGAGCAACATGCAGAGTACTCCGTAGGTACTCCGGCAAGAAGATGCAGAGTATCTATGGACTCCTCCTGCAGTATATTTTGCTAGTAACTGCAGGCCAATAGAGCCGGCTGTATCTTTCCCCAATAATTTGAATACTTAAACCTGCCCCCGGAAGTCATTCAACTCGAGATTCTCCATTCCTCAACGTATTTTATGTATTTTTCATGTCACGACCATGTACTGTACCCACGTGACCTAAATGGAGATGAGTCAGACAACGCAGTCATTGTCTTTTATAGTTTAACTATATTCTCCTGCAGACAGATGCTAGGAGTGAATCAGAGTAGTTGTACGAAGTATAGAGACCAAATCATCGAGATCAACTTGACTTGGTTGATGGTTTGCAGCAACAATCTGAGACAACGGACAGCGGCCGAGCCAGATCGACCGGTGCCAGAGGCAGCTCCCTAGTACTATGTAACTACTCTAGATGGAGTAAAATGAGGAAGAAAAAAAAATTCCTTTCCGGCTCCTCTTTTCTCCCGCTGATGGCCTCACTTCACCGCCCGCCTCTACTTCTCCCTCCTCCTCTGCCTTCTCTTCAGCCCGTCCTCTTTGTCCCCCCCAGCATCACCAGCCGCCGGTCATGTCGTCGTCACAGACCATGACAGCGCCAGCGGTGGGCCATCGGCCTCCTGATGCTGGTCCCAGCATGTCCTCCGTCTACGATTACGGTCCTTCTCAACATCCTGATCATTCTCCTCCCTCCCCGCCCAGCGACTCCGCAATCCGCGCTCTGCACGATTCTGCCCACCCCGACGACGCCCCTGCCAATGTCAATGGCTCCTCCTCCTTCTCCTCCCCCCTGCCCGCCACGATGCCCGTCAAATCGGAGCCGGAGGATTCCAACTTCTCTGCCCCTGCCTCTGCCTCTGCCTCCGACCTCCTGCCCGATGCCAATCCCAACGTTCGTCGTCAGTCCGCCGCCAGTGCCCTCTTAGCCCAACTGCTCGGCAACCAATCCTCTGCGCCGTCCGACCCTGCTGGTCCAGATCAGCCCGTGCCGCCGCCGGCGGACCCAGAAACAGACTACCACCACCACCACTCTTTACTACCCTCGGACCATCGCCTCCCCGATCTCCCCTCGCAACATCAACAACAACCACCACCACCCCCCGGTCCGGACGATGGGATGAATGGCCACGACTGGTCCGCAGAACCTCCGGCTGAGTCTTTGGCGGCCCCCGTCGGCTCTTCCGGTGGCCAGGATCAGAATCCGGTCTCCCTCGGGGGTTTGCTGCCGCCGTTCCAGCCGGAGGAGAAAATTTCGGACGAGGCCTCTGCGATGGCTTTTTCGCACCCCGACCTCGACGATGCCCTACCCGCCAAGTCCGCCGATCCGATCGAGGGCCTGACCGATCCTTTGCTGTTGTCCAAGTCCGGGCTCGACCATTCCGACCTGTTTCCGCCCTTCGATATCACCGCCGCTCCGAAGACCCCCTTCGAGGCATTGCACCAGAATGAGATGCTGACGGCCGCTTACCTATCCCAGAGTACGGATCTCTCCGCCCTGGACTACTCGGGCTCCGGTCTCCATCAGGATGGAAGTGGTTCGATCGCCGGGTCGGAGCCCCGGATACAGGCTTTCGCGAAATTGGAATTCGACGACGGTCACTTCTACTGTAACACATATTCCTTCATCCTGGGTCGAGACGTACGAGCGGCCCGGGCTGCTCACGAACGGGAATTGCACGCCCGTCAGGCCGTGAGGACATCTCGCGCGAAAAGTTCGAGCGGTGGCAACACGTCGCATACCCCCGTCCGAGTCAAACACGAAGGCAGCGGAATTTTAGGGAGCGTCGTCAGCGACCGTGGTGGAATCCTAGGCTTCGATCCCGACGTTCCGCCCCATCTCCCGCGAATGAGTCGCCGGTCGTCCAATTCGTCCCATGCCGAGTCGGGCGCGCCGCTGCACGCAACGCCCGCCCAGCTGCAGTCTACCACCGACTACAATGCCCTGGCTATGCAATCGCTACATGACGGCAACGGGGATGCGAAACCGGTTGACACCCTCGCCTTGCTCCCTTCTCCCGATGCTTGTCCTACAATTCCTATTCACCCTCCGGCGACGGCCGATGGCACGGCCGCCGGTCATCGAGGGATTTCACGGAAACATGTCAAAATTGCATATAACTTTGAGGGAAATTTCTTCGAGATGGAAGTGATGGGGAGAAACGGTGCCTTTATCGGGGCTGATTGGCTATCACCAGGTCAGCTCCGACCTTTACACAGTGGCGATTACATCCAAATCGGCGGCGTACGCATCCGCTTCTTGCTACCAGACGTCCCGATTGGCGAGACGGGTGCAGAAGTTACCGAGGAGCCGTTCGCCGATGATGACAACGCTCAGATGTCCGTCGTGACCGGAGAAAACGACTTCGCTGACGACAAGCGTGGACTGGACGGCTCGGAGAGCAAGGACGGTACGAGACCTACTAAGCTCATATTGAAGACCAAGGACGCCGACTCCACGCGACCCGTCCCGTCCATCGAAGGCTCAGCAGATGGCCAGCAGCCGATCCGCCGTCGCGGCCCTGGACGTCCTCCCAAGGATGGGATCATGTCGAAACGTGAGCGCGCCGAGTTGGCTCGAGAGCAAAAGATGGCTGCGAAGCGCGAGGCCAATGGCGGCGTTACGCCTCCGCCCAATCGACCCAAGGCCGCCGGTAAGGCTCCAGTCATGGGCGCTCCGTCTACTACTCCTAAGGAGTCCGTTGGCGCCGAGTCGCCCGGGTCGAAACCGGAGAAGCGCAAGTACACGAAGAGGAAGAAGCCGGACGGCACGTCGATGGACTTCCCCCTGCCTTCCACGGAAGGAGGCCAATTCCCCATGGAGCAACGACCAGAGGACTTCATCAAGGCTCCCCCAGTCAAGAAGCGCAAGCCGTCCCGGTCGCCATCGCCCAACTACCCGCCCGAGTCGGCATACACGCCGGAGGATCTCGCAAAGCCGCCATACAATTATGCGGTGCTCATTTTCGATGCTCTCACCGAGGCCGGTACCCCTATGACTCTCAAGCAAATCTACCGCGCCTTGAAACTCAAGTACCCGTATTTCCGCTTCAAATGCGAAACCGAGGGTTGGACGTCCAGTGTACGGCACAATCTCAACGGCAACAGCCATCTCTTCATGCACGCCGAACGAGATGGCAAGGGATGGTCCTGGCAATTACGACCGGGCGCCTCGGTCGAGAAGGAGAAGAAGAGACGCCCGTCGCCTCCGCCGCCGGTCTCGCAGCCTTCGATGCCGGCTGCCACTCCGCAGTACATGCCTCAAATGAATCCGCCGTATGCCAGCCAACCCAATGGGCAAACGGGCATGGCCAACGCGCACTTTCAATTCCCGTCGATGCCGCCATCCAATCCGTACACTGCGCCTTCGCCAGCCCCTCCTCCTACTCCAGCGGCAGCACCACCGCCGCCTCCTCCGCAACAACAGCCTCAGCAGCAGCAGCCGCCGCCGCCGCCGCCGCAGTCGCAGCAACCAAGTCCTTTCCCTCCGCTACCTCAGGCTGCCTCCACCCCGTTCCCCATCCCCACTCCGCTCCGAAACAACCTTCCGCCTGCTTTTGCTCAAACCACTCCGTCCACCTACACTTCCCCCTATGCTTCCGATCCTCCGCCGCAATTGGTCCAATTCCAACAAGCGCAGCAAACACAACCGCCACCGCCGCAGCAGACCATGCCACCACAGCCATCATCACAGCCGCAACCGCAACAGCATCAGCCGGTACCGCAGCCACCTCCGGCTCAACAACCGCAGCAGCATCGGCAGCAGCAACATCATCATCATCCTCATCATCAACCGCCGCCACCGCTACCACAGCAACATCAGCAGCACCACCATCACCAGCCGCAACAGCACCAGCCACCTCCGCCACATCAGTCTCCTTACCCGCCGCAACATCCTCCGCCGATGTCAAGTTACCCTCCCCAACCGCAGCAGAACCTGCCCCCTGCTTCTGGGCCTCCTCTCCAGCACCAACCCAATCACAACGTTGCGCCCAGCGACCCTGGACCGGGAGGACCCATGGACCATTCCGAAGCGTTATCGTTCAATGAGCGGGCCAACAAAGCCATTGATGATTTCGAAGCGGTGCTGATGGAAGACTACGAGGATAAGAACTATATTCGAGAGGTGCTCAAGAGTTCGCGTGCTCGTGTGCTAGGCGAGGCGACGGAGAGTTCCTTCCCCGGAGGAGAGCCGAAAGATGAGGCGGTCATCCTTGATGCGTTGCGCAATCTGATCGGTAGCTTGAAGGATCAATAGGTCCGATGTCGATGTTGGACAATGGACAACTGGGTGTATAGAAAACTGGCTTCAACGAATTACGAGATTTCCTTATTTATGTTTATGAACATCTGCAATTGGTGACCGGACTGGTGTTTGCTGGAAGTATATTGGACCCGGGAAGGGAAACGGCACAAAACCACTGGACAAGACCTTCAGCAGCGATCATCAGGGCCTTTCCTGGTTTGTGGTCTTCAACTTATCTACCTATCCCGGGCAGTGATTTTTTATTTATCTTTCTTTCCCCCTTTTTTCTGCTTGAGTTTTCTGGCTTATATTTTCAACTTTTCCTTTTTCTCTTTTATTTCGATGATATCCACTACGTTCTGGGCTTTTATGCTCTATCTCCCTTTCATCGTTTCGAACACATACACGCATAGTTATGCATGCATCTCATCTGGCAGGACCCCCTTTCAAGGAGGGTGCCAGAGAGACCATTTTGCCACTTGTGATTCTTGATTTGCTTTTTTTCTGTTCTATTGACTTTTCTTGTGGCCGGTATAGGTAAAACAAAACAAAAGCTAGGCGTTATGTTGCATAGATACAATGGTAAAAAAAATTTAAAGCTAGAATTTTATCAATTCATTGACTCGAATGATCTGAATATGAACTATGGAGTGAATTGGGCGGTGCCGCTCTTCCCCGCTTGCAGCAGCAGCAGCAGCAACAGTCAGAGTCCATAGTGAGGTGAGTCAACAAGACAAGAGTCAGACCCGGCTCTTTCCTGTCCGCGGGGTTCGAATACTACCCTGTCTACTTGAGTCAAGAGGGATGGGTTGGGTTGGTAGTTCAGTAGGTGATGAACATGTGCCGACCATCTATTTTGAAAGTGGTCAATAAATAAGTATATCGGATTCAAGGTTAATAAGATTCATGAAAATAGACTCAATGCAGTGCACCCACAACTTACCACCACGAACCGCAGGTAGCCGAGTGAGTGACTATCTTCAGGATGGTTCAGGTAAAAGGTAAAGAAAGGTAAAGGTCAGAGTCAAGGTCTTATGATGCCATGGCATACCATGTCATGCATGCCATAAGGATAATACAAAATTCATCCGTCTGTCCGGCTACACTTAGTAGTATGTAGGTAGGTAGGCAGGCAGGCAGGCAGGGAGGGAGGGAGGGGTAACCGACAGTTTAGGGTGTGATGGGATGGGGTTTAGTTTAATTCGGTTCGGTTCGATTCCATGTTCCTTTTCTTTTCTTGTTCTGTTCTGTTCCTGAATGACCCGACGGAGAGGGGGAGGTGCAGGAAGTTCAAGGGGGCCTGTTCTGTTCTGGATATTCTACCGAAGCGCGGCGCGGGGGGGAACGGGCATCCTCCGTCTTTGTGTATGCAGGATGCACTGTGGTATCATGTCTGGGCGCTTTGTATGTTTATGGAGTGTTGAGTAGGGACTGGTTGTGTCTATCTAACTTATCTATCTAGGTTTTAGGTATGTGTATGTACGTATGTGCTGAGTATGTGCCTACTCCATCCGTAGGATGAGGGATGAGGGAATTATCATCATCCATCGGGTGGGATGTTTTTATTGGAGGTTCGGATCTCAGGTCGGGTGTTCTCAGAACCTCCAAGTCCTTGGACTGGGATTTATTTTTATTTTATTTTGCTTTTTTCAGGGTCATGCTTTTCTTTCCCTTAGGTGATGGATGATGATGGTCGGGCAGCCATCTAGGAGTACAGAAGGTGATGGGGAACTCCCCCACTTTCCCGAACTGGAGTGGTTGAAGGTTCAACTACCGTCGGCTATGCTATGTTCTCTGCATCTGTATCTAAGGGGAAGCATGGAGGTTGCGGGAATTTCGGTCGTTGTGCTGAGGGTTGATAAGACTAACATTCATTAATAACTGTCAAATAAATCATCAATCAATCATGATGACTGGCTGGCTTCTGGCCATTACTGTTTTGGGATGCGGGCAGGACAGACAGAATCGGATGAGTACATACACTGCGCAGGCGCAGGGCGGTGTTCTTTTCATTGGGTTTGCAGGTTGGCAGGTGAGTCGATTGTTGATTTTGACTGGATACGATAGTCATCATGGTGGAAGATCGTGCTGTAGATGGTGGTATGGCGACATATAATATTCTAAGGTATCTCGTGCAGATTGGCATATTGACACTGACACTGACACTGACACCACATCTCTCCATCTATCAATGCCTATGTCTACGATATATCCCCGGGAGAATGTGCGGTAGAGCGGAGATCATATTCCGTGGCATCCGCCGTGTACTCCGTATAATATCCCCTATTATTGGGTATACTACCTGACTTTAAGAAATAAAATCAAAAAACATGATACGATAAAAAAAAAATCCACACCAGATCAACCAACCAGCCTCCCTCCATTCCAGAAGGCAAGAACAGGGCAGAGCAGATGATGCATGGACCTGGACACGGCCACGCCCACGGCTACGGACAGCTGGACCGGATTGGTAGCCAGGTCGACCGTCAATCATAATAATGGCCACCTACTAATCATACTCAATCTTCGTCGTCGACGTGGTGGCCTTGCCTCAAGGCACACGGGGACCACTCTCTCCCAACGACAACGATCGCGGGATGGCCAGACCAGAGAGAGAGAGAGCGCTTTTTCCGCCTTCCCTTTCTCTCTCTTTGCCTGCTGTTCCTCAGGGCGGGGAGGACGGCGAATTCTAGAAGAATGACGATCCGCCTGAGTGCTACAGCCTAGCTGCCACTGGGTTGGTTGTCGCCCTGCGTTGTTCTGATTGGGTGCTCTACGAGGCAGCCCATGAGTCAGATGCTCGAGTTCGACGAGGGGGAGTTCGCCCTTGTCCTACTCTCACGGAGGAACGAACATTCCAGGCACTGACGTCGGCGCAGCAACCGCCTTGTGATCTCATTGTTTGGTCTGGAATGTAGGAGGCGGGAGTTCCTACTCAGTATGTACGAGTACTCCGTATGTATGTACTATGTACTATGTCTATGTGTATGTATCCTCCCTTGCCGGAGAAGCAATTCGGAGAGTAAGATGACATAGCCAATCCAACTTCCTGGACCTCACTTCCTGGCTGAGTGCAGACAGATGAGTAATCGCCAGGCAAAACCTTTGCCGTCGTGTGTCATTTTACATTGATTATGATGGATTTTGGATTATTCGGGTGCTCGAGTTCGAAATGAGGCTGCAACTTGCCACCACTTACGAAGTACTCCCCCTCTCTGCTTGTGTTCGGATGTCTGTCTGCTCTTGGGGCAAGGTGCGGTCATGACTCTTAGTCCGACGTATGATGTTTCTTCTTGTCCCCGCCACCGGATCATCCTCAGTTGGAGCCTGGGAGGTATCTTTCGGTCCGCCAGTATTTTCTTGGACCGTGAAGAACGAGGACTTTGTATTTGATTCACTACTCCGTAAAGAGATGTGTCATCTGTAAAAGAAGATAATGCACCTGCCTACCGCCTGCTCCGTCCTGCTGCCACTCCCAAAATAGGCACCACTTCGGCTTACTAGTCCGTACACCGAGTTGGTATTTGCTTTGACTTTTCTAGCACGGGGAGTGAAAGACACAAATGCATGTCCCAGTCCCACCTTCTTACCCAGTACTATTGAATTATGATTATTCTCTAGTACGGGGAGAAAGTCTCTTCCTTCCAACTGACCACCATGGACCATTGATGGCCTGGTCCGTGTGACTCCGTGGCTTTTAATTTGATCCTGAGATGGGGCTGGTTGCGGTTCGTTGGTCATCGTTCAAGGGGAACTTTGTCCACTCTATGAAGTTTCCCCTGACAATGAATTTTTCCTTCTGTTCCTTTCTTAATATTATATTATCATTATCATTCTGTCCTCCGTATGTACTCCGTAAAATGAATGCCAATTTTCCAGAAGGCCGATCTCTAGAATCCTCCGTATGCATTTATTCTTAGTAACCGCATCTACCTGAATCCATGGTAATCTCGCGTGTTCTCTCAACCAGAAACGGCTCCTGCGGCAAGTCTCATAATAATGCCAACCTCCCCAACAGGAACCTGACTAGCCTTGTTGCTACTAGACTCACTTGTTCCCGACCCTCCTTTAGTCCTTTTCCTCTGGCCGTTGGACTGGAGAACCCCTTAAAGTCTTAAACCGATGCTAGCAGTACGTTAGCACTTTGCAGCCTACGGTGTACGGAGCAGCCCTCGACAAAAGCAGTGCCGGACCATTGTTTAATTTAGATCTTCTGACTAATTGGTTCTGTCTGGATTTCCGTCTGTAACCTTCGGGCTGCACCGGTGAGGTTATCCTTACAGAATACAGAATACAGAGCGCCCCGTAGTGCACCCCCCTCCCCATGCCATGCAATTAATCCCATATATCAAAAAGCGTCTATGGTCATTGGCTTGATCTTCCGGCGTGGCCTATCTATTTGCTCCCGGAAGATTAATTATTAACGCGGGAATCAAAAGGGATGCAATGTAAGCGTAAAATCCGAATAATTATTACATCAGGGCTTTTTCTTTCTTTTTTTTTTTGTCTCTGACAGCTGAATAATCACCTGTTCTCTTCCAATCCCCGTTCATTGCATCCAAACAGGGTCCACAGTCGCTGTTCTGGGCTTGAGGGTGTTTCTTTGGTTCGGGTCACCGACCACCGTCACTGAGAGGTTTAAAGTACCACCCAACGGGGCGCTTTTTTTTTTTATTTACTTTCTGCTTCTCTTCCCTTTCTGTATCCTCTGCACTCAACTTGTCAAGCTTCCCTATTTTGGGTTACGGCGTACAACTACTCCTAGACTAACCACTGTAGATTTAGCACTAACTGAATGATGGGGTTCGTGAAAAAGGAAAAAGAATTCTTAAGATCATAGAAGAAAGAGGAACGTAGAAAAAAAAAAATCAAAACTCTAAAACACAGCGCTTCATTCGAGTTCTTTTCCCATACTGGTACTTTACAGGTTGGCTGGCCCCCTTTCCCACTTCTTCCACGGTTTCTCTTTTTCGCATTTCCCGCCTTGTGTTTTTTCTGGTTGGTTTGAGCCCTTTGGCGGTCGGGACTCCGTAGGCAGGCGGTAAAATTTAGGATGTGACAATACTGGGCCTTCGTCATGCTCAGATGGACTTCCTGATTTTTGTTTTGGATTTTCAACCCTTTTTCATTCCGGGCCCTCCTGACCGGAAAGGAAAAATCAAAAAATCAAAATAAAATTAAATAAAACAGTGGAATCTAAGAGAATCCACCGCCCACCCGCGCGCCCGACCATACACATTCGGCCGTGGGAATTATTGAACCAATCCTTAAAGCTCGCGCCCAAAGAAATTTCTTTAGGGGTTGGTCGGTGGTTACGGACGAACCGACTCTTGCCTTTCGTTTCCTTTCCTTTCCTTTTTCCTTAGCCGGTGGCAGTGATCGAACATCCTGGGTAACCAGTACTCCGTACAGTTATTATTATTATTTTTATTATTACTCCGTATGATCAAATATTTTTATAACCATAGGTGAAGAGATTATGATATACGAAGGACTGGGGATTAAGAGGGACTTTTATATGATAGTAATTAGATTAGACTACTCCGTGTGTATTCCGTAGATAGAAATGCAGTCAATCAGAAATAAAAATAAAATGGTTTAGAGAGCAAGACCTGGGCTAGCCAGAGTCTGACTAACGAGCCCGGAGATCTTCACCACCGCCCACCGTCCACCGTCCGCCCTCCCTGGCCGACCGACACTGACACCTCCTACCACTAGTCAGTCGCCTCGACGGCTTTTCTTCTCTTCTCCGTCCTCACTTCCTTCCCTTCTCCCCCCTCCCTCTCCTCTACTTCCTTTCCCCATCCTCCCTCCACGTTCAATCGCCATTTTCCCCTTGGTTCTTGAACTTCCACAACTCTTCGCTTTTCCCTCCCCTCTTCTTCCTTTTGCTTCCTCTTTTCCACCTCCTTTTCTTTCAACGAGCTTTTCACTAAGTGTCGTTGTTATCGTGGTCCGGAGCATTTTTACTTGACGCGAGAGAAATTGTTTGATTCGATCTTAATCTTTTTTTTTCCTTTTTTTTTCTTTTTTTTTTCTTAATTGTTTCTTTGCTTCTTCAAAAGAAGACAGACATTGAATTCGATAAAAAAAAATCCTCGCAATCCTCGCCGTCTCGCCTCCCACGAATTTTCCTCTCCAATCTTCAATTGTCCCGCTGTGTGTAATATTTCTTATATTCACATCCCAGGTGACTTCATACCGTCAACCCTTCTTCCGATTCATCCGCAACATATCTTCACCGGCTTGAGTCGTCTCGTGTCCTCCCAAAGTCTTCATACGGGAAGTCAACACGAAAGAAAGTGACAGGTTCTCACCTCCCGAAAGACCGGAACAGAGAAAGGAAGAACAATCCAAACACGCCAGCTTCGACCGCTCATCACGCTCATTTCGCTGAACTTTTTTTCTTTCTCACTCCAATTTCTTTACACTTGGTTGTTTCACTGAATTGTACATCCATGTTATTCATCTAAGAGACTTTGACTGCGACATACATAGAGCCACGGCTCGTTGAGCACCGCTCTTCACCCCAGGATCAGGGCGTGGTGGACGCTTAGACGGTTCGTATCTGTCTTTTTGTCTTCAACTTGATTGCTCTCCCTGTCCCCCTTGTCGGTTGAGATATCCTTTTGCTTTGAGGAATTTTCTCTTCCTTTGCTGACTGAGAGGATCTTGTTTGTACTGTACAGTACTATTACCGTCTTCCGTCCCCGTCCTGAACTGGTTTTATTTTCTTCTTCTCATTTTCTGTTCTTTTTCTTTTCTCTTTCCCCCCTTCTCTTATTATGCCGTCCTTTTACGCCCCTGCCCTCCAGACGGGCTTCCCTCCTACTCCCCCCCATATCACGAGTGGTGGTCGATTGGAAACCGAGCAACCTTTCTACGTCATGGGCCCCTCGGCTTTTCCTCCTCGCTATTCTCAGAGCGGCTGTGAATTTATCGAGCAGTACTCCCAGTCAGGTTGCTACGCCAAACCCGCTCCGATGAACTTGCACCCTCAAACTGCCCACTCGATGCGTACTGGCAGAGATATGGCCGCCGCGATGAACCAGCCTATGTTCGGCCCCATGGCCGCCGCCAACGTTCTGCCGCCCATCCGTGGTGGCAACGTTCAATTGCCCCCGATGGACAACGGCATTTCGTCGCAGTACCGTCGACAAGACATGATGGGTCAGCCCGAACAACAGCAACCGCGCAAGGAGGAAAAGGCCACTGGAGGCGTTGCCGCCCATTTGGATTATGAGATGGATCAGATGTCCGACTTCGTGGCCGAGATGGCCCAGGGAATGTATGCTTTGTACATCACCAAGATCACCCTAGCAGATATTGACTTCGCGCGAAGCGTCTACCCAGGAACCTCGGTCCCGCCTCAATTCCGGAAATACGTCTTCCAGGTTTTGTCGTCGACTCGCCTCCCGAGCTCGACCATTCTCTTGGGTCTTTACTATTTGGCCAGCCGCATGCGCATGCTTTCCTCCGCCAAGGTGTTCGCTTCGGGAAGTGGCCAGGTCTACCGCATGCTCACCGTTGCCCTGCTTCTGGGCAGCAAGTTCTTGGACGACAACACCTTCCAGAACAAATCGTGGGCGGAGGTTAGCAACATCCCCGTGAGCGAGTTGAACTCCATGGAGCTCGACTGGCTCTTCGCCTTTGAGTGGAAGATTCACGACCGCATCTACGACAAGCAGGACGGCTTCTCATCGTGGCGCTCTCACTGGGAAACCTGGCGCGCGAAGACCGTTGCCCGCGCTCAAGAAACGCGCCATAACTTGGCTCCGATTGATACCAATGTTTCTCGCGGTTCGAGAGTCTCCAAGCCGATGCTTTCCCCCGAAGGTCCCATTCCTCCGCAGTATCAGCGAAGCACCAACTTTGAGAATTCTTGGCTAAACCCTGCGGCTTCAGAGTACTCGCCTCCTTCTGCTCCTCACAGTGGTCCCAACACCCCGGATTATTACACTGTTGGGCCCTGGGCGTACGCTAACCCTCCTCCGCCTTATTCTCGGACCTGGGTTCCGCCACAGCAATACATCCCGCAGGTACCTCGCTCGCAGCCACCGTCGTACCATCACACGCCGTCCTACGCTCTGCCTTTTGCACAGAGTGTTTGGACTGGTCACGGTTCCTCCTGCGGATGTTTGTATTGTGCCAAGCACATCGAAAACTACATGTGCGCTGGTCCGTTCGGTGCTATGCAACCGATCCTCGCTGGTTAAAAGAAAAGAAAACGAAAAAAAAAAACAAAAACAAACCTCGACTGATGTACCATGCTCCCGACTGTATCTCGATGGCGGTCATCTGTTGGTTTTCTGTTGGCTCTTTTCTTCTAATTGCTCGCCTACTCTTTTTTAGACTACCTTTTTTTTTTTTTTCCCCTTCTCTCCTTTTGTTCTGATGATACCGTGTCCTTCTATCTTCGTTTCTGTTTTGATGAAAATCCCGCCTTTCGTCGTCAGTTTCGGTTTATCTTCGTTGAAAAGTTCCTGCAGCCGCCCTTTTTTGTGTCCTGCCCGAAAAGCACAAAAAATTCCGAAAAAAAAGTTTCAAGCAGCGATATTGGGTCGACTTTGCCAAATCTACAACTCAGCTCTACAACGCATTTACGATACGGCATAGCTTCGTTTCTTTCTCGACTTGATACGATTTCGTTGTTTATGAACAGCTTTTGTTCATCGTGTGCAGAGCGTTATTCCAAGGGGAAGAACCCCCTCGGAGCCTCTCGGTTTCTGCAGTGAAAAGTCACGACATTTATGATCTTCGTTTTTGTTACCCTACTGCGCTCATTCCTTGTTTTGTCTTCTCCACTACTTTCGATTTTCTTCTCTGGGTTGGGCATTTCACCTGGCGAATGTTATTCCATAGACTTCTTCCCCTGGCTTTTCGTTTTGTTTGGCACATTGGTTTGCTCTTCATCATCTCTCACATCTTTGCCTTGAGTACAACGGCGTTAATATCTTCAATTTGTCTATTTCGATTCCCCGCTGTCTTGCATTATTCTGTTCCGGTTGACAGATTCAATTTTTGTTGTCTTTGTCGTGCTTGATCCTTTTTCTCTTCATATTCAACCCAGCTTTGTTCGGAGTTGTCAATCTTCAAGGACTCTGCTGAGTTGTGGTCTACTTATTTTGTTCTTTTCTTTCTACGATTGTCTTCGATGAATTGTTTCATTCTACCTTTTGTTTTTTCATGTCCCAAAAAAATGATACACCCCCAATCGTCTATTTTCTATTGTCTATTCTTGATTCTATTCTTTTTCTTCTTTTCCTTCTCAATAGTGATTGAACAACCTGTGCCATTGTGTTCTCTTGTTCATCTCTTTTTTCTGTTCAACTTTTTCTTTCTTGCTCTTTGCTTTCTCTTGAATGTAAGTTAGACTTTTGATTTGATTAACTTCCAGAAGCAGACCTATATGACTTGCGGGAAAAAGATCAAAAAAAATTAAATCTACCCTTTTTTTTTCTTTCTGGAAATGTTTGGTATCTTTGCTTCTTTTTGTAGACCTGTTTGTTTCGTAATGGAGAAGTGGGTTTGATCTCTTTGTGCTACTTCCGCTGGTGTTGTTAGACGGTGAGATGATCGTTAGCCACGATACTGGGGATAGATACTAGGCAGTTCAGGAACAGGGGGACCTGTCCTGTTAGGCATTGGCCATTTTCTAGTAGGTTCCTGATTTATTCTTCTGACTACAATTTAATTTCTCTTTGGGGATTTTAGTCTAAAAGCATGCTCATGGCCATGTATTGATTGATTGATTTGATTGATTGAATCGAATCTGTATTGTTCTCGTCCGTCGTAATTCAGTGCATCAGTTCGTTCTCTCTCCCCAATGGCATCTTTTTCAAATTAAATTAGAGAATTGGATAAAAAAAAAAAAGAAAGGCATTTCTTTTCTTCCAATTGAGTGGATGTGACAGAGTAAGGTTTAATGAATGTTGGTTAGCTGGTGACCAGCAAGAGTTGGCTATGTAGATAGATACCTGTTGGTGATGGAATGAATCAGATCCAAGCAAGAAAGGAAGAAGGAACGAAAGTATTGACTTTTCTGAACAATGGCAGGAAGAGATAGGGGACTAAGGAAAGAGAAGAATCTAGGGATGTATGATATTCATCAAGTATAGGAGTGCAATTTAGTAAGGTAAGGTATGGAACTAGTAATAATAAGAAGTAAGGAAGTTTAGATATGGGTATCAGTACCAAAAACATGTAGAGGGAAAGCGAGCCCGGAGAAATAAGACTGAAGAACCAAAAGATAGTGAGGTGTTGAAAATGAAGGCAAGATACCTACATAAGAAATTAAGGATCTCAGAGAGCGGCTTGTGGTCATGGGAGATTGTTGGGTTCATTATGGTGGCGGTGTTGATTAGGACGAGCATGCTTCTGTCGTTGAATGATAAGAGCTAGGCACGATTTAAAAGGCTAGTATACGCTTCCTCGGATGCTTTGGTCTTCTCTTCGTTGAGCTTCAAAAGTAGAGTCATCGCCGATGTCGTCGGTTCTGTTGCCGTTATGATCGTGGTCGTGGTCGTGGTCGTGATCGTGATCGTAGTCATCATGTTGGTATCCATGCTGTAACTGGGTCTCGTTCTGGCTCTGGATAGAAGAGTCGTCGTTACCGTCGTAGTCATGGTCGTTTTGGTTTCGTTCAGTCAGGTTGATGGCTACCTGTTGCGCGAGATGTCGCCTGCCCGGGGGTAAGGTCTGATTGTGATTATAGCGGTGATTGTGGTACTGGTGGTGATGGTGATGGTGATGATTGTGGGATCGCGATCGACGTAACTTTTGATGCTGTCCGCTGCCTTCGTCGTCGCCGTCGTTGCCAAAATCCTGGGAAGATTTGGGTTGATGCTGGAGAGGACGACGGACAGCGCGTTTCTTGATCTCATGCTCGTCCTCGGAGGGAGCAAGGCTGTTCGCTCCGCTCAAAGAACCGCCCCCGTCCCGACCACCAAGGTGAAAAAGACCATAGTTTGACCGTGGCGGATGGAGGAGATGATCCTCACTGTCGCGGTGGAAGTGCACCAGTCCCGGACGTTTGGGGATCGGACTTGGGCATGGGCCAGATGATGGAGGAATCGCGGAGCTCGGCGTGTCATTGCAATTGCTGTTAGTCACAGGGTTGTCATTCTCGGTGCCATCAGCCCCATCATTTGATAACATTCTGACATGGGAGACATGGGTCGTCACGGATGTATCTTGCCTGTGGAAATCATGTCTCCGTGGCGGAGAGGGAATAGTTTTCTCCACAGGCTTCGCCTCTGCTGAACGATCTCCTAACCCCGGCTCAGGAGCTGTCAGCGTGCGTTGTTCCACCTGGTTTGTTGACTTGGCGGAAACTGTGCACGACGGCTCTTGGTGATGATCAACCTTGTTCTCCTGAGTGGCGCCGCCTCGGCTGATTTCGTTCTGTCTCTTATGCGGATCCGGAGCATTGGGTCGAGACGATCGCACCGAGCCTTTTCTCCGCACGCCATGGTTACATCCGTCAGGACAGCCGCCCCATGTGCGCCTAATTGGCACCGAGTGGTCAGACGGCGTTAAAGGTGCCGTCGGCCCAAGCCCTTTGGCAGCCCTTTCCTGCTGTCTTTCCGCTTCCTTCTCCTTCCGTAGCTCAGACCAGGTGCGTAGCTGGTTCTGCAGCACGTACTTTCCGTTATCCGGATTGAGTTTCATGACGACAAACTCGCAATGGTTTATGTTTCGCAGATCTTCGAAGTATTCTACGCTCCAGTGGTACCATTTCATGAGAAAAATCCGCGTCATTAACCCATGGGTGACCAGGACACAGACGCTGGCGAAGTCGTCCTCTCCGAAGAGACGCCATAGCGACTCGTTGAACCCACTGACCCGATCATAGGCATCGGCAGCCGATTCACCGTTCGGGATCCGATAAAAAAAATGACCATAGTCCGCACGCTCCAACCACATTCGCTCCATCTCCGCCGAACATGGCTGAAAGTTTCCGAAATCCTGCTCGCGGAGACGAGGTTCCTCATAGACCTTGATCGTGTGTCTGGGGAAGGGGGTTGGAGAGGGGCTATCGGAAGATAGAGACTGCAGAATCCCCTCAGTGGTCTCCCGTGTCCGTCGATACGGTGAGGTAAAGAAATGGATGGTGTCGTCGGGTCGCAGAAGGCTTCGCAGGTGAGTCCCTGCCTCTTGGGCTTGCCGATGTCCCTCAGCGGTGAGCTTCACGCGGTGATCGGGGATGCTCTGGTGAATTTCGCGATTCTTGTTTCCTTCTGACTGAGCATGACGCACCAGAATGATCATCTGACATGTATGAGAAGGTCAGAATTCTATGAGAAGAGGGAAGGACGCGAGAAAGCAGCTCACCCGTGGTTTGCCCATGATTGACGGCGTTACGGGTATGTAGAGAGGCGGGGTTGGGTGCAGATCAGGTTGATGGAATAGAGGGAAGATATAGAAAGACGCTACCCTTAAGCGCCCACCGTGACCTTCCTAGCCAGCTCCTTGAGGCCGAGATGGATCTGGAGGATAAACCGAGAAGATCAGGAGGAGAGAAAAAGAACAAGTGCGGGCCCGCGTGAAAGGGAAGTACCTGAGAATGACTGGATCCGGTTAGCGGGACAAGTGATGTCAGCCGTTTGACGCTCGTGCTTTACTAATAACGAATATTGCTGGCCTCAGGCTGCCGGCGGAGATGCTGCGCAAGTTGCCGCCTCGCCCGCCGTACCGCTGTCTCGCCGAGCATCTGGCCAGATCCAATTCCTCCGCGTCACTTCTACCATACTCTGCACCGCATTGACACCATGGCCGACTACTTGTATGAGCTCCTAACCCCGCATCTGGCCTACGGGGATGGCTCTCCTCTGGCGCCTCAACACAACGTCACCACGGCCCGATATCTCAATCGATTACCCACCCTCTCTCTCCAGGCGTTGCAAGAAACAGAACCCCAGTCGCTAGCGCAGTCCTCTCACTCCACCTTGCTCTCCCTACAGGCCCTATCCAATCGTTCGCATAAAACTTTCATCGCCTCCTCCGACAGTCTATCGCACCTACGCACGTCAATTCCCCAGTTGACGCGAGACGCCCAACAACTTCGAGATGCAATTCCGAGACTCGACGAAGAAGCCGTCCAATTCGCGTCCAAGTATAACCGTGCCGCGGAAAATGTAGCGCTGGAGAAGCGCAAAAAGGCCATGCAGCTGGCGCGCAACGTTGACCGACTCTCCGATATTCTAGAGCTACCCACTCTACTGTCGACGACGGTCTCATCTGCCGCGGCTAGCTCGGGTGCGACGGCGGGCTCGTTTTCCACAACCTACTCTGCCGCATTGGACCTATACGCTCATATCAAAAGACTGCAAACCCTATACCCGGATTCGCCGCTGGTTAAAGATGTCGTGCTCCAAGCCGAAGATGCCATGAAGGATATGACTACGAACCTTATCGCTGGTCTTCGGACTCAAAATCTCCGACTCGCTGCGGCCATGAGAACAGTAGGATGGATGCGTCGAGTTGCGCCCGAATTGGAGAACCTCCGTAGCGATGGCGGGACCGGCTCCGGGGAAGGTGCGCTGGGGGCCTTGTTTTTGATCTGCAGACTGGCAAATCTAGTGTCTACACTGGAGGCATTGGATCCCTTGCGGGAGCTCGCAGATCAGGAGACGCAGCGGAGGGCACAGAGTCTAGAGAAGAAGGACGGCACGGCTACCTCGTGGTCTGCGGGGCACCAAACCGAGAAGTTTCTGAAACGATATATTGAAATCTTCCGCGAGCAGAGCTTCGCGATAGTCTCATTATACAAAAACATCTTTACCCCGGACCAGTCTGGGTCGGATCTAGCCGTGGCGGGATTACGGGGAATTGATGCACGCACTAAGACGACGACCGCGGCTCGCCCGGATGACCCGCTGCAGTCACTTCCTTCGGCCCTTGCAACGTTTCCCATGCACCTGGTTCAGCTACTAACGGGTACATTGCGGACATATCTGCCCAACGTCCAGGACAAAAGCTCGCGGGAGAGTCTCCTCACGCAGGTCTTATACTGTGCTGCCAGTTTGGGGCGACTTGGGGGAGACTTCGGCATGATTCTGACGGAGTTGAGTGACGGAGAAGACGGAGACGAGATCGCTTACGAATGGGAGGAGGTGACACAGAAACACCGAGCGTTGGCCGGACGCCTGGAACAGCTCACAGGAGGCAATAACCATTCAGACGCAAGACGCTCGGACAAGCGCTTGTAGATCGGGCGAAAGAACAAACAAAGCAAACTGAAACAAACCCAACAAAACCAGCCGCCGGATGAGGTTTCTAAAAAGGGGAGGTCAGCACACCCACACTAAACCTAAAGGGGCGCTAGTGTCGGGCGCCGGCTGACCTCCGCCTTTCAACGTTGTCTGGACCTTCTCGCTCTCTCTCGGCCTCCTCTCTTTCCACTGCTTTCTCTCTTCTCCCCTCCTCCCCCTCCTCTATGGATTCCGCATTGTATGATTGTACAGCCTTTGTTGTCGTCTGAAACCCCCTTCCTCTCATGGTTGGTGCTGGCTCTCCAACATTCTTTGTTCCTCGTTCTTCGAAGCTGTGTTTTGTGTGACGTTTCTCCCTGGCGGTGATCTTCGGTCCGCTACCTGCGGCCTCTTCCTCCTTCCCTCCGCCTCCCCCTTCTCCCGGAGACTTCCACAAGAATGAGGACCTTCTTATAGTTTGTATGACAGAAGGACTTGTATATTGAAAGAAAGCCTCGATTTACATATATAAACATCCTGCTCTACCTATTCCCCATGGCTGCCTCCGCTATTCCCTCCAACGGGTTGATCGACCCAAACAAACAAGCCGAATACCCGATAATACTGGGCGACAAGTTGGCGGGAAAGAAGGATGCCTCGCGTTCCAAGTTTGTCCATATACAGTACAACCACAAGTCGAAGTCCACGAATCCGCTGCAGCGATCCGTCATCAAACCCTCTCGCGTCAAAGACCAATATAATCTGACGATCACCGACGGATCACAGAATGCCGACCATGTGTATAAAGGTAGCGTGGACCCTGAGCAGGCTGTTTCAGGGTCGGAGGAGAACAATCTGGTTTTGGTGTTCGATGCCGAACGCAAGGCGTTCGTCCTGGAGCCGGTCGCAGCTCAGCTCAACTTCAATCTTCGCTCGGCTCCGGCCAGGACAAGTAAACAAGTGCTTGAACTGCGTCAGTTGCGGACGTTGCAGGAGGACGACCACGCCTCGGGGGACGACATGAGCGGAAATGACGATGGTCCGGCGGATGACAGCAACCCATATGATTTTCGCCATTTTCTTCCCAAAGACAATGCTGAAGACGACAACAAGTCGGCCTCAGACAATGCGACCCCCGAACCGTATTCCGCACCGAGCAAAGGCAATACTCCTTTGCTGATGCCAACGGCTAAGAGGCCTACTGCGAGCCCGAAAATAAAGTCCACTCCCAGCCCAAAGCTCAAACCTACTCCGAGTCCGAAGCCGAGGCCCAAATCGCAAGCGAATCCTTTGCGCCAGACCAAACGCCCGACCGCACCGGCGAAACCAGACAACGCAACGAGCTCTAAACCCAATCCAAAGCCCAAGCCTCATGTCCCGGAGAAGGCGAAACAGCTGGACGGACTTGGGGTGGAAATGCCAAAGACGTCCCCGCCGCCCGATCTTGGAACGGGTGCGATATCGGCCCATAAAGCAGTTCCGTCGCCTGGGACAAATATCATCGTCGATGGAGATCTAATCATTGACATGGGATCGCCACCTCCTTCACGGCCCCGCTTCAACATCAACCCCGCGCACTTCTCGTCGAACAACACTCCAGGAATGGATGTCGGCGATGACAACGAAGACGAAGAAGAAGAGATCGAGGATCTACGACTCCCGTCTCCCGCTGGACATGGGGGCCGACCCGCAGCGCCTGGAAGGACGCAGCCCGTGTCGCACGTTCCGGTGACCGAAGAAGAAGTTGAAGACGACGATGCGTTGGCCGCAGAGATGGAAGCAGCCTTCGAGGAAAGCGCCCGAGAAGAAGAAGAAGCTCGAAGCCAGCCTTCTCAGCAAGAGGCATCATCGCATCAGTACCACATCCCTAGTGAAGATGAGAGTGAAGTGAGCGAGGAAGAGTAAGACCCGTGTGTACATTCTTCTCCTCGTCACCCCGTATATTTAGCCACATCTTGTTTTTGGGTTTGATTTTTTGTTTATGGACTATTATATCAAGTCTACATATAAGCCCGGAGTTTGGAGCAAAGCGACGGACGCAATAGAGCTGGTCCTATGATATTTTGGAAACTAATGATACCACCTGTGCATCCATACCTTACCTGTTGTATACAGAATTGACTCTATATTGTTATATATGAACAGCTGTACTGAATGCTTTATCTCGTGATAATTTCAGAGAAATAAATGGTATAAATGTAAAGCCTCATCATACAACAGAACTAATGCATGCATGAATAATAGACCTCATTGTTTGTATTATTTGACCGGGAGTTCGGAATAACTTAATGATCCGGGGGACGCATTCCGCCTGCGGATCATTCCCTGGTGACCGGTCAACTCCTCCGTCTCTCTCTGTCGCTCCGCCGTCAGAAAAAAAAAATTATAATTAGAGCTCTGCAAGTTCGCAGTGAATAGTTCTCCCTTACCTTTTCTCTATCTCCATTGCACCTCCTGCCACATTGCATCTCCTTCACTTCGACAGCAGCGGTGGCTGGTCTATGCTCCTAAATCCTGAAGCACACAACGGTGCTATTGATTGGTCTTCATGATGCGATGAAGTGCCGGTCGCGTCATGCTTGACAAAGTCTCTTTATGTTTTATATACTAGCCCTCGCAATTTCCAACAAAAGATCAATCCTCAGTTTCCTGTCAGTTTTACATTGACTTGAACCGCCTAGGCCAAGTGGATGATCAGTCAATCCGACTTGCTTGACACTTGTGTGCGTGCATGCTTGGACCCAGCTTGTGCTCTCGCTCAGTCTTGTCTTCAGCGTTGCCAGCTTTAACGGCTCTCGTCTCGGGAGCATATATCATTCTCCATGGCATCCTCAGCGTCGCATCCCTCGGACAAGCGCCGACCCATTCCCGCGCCCTCGAACCCCGTCCTCCTTGAGATACAATCCCAATGGCTCTTCACCGACGAGGAGCTCGCGCGGACACCCTCGCAGCTCGACGGTATGAAGCTGGAGGCGGAGAACACAAGTCGCAGTAAAGGGGTCAATTTCATTACCCAGGTGGGCATCATGCTGAAGCTCCCCCAGCTTACCCTCGCGACCGCCGCCGTCTATCTCCACCGGTTCTTCATGCGCTTCAGTATGGTCGACCTGCCGCAGCGACCCGGAATGCACCCCTATCCGATTGCCGCCACGTCGCTGTTTCTCGCAACCAAGGTGGAGGAGAATGTCCGGCGCATGAGGGAACTGGTGGTTGCTTGCTGTCGGGTGGCACAGAAACAGCCGAACTTGGTGGTCGACGAGCAATCCAAGGAGTTCTGGAGGTGGCGCGATACTATTCTACATCATGAGGACATGGTTTTGGAAGCGATCTGCTTCGATTTGCAGCTGGAGCAGCCGTACCGCATTCTGTACGACTTCATCTGCTTTTTCGGCGTCAACGAGAACAAGCCGCTTCGCAATGCGGCATGGGCTTTCGTCAACGACTCCATGTTCACCGTCCTCTGTCTGCAGTTTCCGGCCCGTATAATTGCCGCCGCCGCTCTCTACGCTGCCGCCCGTCATTGCGACGTGGGTTTTCCCGACGACGATTCGGACCGACCGTGGTGGGAGCAAATTGACGTGGATCTGACCCAGGTGCGTCGCGCGTGTACGAGAATGGCACAGCTCTATGAGAACAATGCCATGCAAAAACATAGCCAGTACTACCCGACCACCCCTATCATCTCAGACGAGGGTACTGAGAAGACCAGGATTCCGCGCGCTGGCAGCCCGGCAAACACTCCGCGCGAAGCAGATCCCGTCAACGGACGGAAGCGGTCCAGAGAGCCCGAGGACGAAGGCAGAGGGCGTTCGGAATCTCAGAATCCTCTCGACTCGCAAGATCATCACAGCGATCGATCCCCTAAGCGACAACGCGTCGGGTCGGATGCGCCGATCTCCCCGTCGCAGCAACGACGCTCTTCGCAATCCCATACCAACGGCCATCTTCCTCCTCCACCTGCACAGCATCGTCATCCACACCCCCTACCCCCAGCTCCTCGACCCTACTCCCGACGAGATAGCGACAGTCGACCCGCAGGGAACCCAGCACCGGGAACCTCTGTCGATCCTATCCAGCAACGAATCGATGAGATCGTGCAACAAAACATGTCCCACGGGGCTCCTCCTCCTCCGCCATCATCATCGTCCCGAGACCCTCCACGGTCAGAAAGACGATCCTCCGATCGATACCGCAACGAATGGGAACACGATGATCACCACTCGGACCGGCGCCGTCGTCCCTCAGACGCCGGGAGCAGCGGCAGCAGGAAACCACCACCACCTCCTCCTAACGATCAGCCTGAACCAGAACAACAGCAACCTCCTCCTCCGCCACCCGATCAGTATTATGACAGTCAACCTACACCACCGCCTCCGCCCCCACCTTCACAAAGCAATCCTCACAATCCGGAAGATAAGGATGACGAGGGTGGAGGGAGCGAAGAAGGAGAGTTATAATAGAATTCCCTCTACCCTTTTCTTCATCCTCTATTTTCAAAAGGTTTACTTGCTTGTACCAGTTGGGACTCTCACCTTCTCCTCCTTTTTCTCGTTTATTCTTCCCGATGATCCACACTTCCCCCTTTTTGCTATCTTTCTTTCGTACCACATACATCATATCATGTCCTATCATATCGTCCATGATCGGATCGTCTGGCCTCAATCTTCGGTTTTATGTCTTTCTATGTTCTTTCTATCATCTTTGTCTCTGAATATTGATCGCATTATCTTTCATTCTTTCTTCTATATCTTGCTGACTTCGCAAGTCGAACGACTTTTTTATCTTAATACATGGAATTAAAAATCGGCAAACACATACATACATGGATTGAATAGATAGGAGAAACACAGATCAAATTTATCGAAATAAAACACCACAAAGAATCCTTTGCTTCTGCAGTTTGTAGCTAGCTTCTTATGTACTTGCTTGATTTCTGTGCTTGGTTGTTCCAATTGTATGAGAATTTCTTTCTACTGGACGTGTTGTTTTCTCTGAATATGCACATTGCGATATAGTGGACCTAGTCTACTTTGAGGGATTATGAATAATTGGAAAGAGAAGGTATAGCAATAAAAATAAAATTCCAGAGAAAGAATGTAGCGTATGTAATGGCAGTGCAATGCGCTGAATTACACACCAAAAAAGAAAGTAAAGTAACTAAGAATAAGCTAACCATGTGAAAGGAGCGAAAGATATGATATCCAGAAGGTAAGAATAGGAACCAAAAGCAAAAGATTGAATTGCGCTCGATGGTCAATTCCTCCAAAACTGATCAGTAACCAGCAGTCATCATTCCAGGGCCATGGTCAAGCAGGCTGCTCGAAGCAACAAAGCTAAATCCGCCAAAGGGGTTCTCTCCGCCCAGTCCATCATGTCCGGCGGACATGCCTGGCTGGCTTGGGCGGCGAGGGCCCGTGATGGAATCGTCGAAACCGCCGACCATGGGGCTGAGAGGCAGTTGAGTGAAGTCGACCGAAAAGTTCTCCGCCAGCGCGGGATCCGTCACGACGGGGTTGATGGGCGGGTCGAGCTCACGGCGCTCGAGGGCCTTCCAGTCGATCTTGCGGAAGAATCGGTGGTTCTTGATGGTCTGAAGGTCCTTGGGCATGTGGTATCCGAGGCGCTTGGAGGGCTCCTTGCGAAGCAGCCGCGTGAGCAGATCTTTAGCATCCGGACCGAGGAAGTACGGCATGGTCAGTTTCTGCTTGACGATCTTCTCCTGGAGTTTCGCGTTGTTGTTGGCTCGGAAGGGGGGCGATCCCGTGAGCAGGTCAAAGCCCAGTGCTCCCAGAGACCACCAGTCGCAGGCCTTGCCGTATGATTTGCCCTGGACAACCTCTGGCGCCATGTACTCGATGGTGCCCAGGGACGAGTTGCAGCGGTCGTCGTCATCGACGGCAATTTTGCTGAGGCCAAAGTCCGTCAGCACGAGGTGGCCGCGTCGGTCCAGGAGGCAATTTTCCGGTTTAAGGTCACGGTAGATCACCCCGACGTTCTGGTGGAGGTGCTCAAGAGCGAGAACCATCTGCGCCATGTAAAAGGCAGCCGCATCCTCGTCGAACATCCGTTCCATCGCCAGGTGCGTGAATAGCTCGCCGCCCTCGGCATACTCGAGAATCAGATACAGCATCTCGTGATCCTGGAATGCGTAGAAGAGCTTGACGACGAACGGGTGGCGATTCACGCTCTCCAGGATAGTACGCTCCGTCTTTGTCTGCTCCACAAGTTTCTTGTGGACGGTGATGGAGGCCTTTCGAAACTGCTTCTGCGCATAGAGCTTGCCCGTGAGCACATGACGCACCAGTAGAACAGTTCCGAAGGAGCCTTTGCCCAGGCAGAGCAGGGGCTCGAAGTCATCGGTGGTCATCTTGCGGCATAGTTGAGAGCGTACATCCTGAACATTCGAGGGATTCCGAAAGCTCTCTTCTGCCGCAGCATCGGCGCTCACATAATCATGGTCCAGAGGCACTTCATAACTGGTGAGGACCTCAGTCTGATCGCTGTCCGAGCAAACACTGGCGTTGCTTGGGGTCGCGGAGCAAATGTCACTGGGAGCTCCGTTTTGGGGACGATCGCCAGAGATGTCGAGAGAATCAAGCTGAAGCTTCAAGGCACTTACCCCGCCATTGTTGCCATTGCTCGTAGGCACGGGATGCCGCTTTGAGCTAGGAGCTCTGGAGCTCGAAGCCGATAAATCCGAGTCTTCGTCGCCGGATCCCCTGGGAGTAAAACCACGCACAGTAGAGATGGCGGAAGCTGCTTCGTTGCCCTGCTGTTTCTTCTTCTTCTTGCGTCGGTCCGATTTTCCGGCCAACGGGATCGCATTCAACTTCGGCGCTGGGAATGGATTGATCGCGCCAAGGTCCTTCGTCGCCTTGCGCTCAGGACTGCATTCACTCATGCGAAAGTTGGTGTCTGGAATGGCGTTGGTTTTGGTCTCTGCACGGGGTGGGGACATGTCCGCCTGCGGAGTGAATACGTCGCCCACCGAGAGATCGTCTTGCATTCTGGTCGACGAATCCATTGTTGTCTTTCTCTCTTTCGCCCTCTCTTCCTAGATGTTCTTGTTGGTCTATTGTTTATCCCTTTGCCCTATCCCTTATCCCGTTGCGATGCGGAGGACTATGCGGAGATTGTCGGAGCGAAGCCAGCAACAGCAAGGATCAATCGAATTTGGAGGCGCCAACGAGCACGATTCATAAAGTCACGAATGATTACATCCACTCAGCCATATAGTGGAGAGAAGCCTGGTAGGCTTACCAAAGAGTACCTAGATCGAGATGAAGTGTGAGAATGCGATCCGGGCTTTTTACGCACATAAGTGGGGTACTCTTGCAACCCGAGGAAGAAAAAACCAACAAGTAAGGGGTGCAGAACTATTAAACCCACGTACCTATACTTGGCAAAAAGAAGGGCGAATCGGAGAGAAATCCCGAAGTTGAATCTCCCTCTCACACACACACTTGCCCGAAGGCGAATCTAGTTGTCGGACACTGAAACTCTCAGGTCAGGAGCAATTTACCGTCCGCCCTTATTCAGGACGGACCATGAACCCCTAGCCAGATCACTCCGTCGACGGAGGGTCCCAACGGCTGAGTATATGCAACCGAGGAGCCAGCCAGCGCGGAAGGTCCGCAAATGACAGCAAGTGTCGAGTCGGTATTCACGATCCGGGGGAATGCGGAGGAGTCGGCAAGGCAGCCAACGGAGGTAACGTAAGCGGACGATGAGGGCGTGGGCGCAGACAGGCACATAGAGAAACGGCCGGACAGGGAATCAAGATGAAATTCAGACAGACTGGGGAACCCAGAGAAGAAAGTGGTGAAGGGTGGTTCGGAGTGATATTCCCGATCAAACGGTGGGCGGGGGAGGGAGGAAGAAGAGGAAGAAAGAAGGAAAAGAAACAAAAAGTTGGAGGTTCAGCTGGATCCAAGCCCGCCCTGCGCCAATCAGGGGGCGCCGATTCTAAGCGTGTGCACTAGTCCCGATCAGGCACGGTCATCACGCGCTGAGGTCATCGAGTTGTATAACTACAAACTTCTGCCCAGTTACTATGATTCTTGTTCAGCCTACGATCCAGCGGCGAATGATTAGTTTACAATTATTCCTTCAAAATGACAGAACGCGGTCAGCAATCAACGCAGTCAATCACTAACTACCTATTACCGATCATGCTCTTCCGCCGTCGACTTCAGCCCTCTCAAAGAACGCTTGAGACCGCGTAACCTCCACGCCTGACCTCTCCACAAAGGCGAGAGCACTAGGTTTCTCGACCCTCACTGTCACGCGCTCATTCAAGAACTCTACCGTCACAATGCGCGCCACGAAGGTTGCCAGCGCCTCGACAGTCTGGAAAGAGGTGGCCTCGACTCGCTAAAAGAGGAGACAGTATTAGCCATAGTGTGCATTAGTATTTCGGGGAAAATCGCCCACCTCTGCAACAACCCTCGTCATCGCCTGATAAGTGTCCACCACTGTCGAGCCCCAGGGCAGCTGACCGGGACCCTTGAACTCCAAGGAGATGATCACCGCCTGCTTCTCCACCCTCTCGTGGGAGTTGACGCCCAGAATGCAGTAGCATCGAATCCCGTCAATTCGGAACTCCTCTTCGAGGACCACCGGACATCTTTCAGACTCGTCGGCCTCGCCGGGGGACCCTTCGCCTGCCTGCTTATATCCCCACACTGTGACGCTACGGTATTTCAGGCCTTCATCGGCCCGGAGTAATGCCTTGGGCAAATGCAGCCAGACTTCACACTCGCCATACACACTCTCGATCGGCGAACCCGACGGACGCGGGGGACTGAAGTTGAAGTTCGCGGGGCCGGATTGACCACCCGAGCCGCTGCTTCTTCGGACCGTTTGATGCAGGTGGGACATCCGTCGCACACCGGCAGCCGTCTCGTCCAGAAGCCCCAGGCCGCAGTTGGCGACGATGCCGGCCGTCAAGCGCACGTCCTGCCCGAGTTCTTTCCGCAGCATCTCCTCGCGTCGACTGCCCTCCACGCTGATCATGCGTTGTCCCGGAGCTTCTCCCCGTTGTCCCATGTGGCGAATGTCCTCCTCGAGGCGGCGGTAGAGTTTGCCGTAGTCGAGAGAAAGGGAGACATCGTCAGCGATGGCGGCCGCGACGGCGGATGAGTACGATAACTTCAGCGACGCGGTGCAGGGCTGGGCTTTTTCGGGGCGGTGCCAGGGGTCTGGGGCTGACGGTAGTGGAAGTTGGATGTTGCGGAGCTTCACGCTATCTAGAACGGGTGGATGCGAGGGAATATGCACATTGACTCGTTGTTCCGCCATGATGAGCGTGGTCGAACACACGGCCAGTCTGACGTCAATAGAGCTAGATGGAGAAGTCAATGCTGCCAGGACCGGCAGTAGCTAGCAGCTTGGATGGCCCAGTGTCGACCTCACAAGGGTTGAAAGTCGATGGCGAGAGGAAGAGAGAGAGAAAACCCTGCACACATAGGCCAGCCAGCTGAGATACAAGTTGAGTCGGTCGTTTTTGTGCGGGGCAGCTGGAAGGTCGACGGACGGTGGGGTTCTTTATCCTTTAGCGCGGGTAGCAAACCGTAGATTCGTCGCGCATTGTATGACGCCGGTGCCAAAGGCTAACAATCTTGGATCATGGTTTACGTCGTCGTTCCCTACGAATTTCGTTCTTAAACAAGGATTATGGCAGTCGCTCGTTACGCGACTCGCGAGTTTGATTGCTGTGGTATCCCTGTCCATTAGCAATCCTAGTTACATCACACATAGTTCTCCGAGCAGGCCAAGATGGGCAAACGCAAAATTGACATTTCGTGGTTAACTGTACATAAATCCTCATAAACGGCCAAATAACATCAGGGAATAGATTATTGCTGAGGAGGTCGGTGGGTATGACTTTCCGTAAACCAAGGTCAATCGCTGACCTCTTAAATGTTCAAACTAACCAGGGGAGTCGAAACAGCTGGAAGTGTTAATCTGCCTTTCCCAACAGCTGTCCCGTTATGTCGCGAGCATTATTCCTGGAAGGGCCCCAGGCAAGTGGGAGGGTGTGTTCGTTTATCATGTCGAATAGAACCGAAGCTTTTCCGCAGCGGGTGCATAGCTGTTCGCATCTGCAGCCCAGGCAATGAAATCAAGTTTACGCTCCAATAATCCGGCGAGCGAGAAAAGCCCAGATGTCAACAACAAAAAGGGCAAATGATCAGCAAGAAAGAAAGACAGAAAGACAGAAATGAGAAGCATAGAGGGGGTATCCGCCATGCGCGTTGAGCAGCTTAAATCACACGAAACGAAGTCAATTACCAGTACCCACGACGGTCGTACGGAACGTATTCACCCCGTGGAGGGCTCCGAGGGCGTCCATAAGGCCTGGGCGGGATGTACGGATCCTCGTAGCGAGGCGGAGGTGGCGGCCGCACATCATAAGGATCGTCGTAAGGGCGACGTGGAGCAGGATAGTCTTCAATCCGAGGGCGAGGGGGGGTGCGACGACCGTAGCCATCCCGATCATAGTAATCCCGACGCATCGGAATGGGAGAACGTTCACGGTAATGAGCACGGGGGCTGTAGCCACGAGGAGGGGCCGGGAATCTCCTGTCGTATTCATCCACAGGGGGGTAGCTCCGACGGGGAGATCGAGACCGGTAGGGATCGCGAAGAGTACGATCATCAAAGGACTGGATCTGTGGCTGAATGAGGATTGGTCCGGGTTGAGGCGTGGGTAAGGTCCCTTACATCTGCGACGCAGCTCACTCTCGAGCCCTTGAAGTCACGTCCATCGAGTTTGTCGATAGCAGTCTTGAGATCGTTCGCAGTTTCAAATTCAACAAACCTTGGAATTGGTGTTAATAGGCCAGTCATGTCGTCCAAGGGGAAAGGTATGTGAACGGAACCCACCCTCTACCCAGTTCACGGCCGGTTTCCGAATACACAACGTCAAGACCAGATTGACGCGCAAAGTCTTTGAGGTCCTAGATAATCCCGGGGTGTGAGTCCATTTCCAGGTGAAATTTTGAGATCCGGCAGTGTCAGGTGGAGGTGCAGCAACTAAACAAGAACAAGTGGAGATAACAGTCGGGAAAGAGAAGGCCGCAGATGGTCCGTATCCATGTCGGCCGCAAGAGCTTTGTTTTTGTCCAGAATGTGGTCGTCCAACGTCCGGGAGTCAAATGTCAACTTTCCCGCGGTTTGCAGATTTTCCTTGCGGATCGAGGCTAAGATTACTCGCTCCTCCGCCAGATGGATCCTGGAAGCTGGGCAAACCGATCCACAATAAAGTGGTCGTGCTGTATCTCCTTCCAAGAGACTTGAACGGATGACAAGAAACACAAGTGACAGAAAGGGAGTGTGCGCAGAATGAAAGAGGGTATTGCTTAAACACTGATCGGCCAGGCTGGATGGGGTCCGGAAAATCCTAAGGAAAATGGACGTGGGCTGCTAACCTGCCAACTTGTTTCCGGAAGTCCAGAAACCATCATGCGAAAGATCGTGCGCCGGGGGCGAGGCATGCTCGGGCGGTCCATTGGGCCAGGGAAGTTCTCCTTACGGCGCGGACCACGCGCAAATTGCACCGTGAGCCGTTCACCTTTAAAGTCACTACCATCTAAATCAATGCAGTCAGAATGGATGGGAGTCCACTTCGGGTTGAATGGACTACATACGGAACGCTAGATTAGAGGACGGTTAGCAAGCGTTTTCCGACAATAAGACGGCCGAAGAACATACCCGGAACAACATCGCGAGCATCCATCGCATCTTCGTATTCGATGAAACCGAATCCATTCATCAGCTTGATCTCTGTGATCTTTCCAGAGCCATGAGTACTGAAATGTTCCTCGATGTCTGATTTGGTCACTGGATAACCCCATGGCGCCGCTCACGGCGCCGCGAGAAATGTTAGCTCATTGCAATATCAAAAATACTAAGTAGTCCAAGAAATTGGTTATAGTCAGGTTGTTAACGTATCAGCGGCGGTCAGAACGGGCCTCCGAGGGAGAAGCCGCCGAACCAGACCAAGGGAAATCCTTTCTCAGACGGAGAGACCACGGGGAGCACAGCCAGGAAGAACAACAGGTGCAGCAGAGCCTTTGCGTCGCAGATCGCGGTCAACCGAGAAGCATAGGAATCCAATCGGAGCATCCTGTCTCTGGGGCGCAAATTGACTGGACGGGTAGAGAGAGACCGGTCGAAGAAGAGAGATGGATAAATGCCTGCATACCGTTGCGGGGAAGATTCCCGAGATAGAGTCGCGTGGATGAAACTTCAGTCATGGCGGACAAAAAGCAAAACCGGCGGCGCTATATTCAAAAATCACCGGAAGAAAATGGAGGGTCCAATAGCCGGACGGGATCGCTAGATGGCTCGATAGCTAGATGTTTTCTGGCCCCTGGAATTTGTGGTGGCCAAGTTAAGAGAAAGAAAAGAAACTGGTCCGGTCAAGAGAGAAGGCCTGGGATCAAGGATTCACGATGGCGAAGGGTCCTTTCTGGGATAGACGGGGTGGCTCTTTTGTTTATTCCTGGTTTCCCCGAACCGGAGATGGTCCAGAAGTTTTGCTGGTGGGCCTGACTAGAAGGAGGGGGGCGTTAAACACGCTTAGCTGGGGTGTAGCAGTTCCGTGGTAGCTCCGTTTGCAAAGGCAACGGAGAAATAGTTTTGAATACAGACCGAAAGGAAGACGAAGATGAGGGTAGTAGGGGGGGGGAAAGAAAGGAGGAAGAAGAGGGAATGAGGAGAGAGAGAGAGAGAGAGAGAGAGAGAGAGAGAGATGTGGTGACAGGACTTGGTGTGTGTTGACCGCCAGGCAAAATGAAAAAAGAAAAAAGGAAAAAAAGGCCCGTGACCTGTCTCATTCGAAGGACGAAGCAAGCAGCTCCAGGCCAGACTAGACTCTAGAAAGTCGAAACAGGAACTGAGATACTCCGCGTAACCAAACAACTTTGCGTTACGGTCCGCCTCACTTTTTCTCTGGGCGGATCCACGTGGCCCCGCCCGCTACCATCAGGCGCTCTGCTTCCCCCAGCCTTGCCTTTGTTCTTCTTACTCCGTACTCTTACGGAGTACGGACTCGGTGCGACACATTCTTCATCGATCTGCTCATTCTCGGTGGCAAATTCTGACAGGCGACGAGGGGTGTCTGTCACGTGGAGTCACCTGCCCCCCTTGCGGGAGATCCATTTATGACTCTTTACGTGAAGTGAAGCCTTCTTCCTTCCTTCTTCATCCTCACGGCTCATCGATTCTGTTTGACTGGAACTGACCATGTTGGCTTTTATGCAGCTTCATAGGAGTCTCATACTAACCACATCAACTAGCAATGGCGTATATACAGGTACAATACCCGGTTGTCAAAAATGTTATCATCCATGATTTCCACCCTACCAGGGAACTCTATAAGGGTCGCTTCCGTTGATTTTCGGTTGCAACCGAACTCTTCAAGCACTACGGAGTTGCGTCGTCACCGCTACGAGGATCCTCCTTTCTTACGAATTCAATCTACTCAAATATAGAAACTGCAAGCAGGGTTTCTAGCAAAGTCGCACCTACCGAGTAGACTGATGTGCGATTGAAGCAAATTACGCTCCAATTTCATGTCGTTCTATGTCCGCCGTGATATGGAGTCATACTTACATCGGACAACCGCTTTGTTGACGTAGGAATTACGCTTTCAATCTTTTGGGCCTTTCCCCTTTCCACACTTCTTCCTAGACTGAGTTTGCTACATCTCCAGCCTCTTCCAGCCGTAATCTTTCGCTACCATGGCCTCCGTGCCTCTAGCTGGACAGGCCCTCATGCCCGACCATCAGCAGATGGTGAAAGTCATCCTCGGTGCTTGTCTTTTCGTCTTCAGAGGTGACATGCAATGCCCCTGTGCCTCCGGCTCTCTAGTGATCCAAGCCCATTCCTTTTCCGCTGGAGGAACATGCGACGACTGTGGCCACCTTCTCTCCCGGCATCGAGACTACGGTGCTATCCCTCAAGGACATGGAGTAAAGGAGCTTGAACTGATTGTCAACAGCCCCGTCTCTGTCGAAATTTCCGTCGCCTTTGCACCAGGATATCTCGCCGCGTCCCGACACGGTCAGAAAGCTTGCCGCATTGCTAGACAAAAAGCGAGTGGTACATGTCAGAGGACCCCCGGCGTCTGGCAAGACAACGCTTGCGCATCTTCTTGAGCTCTATTACACTGAGCAGGGGCAGTCGGTGAAGCTCATAACAGGCTGGAACCACAATACTGATCAACAGGAGGAAAGCAATCGCGTTTATATCGAGAACCTTCTGCACACTAAAACCGTGTTCATTATTGACGAGGCCCAAGAATCATTTGCAGATCATTCGCTGTGGCTGGGTCCAATCAAATCCCAGAGTGGTGCTTCTGGGGGTGCAAGAATTTGTATACTCTCTTCCTATGGAAACCCTACAACCGGAATGCCCAGTTATTCTGATGCGCAAGCTTCCCTATATCTGGAGCCGTCGCAGCGTGTATCCCTCATCGAGCAACCAGACCCGGAATCCTCGGACATCTGCCTATTCTACAACGAAGAGGAGTTTGAAGATGCAGTCAATAGGATTTGCTCTCGTTCGGGCACAGCCTTGGACATGGATCCATCCGCACGCGCGTACTTGTATTCCATGACAAAGGGTCAGCCTGGCGCCGTCGAAGCAGTAGTCTCCTATGTATTAAAGGTGCGTATCAACTCGGAAAGGGATGGGAACGTTCATTGAACACGTGTTTACAGAACTACGAGCAAGCATCAGAGGACGGTACGGTCCGAACTGTGACAAAGGAACTCTGTAGTAAATCATTCGTCGATGAATCGCGCGTCTTCAGAAGCTTCCGGCATTGTACAGTCTTCAAATCATTTCCCTTGGCAAAAAACCTCACAGCGCCTGCTGTCAACGTACTCCGCAGAGTACTAGAGAATGGCAGCGTACCGTGCAATCTTCAAGATGAAGGAGTCCGACTCTGCTACGAGCGAGGCTGGTTGCACTCAGACCTTACCAGGACGTCAGTCACAGAGGATCCCAACATCATCTGTTTCCTCCCTACAAGACTACACATGAAGTAATACTGCACCGATATGCCATGTCATTACAACACAAAATTTAGTCTGTTAACCTGTTAATCCGACAGATTCGTCGAGTACACGTTGCACGTATCCCAACTGAAACCCTTCCCATTCGACCGGTTCCCTTGTCTAGCCACCCTCTGCGAAGCCATCCTCAAATGCTTCTCGCGGACCCGTCTCCTTTCCGACCCCGACACCTCCTACCTCCCCAACAAGTTCATCCGCCCGCCCGAAACCCCCTTCCAGGACGAATGGTATCGCTGTTTCTCCTCCCTCGTCGGCCACGGAGTGGGTATTTCAAGCAAGTGGTCCTGCATCGGCAACGAACAGGTCGACTTCCGCATCATCGGGCCGGCATGGGGTGTCGAGCTGCTTCGCGACGGGGATCAGATCCACAGCGTGTGCGCTCGGTTTCAGCAGCACGGTCTCTACCACCCATTGGTAGAGAATGGACAGATGACCGACTGGCTTATTTTGGACTGTAGGCAGTCTGCTCCGCAGAAGTACCGTATGTCGAACTCCCTCCTCCATTATATATACATTCGTTGGGGAACGGAAGCGGGTCTCTGAACATCAGAGCTAATGTTTTCTTTTCATCAGATGTACCCGGTACGAAGCTCTGGCGAGTCGTCTTCAAGGATGACTTTACTTCAGCATATGCCCTGGACTCGGATAATGAAGTGGTCGTACCGGAGTTCGACCTTCTTGATTAAGTATCCACCTATCCATCTTTAACAAATTGACTTCTTGGAAACGGAGTAGTTGCACAATCGATTTTAATTCTAATACCATAGCATGTTGATTAGTTTTATTGATAAGAATGGCTTGGATTATTATCATCCATAATTTCCAGTAATAGGCATTTTATGTTAGATTAGGCATTTCGTCGTTTGTTTGAAGCCCCTTCCCATGGCACTTGAATACTACGCGGTGTAATGGAAGAGAAGACCTCTTTGCTTCTTTAGGTATGTCTATCAATCCAATACATTCATTCAGATATTAAAGTAATTGAAGCAATCCCCAAAACATGGGTAGTCTCTAATGAATGCTATAAAATGATCTGATAGGATAGGGTATGAGACTAAACTTTTTCTCTTCGTTGAGGTCGAGAAAGAATATACGAGATGCAATTAACTCAAATAGATATCTATATACAGAACGCAGGAAAAGACCAGTCCCAGAACCGAATCGAATCAACTGGCTTTTGCTTTTCTGGTTTCCTGTTTATACAAACGGAACTATGGAGGGTCGAGTAGGTAAGCTAAAGTAAGAAAGATAGGGTAAGTAAAGTAAGTAGGTTAAGAAGATAGAACTGAAGTGAACTGAACTGTGGAATCAGAACTAGAACCAGAACCAGAACCCGGCGCGCCAACATGCGCAAAGACAACTCTATTCAACAGAGAGAATAAAACACAGTAGGATATAATGGAAACGGCGATACGGATGGCGAAAGACAATTTGAGGAAATAGGGGGAACAAGGTGTGGAGGACGGACTGGGTATTCCCAACTCATGTCATGAAATACTTGGGACCCTCGCCGCCTTGGGGTGTTTGCCAGTTGATATCCTGGGTGGGAACCTTGATATCGCAGGTCTTGCAGTGGATGCAGCTGTTTTGTGTTAGTGCTGAATCAGAAGAGAGAGAGAGACGGGGCAAAGGGGAGAACTCACTTCTGAGCATTGATTTGGAAACGAACGCCGTGTTCCTTGCTCGGATCCTCGACGTACTCGTACACTCCGGCGGGGCAGAACCGGTTCTCGATACCCTTGTACTGCGGCCATGCGATATCCTTGTGCTTGTCCCAGTCCTCGACCTGCAGGTGCACCGGCTGGTCTTCCTCGTGGTTGGTGCCGGTTCGGCTAACGCTGGTTAGGATGTCGAAGCTGATGACGCCGTCCGGCTTGGGGTATTCGATCTTCTCGCACTCCGAGGCCTGCTTCGTGGCCGCGGCGTCGGTGCTGTGGTGCTTCAGGGTCCAGGGCGTGCGGCCCTTGAAGAGGTAGGCTTCCAGACCGGAGTACACGACACCGCCGTACAGGCCGAGAGGGGTACCGAACGAGGGTCGCATGTTGCGGACCTCTCGCAGCTCTTTCCAGATGGACGACTCTCGGAGAGCCTTCTCGTAGTCGAATAGGAAGACCGTTCCTTCGCTGGAGCTCTGCAGCGCCGAGAATGTCGACTCGGCGGCCAACATACCTGATTTCATGGCTGTATGTGTGCCCTTGATCTTAGGAACGTTAAGGAATCCGGCCGTGTCACCGATAAGCGCGCCTCCTGGGAAGGCGCATTTCGGGATGGACTGGAAGCCGCCCTCGTTCAGAGCACGGGCTCCGTAAGAGATACACTTGCCACCCTCCAGAACGTCCTTGAAAAGAGGGTGGTGTTTAAGCTTCTGGAACTCGCCGTACGGGGAGAGCCAGGGGTTGGGGTAATCCAGACCAACCACCAGACCAAGAGTGACCATGTTGTCGCCGAAGTGATACATAAAAGCACCGCCGTATGTATCCGAGGGGAGCGGGTAACCCAAGGAATGCACGATCTCTCCGGAGTTGAACTTCTCGGGCTGGACTTCCCAGACCTCCTTCAACCCGATGCCGTACGTCTGCGGCTGGCTGTCACGGCGCAGGTCATATTTCTTGGTAACCTGCTTGGTCAAACTGCCATGACATCCCTCGGCGAGAAGGGTGACGCGAGCATGGAACGCCATTCCTCGCTCGAACGTATCCTTCGCCTGACCATCCCGGCCGATACCCAAGTCGTTGGTCGCCACTCCGAGCACAGCGCCGTCATTTCCGTAGACAATTTCGCTAGCGGCGAATCCGGGATAAATTTCCACGCCCAGCTCCTCCGCCCGCTCACCAAGCCATTTGGTCAACTCGTTCAAACTGACGATGTAGTTTCCGTGGTTGTTCATCTGCGGCGGCATAGGGATCGGGAATGCGGAGTTCTGAGTCAAAAAGCGCATCTTCTCTTCCTTGGCCGGTGTCACGCCCTCGAACCGTGACGGGTTGTCCTCTGATAACCAGTCGGGTAGAAGCTCGTTGAGTGCGGTCGGTTCAAAGACATTGCCCGATAAGATGTGCGCGCCGATTTCACCGGCCTTTTCGAGCAGGATTACACGGAACTCCTCATTCCCCGCTTCGTTGGCAAGCTGTTTTAGACGAATCGCGGCGGCAAGACCGGCGGGGCCTGAAGTCCGTGAAAAGCAGATGGTCAGCGACAAGGACCGAGACAAAGTGAAACACGATATAGATAGCCTTACCACCACCAACAATGCAGACATCCACCTCATCCGATTCTCTGTCAACCGATCGGGGATCAAATTGACCATTTTCATTGGCGAGCTTCAGCGACTGCGAAAAAGCACGAATGGGCATGCGACCCGGTGTGAAAAGGGCGGAGCGGCGGGAGGTCCGGCGTCCGGAGATAGAAAGCGAAGGCTTCGAGCTTCTCGCCGAGTTCGAGGCAGCGGAAAAGGAGGAGTAGGCCCGCGAGAGGCGAGAGGGCGCAGGCCGCATCTCACGCCTCAAAAGAGGTAGCATGGCTCCCTTGGAGGCCATGGCGCAAATAAAGGAGAACAAAGACCGAGAGAGGAGAGTGGCGTACAGATTCTAGGTCGTATCATACAGGCATCAACATGACCGACGAACAGCGAAGCGAGAAGAGCGCAACGTGGAGAGGAAGCGATAGCAGCAATCTTTAAAGGCGGGATCAACTTGGATGCAAAAATGTGACTAAGCCAAGGCGGCGGGCGGTGGCCCGAGGTAAGGATGGCCAATGGGACGGGGGGCAATTAAGAATTCCTCAGCCGTGGGAAACCGAGTATAGCCCGAGCAGTAAATAGTAATACTAGCATACAGCCTACTCTCTCTGTCCCAGGCTACGTCACGTTGACAGGGTCAAGTTCGACATTCTGATTCAATACTCAGATTATTCAAGGTTTCTCAATCCCGGTAGCTGATCTATGGTAGTCTCGGTAGCGCGCACCTCCAGGAACAATAGATACAATTAAAAAGTCAGAATCCGAATCATGAGCAAACCACATGTTCGACATGATATCATTACATCGGAGTGCCGTAGTGCTGGGAGGATGGAGTAGATCATCAAGCATCACGACTACTCCGTCCATGCGGATAGGCCTGGTTTGGCCCGCGGAAGCAGAGCGGATGGCGGCGGTACCGGAGTCGGTGGGAGCCTGGCAGCCTGGTAGGTAAGGTGTCTACCAGGTAAGATTGGAAACCTGAAAGTATGCTGGATACCAACCGAATACCAAACATACGCCGTCGGCATGTAAAATACCACATGCCCGTGATCAGGAGTCGATTACGTACTCCTTTCCAAGCACCGCCCTCGGCTCATTTTTAGTATTTAGAGAGTCAACCTGTCATGTTGAGTGTTGACTACTCTGAGGGTACTTGATCTCTCATCCTCAAACATTCAAAACGCCGGTGGATCACAAATCAACACCCTGGCTGAGATCTGGGGAAAAGCCGAGAGCGCCACCATGGCCGACAGCGCCTACTGAGACCCAATCATCGACGCGACTCCTTTTCTGATACATCAACCGGCGACAAGCTTTTCGCGTTTTGGACGTGTAGCGGACGGACGGAGACTGGTAGATTTCACGACCACCTATTTTTATCTTCATTGCGTACACTTGTATACGGGGTATCCGTAGGATGTGTCGGAGAGTATGGTGTACACCGATGTTGATTGTTGATAAGATATGATGATCACTCGAGTGATAGCAAACGGTGAAGAAAGAAAACAAATAGAAAATTGACATCGCGATGATAGAATTCATTAGATTGATATTCGCCGACGCGTCGATGACAGGCTGAAAGAGGAAAGGAAATAGGCACGACAAAAAAAAAAAAACAAAGGATAGATTGGCGCGAAAGGCCAAATTGTTTGATTGTTCGGTGGATGGGCGCTAAAAGCAGCGAGAGCGACGACCGGGAACGGCATGATTGGAGCAGACGGAATGCATAGACTCGAGGGTGGGTCTGCCTATCAGTAGCAGGAGCAACGCGGACTGGACAAAGGGCAAGTGGCTGCAACCATGGCGCTGACCGGGAGAAAAGGCAAGGGGGCAACAACCAAACAGAGCGTGTTCAGCGGGGGGTGGGGCTCCCAGACAATGTGCTCGCGGTGGAGTGACTCAAGGGCGCTTTGCTTGGGCGGGCAGGAAGGGTTGGCCACCCAAGAGCCGCTAGTGGAGGACCACCCATGGATGGAGGCGACCGCCCATCGCTGCTTTTGCCGCCGCCGCCAGGCCCAGCCCCCCCTGACGCCAGCACTCCCGGGCGCTGTGACTCAGCCTATATAAAGGCCCAACCTCCCACTTTCCTGACCTTGTTGGAATTTTTGTTCTGGTCTTGGCACCGCCCGGAATCGCCATACAGTTGTCTTCTTTCCCGCCCATACCTCCCTCCCCTCTCTCTCGTTCCGATCAGATATCAGAGCTTGGCTTACCTATTTTCTTTTGTTAATAATCTATTATCAAAGAAAAAAAGGTTCCTCTCTCTGTTTCTTGACAGAATCAAAAAGGAAATTAGGCACAACTCCCATCTCCCAAAGAAGACCAACGCCGGAGCGGAACAACTCTCTCCTCTCCTCTACCAACGTTTCATCTATTGAAACTGGAAGTTTGCAACTGCATCTTCGCCGCTCTCTCTTGACTCTCAAGTCCCCAAAGCAGATAGACTACCCTATTTTCCAAAAAGGAAAAGCACCAAAAAAAGTTTGATTGTTTTGCCAAAAAAAAATTCTCCAGCGCATCCATTTGTCTTCACTCCCTCTTCAACTTGCGCCTGTCCTTTGCACTTTGTCCATAGCTGTGATCTTCCGTTGCCCTTTTGAGTTAAATCACTCCCAGAAAAACACTTCACTGTGATTTTTCTGGTCCCTGGTCCTGTTCACCTTCGCTGTCTTGTTCAGAACCTTGCCCAACCTGACCTTGTGTTCGGTTCTGCTTCATCTCTCTACGGGACACTCCTCCCGTCGTTGAACAGAAAAGGCAGCTTTGCTGTAGGGGAGACATTGACTTGTCCATCTCCCACAAAGGGTATGTTGTCATCTTTCTCCTGGATATCCCCGAGGAAAATTTTTGCAAAAGGCGGTCTGAAGATTGGTTTTCTGCCTATCTACACCGCCGGGTCGAGTTTATCATCTATCGCAGTTGCTGTTGGCAACTTGCACTTCATGAGGAAAACTCTGCCCATCACTGTCATCACTGTCATCACTACGCTGCTCCACTATCTCATCACTCCACACCGCTTGATGTTCGCCTCGTTGCGACCTCGTGTGTCTGCTGGCTTTGACTAATCTCTCTGTCCTTGATACACAGACTGCCCTCTATCAGAGCTTTCTCTTATCTATTCAGTCTTGGCTGGTCTACAGCTCGAGTATTTCTGACTCACGTCACGATGGATTCTCTCACAACCCATCCCTCGAACGCGCAGCAGGCCCGGGCCTTCACTTCTCCTGCCTCTCTCTCCTTTCCCGGTGGTGCCGGCGATCTGACTCCGCCTTCCGATAAAGATGGAAACATGGCGATGGGTGCTCAGGGTGCGAACGGGAACGTGAACGGCCAGCAGCCTGGAGCAAATGCCATCAACGGCAACGGGGTGACGCCCGCGACTCCGGCTGCGACTCCGGCTGCTAATGCTCCGGGGAGTGGCATTGTACCAACGCTGCAGTGAGTATACTCTTGCTGTCTCTCTGGTTTACCAGAATACTGAACATGTCTCTCTTCTTTCAAAGAAACATTGTCGCTACCGTCAACCTTGACTGTCGTTTGGATCTGAAGACCATTGCGCTCCACGCAAGAAATGCGGAGTACAACCCTAAGGTATTATCTTCCACACCTCCCTGAGCATGCTCTATCAGGGTACAGTGTGGCTGAACTGGTTTCTTTTCTTTTTCATAGCGTTTCGCGGCCGTGATCATGCGTATTCGGGAACCGAAGACGACCGCTCTTATCTTCGCCTCGGGCAAGATGGTTGTGACTGGTGCCAAGTCGGAAGATGATTCCAAGCTGGCTTCCAGGAAATACGCCCGTATCATCCAGAAGCTTGGTTTCAACGCCAAGTTTACGGATTTCAAAATCCAGAACATCGTCGGCTCCTGCGACATCAAGTTTCCCATTCGCCTGGAAGGCTTGGCTAGTCGCCATCATAACTTCAGTTCTTATGAACCTGAGTTGTTCCCCGGTCTGATCTACCGTATGATGAAGCCCAAGATTGTGCTCTTGATCTTCGTCAGCGGCAAGATTGTCTTGACCGGTGCCAAGGTCCGTGAAGAGATCTACCAGGCGTTCGAACTGATCTACCCTGTGCTTTCAGGTATAGTATTCATCGTTGTGAGATCGTGCTCGGAGTAGCTGCTAACTGCCTATATCAGATTTCCGTAAGGTTTAAAACCTAAGCGGCTGATAATGGGGAGGTCATCCTATCAACATTTCACCTCTTCTCACTTGTATTAACATCTTCCGTCTTTTCTTGTTGCCTTTTTAATCACCTCGCCTGGCTTGTATTACCAGCAAGGCAAGACGCTTCAACTTGTTGTCGCCTGCCTGAATTCTCGAACTTTCGCCCCCTACACATGACGATTTTTGATGCTAGCATTTGTACGGCGTTTTTAGCGATTCGGATTGCTTACCTTTTTCTTTATCTTCTGTTTCAACAAACTTCTAAAGTGTCTACAATTAGATAGTCGCACACCCGCAGTTTCAAAGGGGGCGGTACTGTGCGCTGGTCGATGGTTGCCTCCTTCTAATTACTTTTTTTGATTCTGCTTTTTATTTATTCGCCTGTTCGTCAGGTTTGGGGATGATGGATGGATCAGAAGGGAAAAAAATTTACTTCAGCTGTGTTTTTTTAGAGATCGGACTCGCAAACGAGATTGAGGATCGTGGTTCCGAGTTTTTCCTTTTTTTTTTCTTTTGATTCCCACGGACCGTCTGTTTTTATTTGCAATTCCTTGTTGCTGGTTGTCTAACAGAAAATGGAACGAGATATGCAGACAGTCTTGAGTCTTCTTGTAGATGGTACGGAGTAGAGCCGTAAACGTTCTCGCGTCCCTGGTAAACTGACAATCGCTGGAGATGGCTCACAAATCACATGTCTCGATAGGTTCGGGAACAGAAGCTTAAGCTGCCTTAATATGCAGGCACGCACCGGGACGGTCCTAGCGGTCTTTTTTTTTTTGTCTGCTTCGCTCCGTCCCGTCCAGGTTGTTCCTTGCTTGAACCTAGTTATCTACCTGTGTTCTCCAATTCTAAACTGGCCTGCAGAGAGCGGGTGATCTACAGATTAGGATGGATATCCCTTACTGGTTCTGTTTGTTTATCGGATCCATGATGTTGTTGTATCTTGTATATATATACAGACAGGTTTCAGCCAGCTAGTTATCTATCTATCCATCTACCGATCTATCTACAATTTTATATGCACGCTCTATACACCCTACATCTAACTAACTATAACGCGCTCGCCCGCTTTTCCTTCTGCGTCTTGGCCAGCTCCTCGCGTAGCAGCAGTCCCTTCGCTCCGGATCGACTTCCGTCCTCGGCGCCCTGCAGGACTCGCGGGTCGACGGCTTCCGGCCAGGCCCAGAGGTTCTGCAGTTCCGGGTCCAGACGGCCTTCGAGGGCGTCGACGACCTTGTCGCCGATCACGGGGAAGAATTTGTATGCGTGGCCGCTGCCGCCGGTGGCGAGGAAGAGGCCGGTTTGGTGAGGGTGGTAGGTTACGATGAAGTCGCCGTTGGGGCTGTTTTTGTTTCGAGGGGGGTCATTAGCGGATTGTATATAGGTGGATTTTGGTCTGGATCACTTACGTATCAGTGTACCAGCATACTCGGGTGCTGGTGAAAGGTCGGTCTCCGAAGGTCGGAAGGAGTTGCTTCAGTGCAAAGCGGAAGGCGTCTTGGCCTTCGCGCGGAACCGGGACGCCGCTCTCGGGCAGGCTCACGTCCATAGTGGCGGTTCCCTGGCTTCCTGGGACGGGCACGGATGTCGGGTTCTGGTAGCCGTAGGCATGGCGAGCGATCTTGAGCAGGTTGTTCCGGGGCGGGATGATGAAGATGCCCGTGCTGAAGTTGAGGATGGTGGGCATGTTCTCGAGCAGCTTCTGTTCTTCGTCGGAGATGCGCATGTATGCGATTGCCTGTCCGGTGGCCACGGCGCGGCCGCGGAGGTCGACCAGTTTCGATGTCCAGGCACCGGTCGCCAGAATCACCAGATCCGCCGTTATCGAGGTCCCGTCGGCCAGGGTCACGCCGGTCACTTTGTTCGGTGCCGTCTGGTCGGCGTACTGCAGACTCTGAACATTCCCCGTCTGGAACTTGACCTTGCCTGCCTCGTCCAGTTTCTTCTTTGCGTACCGCACCGACGCCTCGGCGTCGGACCAGCCCGAACCCCAATTCACGTACCCTCCCGCGACGTTGAGCGACTCGCCGTAGGCCGGCGCGGCCCGCAGAACGTCCTTCTTCGCGGGCAGAAACTCAACCAGGTTCCCTTCTAGCTCTTTGACATTGTGGTAGCTCTTGATCGTGTACTCCTTTCCCTGCGCATTGCCATCCGGGTAGACCAGCAGCAGGCCATTCTGGGTATAGCGGCCCTCGTGACCCCATTCCGTGTTGCGCCAGCTTTCGATGGCGGTGGCGGCTAGTCTCATGTATGTTGGGTTCGAATAGTCGGCGCGCACGATGCGCGAGCTGTCAACCGAGGATCCTTCCGGGTTGGGGATTATAGGGGACGCTTCGAGCAGGGTGACTTGGCTGTTGGGGTGTCGGCGGGACAGGGCGAGGGCCGTGGACACTGAAGGGGTGCGAACGATTGTCAATTAGAGCCTGATGTAGATAGATGATCGGCGAATGAGTTCGAGGATAAGAGCCGGGCGAAAAGAAAGACCCACGAGGTTCCATCTTTGGCCATCGCTGGTCTTGTCTTCAGGAGGATCGGTCACTCACATCCGAAGACTCCTCCACCGACAATCAATATCTTGGGTGGGAGAGCCATTGTGGGGGGTAACGAGAGCTGTCGGCTCGGGAAATCGATAACTATCGACCAATTGGGCCGGAATCAAGATATAAAGAGAGTAGAAGAGCACACAAGGATGAATAGAAAGGGAGAAAGAGAAAGAAAGAGGGGAAACTTCCCCCAGATGGGCTGATACCCAAAGACCCGTGACTTTTTCCCCGGAAACGACCCGATTGCGCGCCTTCCATTTCTTGGCCGTCCGATCCTCGGCCCCGTTTATCTTTGATTATTTGATAGGACTAATGAATTCGTCGGCCCAGCTTCCCATCCCGATTCATGTTCAATTCCATGACTTGCGGAATCTTATGATATTACGTTTTTCTCGATTCCCTCGTCAACCATGAGCGCACCCCGAGCAGGACGCGCCGCGTTGAAAAAGGCCAAGGTGCCTGTCACCAGTGCTCCAAGGACAGGCGGAAAGATCCCCGTCGAAGGGCCAGGGTCAGTATGCATGTCTTCTCAGGGCACACCGTATTAGCGGCAGTCTTTCTATTCAACATGACAATTCCACCGCTGCGAAAGAAAGCCTCTTAGTATACCCTTGTCTAACATGTTAGCAGCAAAAAGACCCCGGTAGCACCATCGCTGCCGAAACGAGCCAATCCCCATCTGTCCAATCTCAAGCCAGACGATGAGGCCCGAATGTCGCCCCGGGTCATGACCACCCTAGGTGTCAGCGTCCTCGGCATAAGTGCTTACTGTGGCTATTTATTCGCGTCCTACAGACGAGAGGTGGCTCAGGCGCAGACCCTCGACGTCCCCAAGGACGTATCGGATCGCTACAACCACACGGCCGGGACATTCGACGCGGACGTTGAAATGTCTGAGAAGCTCATGCGCATGGGAAGCAAGCGAAAGGGCCTAGTGCAGCGCGCGCGCGGAGACGTGTTAGAGGTCAGTTGCGGCACGGGTCGGAATCTCGAGTACTACCAGCTGGGCGAGCGACGGGGTCTCGACGAGAAAGATCGCGTCGGGCTGCGAGGATGTCGCTCCGTGACGTTCATCGATCTCAGTCCGCAGATGGTGGAAATCGCACGGCGGAAATTCGCCAAACTCCACCCGACCTTCCAGAACGTTGTGTTCCGCGCGCAGGACGCGGCCGACGTCGCGCGGCCTTCGATCCAGGGGAAGGCTCCTGCGTATTACGACACCGTCGTACAGACGATGGGGTTATGTTCGATGCCGGACCCTGTAGGCACGCTGCGACATTTAGGCACCATCGTCGAGCCGCAGAGGGGGGAGATCTTGCTTTTGGAACACGGTCGGTCGCACTATGACTGGCTCAATCGGGTCTTGGATAACCTGGCTCCTGCCCACGCGGACCGACATGGATGTTGGTGGAACCGGGATATAGGCCAGATTGTCCGTGAGAGTGGATTGGAGATAGTTGAGGAGCAGCGGTGGCATTTTGGGACTACGTGGAAATACGTGCTTAGGCCGGCATCGACCTCATAGAGGATGCGAGGGGTGTATACTATCTTTTTTTTGGTCACACTGTATATTCATCGTCAACGGCTTGCCTATTGTACCATAGCTCAAATAGAATAGAATTATGCATGCTTAAGAAGCTTAAGAATAACATCCCCGTACAGAGTAAACAGTAAAATACAATTATCTACATCGATTCCCCTCTCCTGCGACATGACGTCGCGTGTCCCTCATCAGTCCCGCCAAGGTACTGAGTATTCCGGAGTTCTCGAAGCAGGCAACATCACCGGGAATAGACCCATCTGGTCGGTGTAGATCTGAATCCTACGGGCAGCAATTCCGAAGAAGATGAGGTCAGGATGGCGTGGTGTACGGAGGATATGCGGGGTAGTATTTCCAGCAGCGATGTACCATGTACCTTTTCGCGATGTTATGCAAGAGCGGCCGGTCCATGTATGCAGGATATATATTATTGTCGATGTATGTACTGTACTGTACTGTGCCTGTGCCTGTGCCTTGGTCTGGACCCGCAAAGAAGAGAGATTCATCGATTTCCTACAGGAATGTATATGTATATGTATATGTAGACAATACATACAATATATCGAAGTCGGAGATATATGAGTAGACGATTGCCAACGAACTTGCAGCATGGGGGTCCGGTGATGTGGTCCGGTTGATTCCTGCGTTTATTGCGGGATGGAGTACAGATTATTGAAGTATATTGGATAGTTACTGTAGTTTATTGTTGCTTACGGGGAGGGGAGGAGGATTAATTAATTCTTCATCGCATCGTCATCGCTTCTGTCCCGTTCTGAGTCTTATCGTTACACTGACCTGGCTTTATCGTCATCGCGATTCTATTTTGGGGAAATTCTCCGGAGGCTGCGAGTGTTGATATTGTTGTACAGCCAGGTAGGTGGTTATTCGCGGATCGATGGAGCGATTTACTTATCCATGACATGTCCATCTTCCGCCCCCATCGACTTACACAGTACATATACACTTTGAATCATAATTATGACACTACCCCCAGCCTAGATCCTTGTTCCAGGGAGGTTGGCAAGGTTTGCGCGAACTTGATAGATTAAAAACTATGGACATGATCATAAGTACGTGTACTACATGCATGTGCTATATCTCCCGGTGGTGGGGATGTTTACACGTACAGCGTCTCCAGCCGTGTGTGTTCAGTGCACTGAGTAGGTAGGTATTCCGTACATGTGCGTATGTGCTCCGTGATACTTGACGAACACGAAGGTTGGTCTATCAGCCTTGGCCAGCAAACACAAATGTTGACCTCCAACGTCAAACGACCGTGCAATAATGTGGAGGGAGTACGGAGTACACCGTTATGTGTAGTGTCCAGGCAACGCCAGATAGGGATAGTGATTGATTTTATTGATTGGAATGATTCCACGCGCGTTGGGAATTCCCATCGTGTTTGAACCCGTTAAAGTTGATCCCTTGCGGTCTGGGTGATACATCACATCCAGCCTGCAGGAAAGATGATGGGGGAGAGACTCATTCTCCGTGAAGCGCCCTGAACATAACAGATGATCGCGCTGGAAGTGCTTCTGGTGTGTCCCACTTATCCAGCCGAAGATCCGTCAAGCTGCTCCGTATTCTCGACGCGACAATCGCAAGCCGTGCCGTGGCATCCCATTCCCTTCCCAGGCGGGAGAGAAAGTGGCGAGTTGCCCTTCTGGATTTCCCTTTGTCCATTTTTTATTTTTCCAGGTCTCCAGTTAGTGGAGGGACTAAGGCTAGCGTCTCCTCTGGTCCATCCGATTGGATTCTTTTCCAATCTTCTAGACGACTCGGCATTTTCCCCACTGACAGGCCCGTTATTGGCCGGCACTGGTCAAACGGCGACGCTAGGAAGGATTTTCCCTGGAACCGTCTTTTCGCCGGTGGGGTGTCGCCCTCGCTGTCCATTGGCCTCGTTTTGTGTTTGGTTCCATTTCTCCTCTGGGATGGTGCATAAGTGTTGCATAGTGCTGCGCTAGCGTGGGTCTTGGATTGAGATTTTTTTTTTTTCTTTCTTACTCTTCCGTTTGGTTTGTTTGGGTTGGTTCTTGCCCGTTGCTGTTGGCTCCCGGATTCTTGCCTCGGGACCCTGGACTGCTGGTAGGCATGTTCGATAGATACGAGTGCGTGGACTCCGTAGTTGTACGGTGTATGTGTCCTCCGTAGAGCCGACCGACGCCGAGGAAATCAACATGTCAACAGTCAACACGCTTGGTTTACAGGTCCCATGGATTGGATTCCAGCCCGCTGTAGATGTACTTTCCCGAATTGGATACAGCCTTCCTGAGTTTGACGCAGTTCAGGTAACGCATCAACTTACCAGATCGCCTGAGTTGGAGCTTATTTTAGGTTGTTTTGGTTTGATTTGGTTGCGTGGTTTTTGCAAGTAACCGATAGAAACCAGTCCTCCGGCAGTCAACATCCCCGTCCTGCTACTACGGAGTAGAGCTTAGACTTACACCATACTCCGGAGTAGTGACCATACGGTGTAGACACAATAATCAGTCGGTGAGCAAAGCGCTTGAAAATCAATCTAATTAGGGTGAAGGTCAGAGCACCGACAAGCAGGGTAGTGCGGTGCTAAAGTGAAATAGATTGTATACTTACCTGCTCCGGGTTTGTTTGTTTCTATCCGACCATAAACAACGAGAGTTTCGACGCAGCAACCATCACCGCCTGCAGGAGGGAGGTGGCCTGTCGGGCCTGGTCGGTCCTAGCGTCTCTTTGCTTGCCATACCAAGCAGAGGCCGGTCCCACGGCGCGTACTCCATGTCTCCATCTCATCCATCCATCCATCGGAGCGCATGCAGAACCTCAGGATCTTGCCCTGCTACCAATCACAACCCGGACTATTCCCGACTGGTCGTCATAGACACATGGCTCCGCTCCACCGTACTTTTTGCCCCTTTGGATGCATCATGCAGACGGGCAGCTGAAGTTAATGCCAGCGCCTTCGTACAGACTATGACCGCTGTGTACTCCGTAGAGTCGCGATGAGATGCATCTGGGGAATAAAAGCGGTGTAGCGAGGAGGGGTAGGAATTCCCCAACAACTAGAGGGGACATTGCGCGTAGATCAGGAAATTCAAAGGAGTAGTGACTAGTGAGACTGAGAATGAAACCAAATTAAAAAAATAATAATGATTTCTTTTCCCTTCCCCTTCGCTCCTTCCCTCCCTCTGGAATCCCGGAAAAAGAAGGGCAGGAAAGGAGAAAAAAAAAAGAGGAAACGCCCCAGTCGTCAGTAAAGACCAATCATTGCCACCGTAAAGCACCCGCTCCAGACCCAAAAAAAAAAGAGATTCACTTCATTTCTTTTCAGAAAAAAAAAAAAAATCCACAGCAAACGACGATTCCTCAGGCCCATTCTTTTTCCCTTCTGTTCCTCTTCTTGTTATTCAATTATTACGCTTCTCATAATTATCATTACTATTCTTTTCTGATCACCGTTTCCTCCTTCCCTGGGTTTTGACGATTGTGCTCCATTCGGACTGGCCAACGAACTCTGCTTTGATTACCCCCCGTTCCTCGTCCTTCCGGCATCTGAGCATCATTGCCCTCCTAATCCCTCCTTCTCTCTTGCTTCCCTCCCTTCGCCTCTCGCCTCCCCCCCCATCCATCCATCCATCATCACTCTCTTTTCTCTCTCCCTTCCTCATCTCATCCCCTCCTGTCTTATTATTATTCTTACTACTATTCTTTTTATTTACCTGTATTCTCCCTGTTCTCTTTTTCTATTCTTATTCCTGTGTGATATTATTATCTTGTTTGTGTTGTTCGCACCATTGCTTCTGCCTGGTTGTTTGGTTAGGTTGCCTGCTATTGATTCCCTACTACTATTATTACCGTACTACCTAGAACGTTACTCCTATTATTCCCGCCTGTATTCTACTTGCTTCACCTGCCATTTCCATCACTTTCTTGATTTCCATCCCCCCTACTTTCTATCACACGTCGCTTCTTTCCCCCTTATCTCGTCATGCCTTATAATACTCGTCGCAAGTCGTTGTCGCTTCCGTCGCTGGGTATTCACCTGCCTAATTCATCCCGCCGTTCGCCGTCTGCCTCAAAACCGCCACACGCGACTGACGACCAGCTGCATCCCTCCAAAAAGGTAAAGAGATCGCACGACTCGAGTTCTCTGTCGCCAGAGCCTTCCTCGGCCTCCAGCTCGACCTCGACCACGCTCAAGCATCAGTTGGCTGGTGCGCGCTCGTCCGCTCGACGCGGTACCCTAGAGCAGACGCCACCCCCGTCGCCCCTCGACGGCAGCGTCGCGCCCAAGGTCGATACGGAGGGGATCAGTGATGATATCGTGGTCGCCGTTATCGAACAACTGGAGAAAACGGGCAACCGTCCGCACCTGGTCAAGGAGCTCGCTGCTGTTCTCGTCGCTCTAAATGACAATGTCGCAAAGTATGTTGGAATTCCCGATTCTCTGCTCTTTGATTATTAATTGCTAACATTCACCGTCCATAGCTCCGCAAACCCTGCTGCTCTGTTGTCGTCGCGGCTAAGCACGTATATGAAGCGCCCATGGACGGCCCTGGCGCCCTGCCCGATCGCCAAAGAACTCATTCCGATCCACCCTCGGAAGGTGTACTATTACCTGACGACGCTACCTCGTCAGCCGCTTCCCGAGAACTCGGACGATATCGTCGTCCCCGGCCTCGAAGGGAAACAGACCACGCCCAGCGTGACCAGTGCGGATCTGGACGAGGAAGACGCGTTGGCCCGGGAGCGATCGCGCATGAGCCCCAGCCCTGAAGTCGACCTGTCTTCCCCAGACTTTGAAACAGAGAACATAGATCTGGACGGTCGCGCCGATTCTACCAGCTCCTCAAGACATAGCCCCGAATTTCCCGACCATTCTCACCAAGCGCGCTTGTTGCACTCGAACCGTGCCGCTTCGCCGCCACTCGAGGGTGACGAGAAAGAGTTCACGTTGACTGCTAGCGCTGTTCGCGAACGGGCTTCGGAGCAGAGAGCTGGCCGGAACGAGACTTCCAAGGGAGGGTTCTCTGCATTGACCGAGGGCCTGAACGGGCTGGACGATGAAAGCATGAGCATCGTGGGGACTCCCATGGACGACGGCCCGCTCTCCTCCATCAGCGGGGACCGGATGTCGGACAGCCCTGAGGCCGACTATTTCTCCCACGGAGGCATCCAGGAACAACATTCGCTCCGGGAACAATTACAGCAGCAAGACTCCGACGAGGCCGCTGTGGTTGCCCTCTTCGGAACGTCCCCGTCCCCTTCGCTTACATCCGTCGCCTCATCCATCTCGTCTGGCACGAGTGTGGTATCCGACGATGGTTTGGATTCCGAGGTGCGCGCCGGTGGCGTCGGCAACGCCCCTCAAATAAGCCTTCCCGAGGACCTCGACGTGGCACCTGTCTCTACGCTAAAGCGATCCATCGACATGCTGAACAGCGAACTGCCCGACCTCGACATGAAGATGTCGGATCTGGCTGAGCAGGACAGCAAGGTGTCACTTGGAGCCCGGGACATGATGAAAGCAGACATCGAGATGACCTTCGACGATTCGTGGAAGGAACTTCAGAGTCCCGAGACGGTCGGAGTTCATGAGCTGGACGAAATGTTTGGCGAAATTTGAGCGCTGCTCGGTCGACTTGAATATCTCGTTTCGAGAACTTCCATCCGTGGTCTCGGCATACCGGTCGCAAGTCATGGCTGCTTGGGGTTCTGAACTCTCTCCACTCATCCTCTACGTTTCTCCCTGAATGCTGCGTGCTCTAAACGTGGCTTGTACTCTTGTGTCTCTCTACCTCCTCACATCTTACTCTTTAATCATGTACAGTGCGATCTATCTAATGGCTGCTTTGGGTTCATTTTCCTCGCTCCGTTCGGTTGCGAGACCAAGCTGAGTTCTACCATGTAAATATACTATCTTCCTTTTTTCGTTTCTTGCTCACGTTGAAATATCCCCTGGATGGCTCGGATATCACCTGTTTTGCTTTTTATTTTTATTTTTTTTTTTTGTTATGTTTTCCTATGTTTCAAAATATCCTATCAATGTCTTTTCCAGGCAGAGTCTGGCAGGCGGGACAAAAAAACAAGGAAAAATGGCTGTCGAGTGGGTTCGACAGAAGGGAAAGGAAAAACCCCGAGGGGAAAAAAGAAGATTGATTTGATGTCTTGACGCCTGTGTATGTATGTTTAGCGCATGAGGCTCTGATTATTTGAACCTATTATTTACTGTTCATTGTGCCATGACATCATTTACCGGACCACGTTAGTTGGAGTCCAAGAGCGGAGGCTAGATGGAGGTAGACCGACGCGTGGCAAGGGATGATTCAAAGCGTTTTAAGGCTGAACCAGGGACCGAGGAGAACAGAGGGAAAAGACTGGAAGCGAATTCGATCTCCAGTTGGAACCGTTTCGCTGCCTGCAAGTGCCGACTTCCTGCCCTGATTGGCCCTCCGGTGCTTCCGCCCGCTTTTCTGCTCTTCGCCCTGCTTCGGTCCTTCTCTTCCTTCGCTTCTCGGTCCTGCCCAGCATCCCCGACATCCATGTTGCGCCCTATTTATCCTCCGTATCTGCGAGTATGAATGGCAGCCCCTCGCGCATGATGACGATTCATTCTCTGAATGAATATGAAATGAAATGAACACCCCGTTGATTATCGCATCTAGCCAACTGATTTCGCATTCCGTCAACGGAGATTTCCCTAGGAAAGATCGGTGGTCGCAGGAGGACTGACAAAATTTCCGGAGACCTTGAGGATTTCGGCAATAGAACTCGGTCTTGAAAACCAACTTTCGTGCGAACATTGATATTCGATAGCATTCCGCTGTTTCCGACTGATATCAGAACTTCCGCGATACCCCACTACATCTTACCCCCCCCTTCTGTGGCGACCCTCCCGAATCACCCCCAAATAAACATGGAGGTACCTTCGAACCTCCCCCAGCCTCTGGACGGCCATGTTCAAGGCGAGATGGCCATCCGTCCTCGTGCAGACGATAGCAATGAAGTTGTGTCGACGTCGAATCCCCCGTCCCTTCCGGGCACCTCGTCGCAGGCCCCGCAGAAGCTGCAACTGGCTTCCCGTAGCAGCCATATGGGTAGAAAACAACTCATCTCTAACGCCAAAGTCGCCATTCCTCGACAGCGAACCTCATCAACCAATCCTCGATATCCTCGTCGTGTGCCTTTGGCGTGTGAGACATGTAGGCAGCGGAAGACAAAGTGCAGTGGCGACACCCCGGTTTGCCGGCAGTGCAGGGAGTTGAGGGTCGAATGCAAATACCCGGTATCTTGGAGGGAACGTACGAAGGGGTTAGTGCTATCGCTTTGCTCAATATATTTCAACCGAGCGTTGGCTGACGGACCGCACAGGCAGTTGGATAAGCTTGAGATAAAAACGCAAGAATATGAGAATTTACTGAAAGAAATTGGGAATATTGTCGATGGCCGGACTGCGGAGCGAATCCGTAACACACTGGATAAGGTGGGTTTCTCTGCTTGTGTTAATGACTACAGTGCATCGGGGTCAATGATTCCTCGCCGAGTCGCTTGCTGACATGTGTCTAGTGGTCGGCGAGAGGCGATAGTACATCTAGCTCTCAAAGCAATTCGCTCACCCCCCAGGATGAAGACCAAGAGCTAGACGATGTGAGCAGCATGTCATCGATTGGGTCGTTGGAGGCAATCGACCGCGTGGAGGAAGACTTGAATCGAACGCCTAGTTCCAGGGCAACCGGCTATATGGGGAAGAATTCCGAGATCACCTGGATGCAGCGACTACGAAAGGAGGCCGAGCAGCGATCCCGCCGGCAACCAGGGGTGTTTGAAGCTGATAATGACGGCGAATTCGCCTTGCATGCAATGAACTATCACCTAGACGATATGGACGTCTCTATCCCAGGTCCCGTGCAGGCTTACTGGATGCCGCCACGACCGTTGGCCGACAAACTATTCGAGGACTACCTGGACACCATCCATCCGTTTTTTCCTATCATCAGCCGTTCGCTCTTCCGCACCCAATACAACATTTTTTATGATAGTGCCGCCCGACCTGGAGACAAATGGCTGGCTATTCTGAACATGATCTTTGCCATTGCTTCAAAACACGCCCATCTTACGCAGGCCCCGTGGCGTGGCCAAGAAAAGGACCATCTAGTGTATTTGACTCGGGCTCGCATTCTAAGTATGGATGGGAATACCCTCTTTAGTCACCCTGATCTACAACAAGTTCAGGTCGAAGGCCTGGTCGCTTTTTACCTGCTGGCAACGGATCAGATCAATAGGTAAGATTCCCCCTGTTTAATCCTCTTCAAGTTCATACCGTTCCATTTGGTTGTCTCCCTTCCGCCCTCCCCCATCCTAGCCTAAAACTCCCCAGTTACTCCCAGTTAACGGTTTCATAGAGCTTGGAGAATTGCAGCGTTGGCCGTTCGTTCGTCCATCTCTCTTGGCCTTAACATGAAGAACACGAGCCAAGGCACAGCGGCCATATCCAAAGAGGCGCGCTACAAGGTTTGGTGGTGTCTCTACACCTTTGAACACATGCTTGGAATTATGACCGGTCGGGCCTCGTGCATTTCTGATGGGATTTGTACAACGCCCCTACCCCTACCGTTCGAGGAGAATGAATTACGGGACCCGTCGGCGGCAAAACTTCTTGGTGATCTTACCTTGCGACAGGAATATGTGGATGCGGCTCTGGCAAGCTCCTGTGTACGACAAGTGCCGCTCAATCCGCTTGGAGGAAGAGACGCTCGACACACCGACAAGGTTAGGGATCTCACTTGGCTCAGAAGCCAGCCACCTAGTAGGGCCCTGATATTTCTCTTCTACGTTGACCTCGCGGTCATTGTTCAAGAAATCGTCAACAGAGTCTACTCCCTGGATTCCACCATGGTGCCCTGGAGCCACATCGAGAACCGCATGCGTGAGCTTCGATCCCGGGTCGACCTTTGGCAATCGAATCTGCCCGAAGCGTTCGATTTCACGCGTTTCGCGCAGAAGGACGACGAGGATCTAGGCGTACTCCGTGGGAAACTCTTTTTAGCGTTCCATTTCTACAGTGCACGGATCACCCTAGGCCGTCCGTGTCTGTGCCGCCGCGACGCACGGCAGCAGGCACCCCACGAAAAGTCGACTTTCAGTCACGATATGGCGATTGTCACCCTAGAGTCAGCTCATATGATGCTTGGTTTGATACCAGACACACCCGACGCTCTTCGACTCTATAAGATCTGTCCCTGGTGGTGCATTTTGCACTATCTCATGCAGGCAGTAACGGTCCTTCTTCTCGAGCTTTCCTTTGGCTGCATCCATGCGCCGGGAGATGAGGAAAGGATTTTGCTCGCATCAAAGAAGGGTGTCAGATGGCTTTTCGCTATGGCGCAGTTCAGTCTACCCTCGCGACGTGCTTGGGAACTCTGCAACGGCAACCTACGACGGATCGCCATAGGCATGAACTACGATCTGACGGATATGCCTTCGTCCGACGACGAACTCAAATCCTACCGGGAATCCGCTAATAACGAGAAAGCCGACATGAGCCAGGCTACCATGCCTCCCCCGCAGAATGTAAATGCTTCTGCCTCGGGCGAGCAGCCAATGATTTCCGTGCCATTCCAAGCACCAGTGGGATACCCTCAGAATCAACCACCTTCGACCGTGGATCCAAGAGTTGCCATGCCGCCTTCGAGCGCATATCTGTCCTCCGGATCGGACATCTACTTCCCGTACGATCCCATCAGCGGCGAATTCATCCGGTCATTCTTCCCTGCTTCGAATGACGATGAGTCGTGGGACCAGTAATTTTCTCATTTATCCCCATGCCCATTCACATCACATACTTGTTATTCCTTCCCTCATATTCCATTCTATCTTATCTGTATCGTGTTTGCCTCTGTTTTATTGCCTTTTGATTCCGCGATGTGTTTTCCATGCCTTATACCTTTGGGCAAAGTTCGATACATTTACCCTTTTTATTACCCTTTTTATTACTCTTTTTTTTAACTCCTTCTCTACTCTTATGTGTTTTTATCTATCTTGACTCTGATTTCTTTCACCCTTTATCACCTTTTAAGGCGTCCTTTTCCTTTTCCAACACTGGCGGATGGGTCTTTGGGCTTTACTATCGTGGGTACTGGGTACTGGGTACATACAGAGGATACAGATGGCGGAGAAACCGGAGTTTCTTTTCAGAAAAATTTTCGGTTGGTGCATTTGTGTTTGGGGGGATTCCTTTGGCTTTTTGTTTTCCTTCCAAATCACTTGGGTGCATGTCATTTGATATCAAATATAGATGTGTATTTTGGCTGGGTGGGTGGATAAGGTATGATTCTGTTACAAGAATTTGATATGTTTCTCTATCCATTCTCAGTGAGCCCTTCTCTTTTGGTACTGTAAATTTAGAAATTCCAGGTATCTATTGGATTGTTGTTACGCACCTGATCCGTTGACGTTACCAACGCGCTACATGCCAAAAAGACTCAATGAATGGCCAACAGGCTAGGCCATTCAGTCAATGTACATACTATGTAGGGAGGGACTCTGACAACCGTCTCCCAACTAGACCAAAAAGCTCCGCGGGCTGATGGTCAAGTCCTTGCAGTATCTGATATGTCAACAGTAAATGCTAATATGAAGATGAGTATATTATCTATGTCTATTTATATTACAGGTATGTAGATGGAACTAACGTCACGACTTTCTGTCTGATAGAACGCCGGAGATATTTATATACAGCATTCGGTTATGGCGAGAGAGAGGTATCTAAAGTGAACAAAGAGTATGTAGGGAGGTTGGTGAGGTGGTGAAATGGAAAAAAACACCAGAAAGATGACTATCCGTCATTTTTCTGCGAAGTAGCCAGTGAACTCCTTCAATGCAAATCAGATAACAATGCCCCAAAAAAGTGCCGATGAGATAATGTACATATATGCAAGGCACACAAGGCCCTTGAAAAAGGAGATAGAAAGGATGGGCTTAGCCAGTAGTCGGAGTAGCAGCAGCCGATCTCTCCATTTGTTGGAGCTGTCTGCGCTTTGCGCGCTGGTTGTGCTTTTTGCGTTGCTTGCGCTCTACGCTTTGTTTGCGCTTTTTGCGCTGCTCGGGCTGTTCGGGCTCTTTGCTCTGTTGTCCAGACTGGTCTAACAGATCTAACTGCTCTAACTGGTCCAACTGTTCAAACTGATCAAACAGGTCTAACTGATCAAACGGGTCAACCAGTTCAGACTGTTCAAACCGTTCGCGAAGTTTGCGCTGTTTGCGCAGTTCTTTGCTTCTCCGGTGCACCAGGCCGCCGACCTCACGGTTGATTGCGCGGCGGCGTAGACCCAAGGATTTGAATTGCTGGGCGCAAAATTCGAGAACAGGGGTCGCGGGGTTTGCTTTTGAGGGTGTAGATACAGCCTGCGAAGATGATGAGGAGGCATTGTTCTGTTCCGACTCGATGACACGAGTAGATTCAAAGTCGTTGTGTTCCTTGACGGCAGCCTGGGCGATGACCCGCACTGTGTTCGGGTTCGGGATGGTCGCCTTCTGTTGGGCTTTTTGTACAGAGGCCGAGTCGAAGTGTGGGACATTGGCGAAGTTGCGTTCTTCGCGCGAGTAGAAGCGGAAAATGCCGCCTTCGTGGAGACGGCGGTTGGTGGGTGATCGGATGTCGAGGCACCACTGCTGCCACATGCGTTGGCCAGCTGCGCTGCCCTGGGTATCAACAAGAGCGGAGAGGAGGGGAAGGAAGGCAGCGGAGGGGATGTAGGGAATTTTAGAGCGTGCAGTCGGTGTGTATTGAAGGGTGGCATCGGCGGCGACGTCGTGGAGAGCGCCGGGAATGGAGAGGAAGACTCGATGGAGCATAAAGAGGAACTTGCGCTGATTCCTAGATCTGACTTCACGGGACAATTCATTGAATTCACCATTAAGGATCCGGAGGAGGATGGATTTTGCTTGAGCGAGATTCGTTCCATGACGTTCCTTTTCTGAAGGCTCGGATGATTGTTGCTGCTGACTAACATGATCTAACCTGACGATTTCAGCGGCGAGTGCAGTTACATTGCTGTGGCCCCAAGACTTAAATCGGAAGTCACGGAGATACTCTAGCATGAAGACCACAGAGTCCCAGTGGCCCATCGCCATCCGGAAATTCAGCAGAGCTCGCACTGTGTTTGTGGACAGGGGTTGCGAGAGGGACTGCACCACGAGGTCGCACAATTGGGTGTTTTTGGTGACAGCGGCGAACCGAATGATGGACGGCGCTAGAGCTTGGTTGCCATATAACTTCTGAGGAATTGGAGGACCATCAAGATCATCCGACAAAAGGAGCCATTCCCCAAAGCTAAATGCACGCGAGGTCGTAGCCACATCAAGAAGCTGCGCCAGAGTGAGGACCGAGAGTTGTGGCATTGACGTGTCAAGTGGTAGAAGAGAAACAAGCTCGCTGAAGTTCAGGACGGGGACATTCTCGGGATCTGGGGAGTTGTCCTGCGAGAAGAACTCGTCAATGCGGTACATCTTGCTGGCATCAATCACCCTCTGGAGCCATTCGATCGCATTAATGGCGTCTGCACATAATCCCCGTGAAGTATAAGACCTGATGTTGTACTCGATGAGTCCGGCCATAGCCCAGCTCTCGTCGTAAATTTGTGATGGCTCCAGCAACTCCAATTCCTCCACGTCAACGGTCTCAAGGTCGAGATTCCATGGCGGTACCACATGGGGGGTGATACGGAGAAGGTTCTCAAAAGCGCCTGGGTCAACCTCCTGGTTGAAGCCTCCGGATTCAATAACACGAACAACAAACCGGTTGGATTCCATGTTGGTTGGCAGGGGATCTCCGGCCGTCGTTGCTGAGGCCATCGTCATACTGAGGGAAGAGGCCTGGTCTAGAAGCATCTTTGTTGAGATGCCTCGGAAGCCTAGACCGCGATAGACTTGATTGGGCACATTATCAAGCAATGCCGTGGCTACCTCAAGGCTGACCGTTCGCTTGCCCAGGCCGTTGAAAGGCGGAGGAACAACACGCTTCCGTAGCGACGGCGTGCGCTCCTCAACTGGGGAATGGCGCCATGACTCTTCCTGGTCGATAGAAGTCTTCCATACCGATTCCGGGCGCTGGAGAAGGGGTCTCCAGCTTTCAAACTTCCACGCCAGGTCCCCTGTGCGTTGTTTCATTTGGTTGACGAGCCACACTCCTTCTTTGATATGTCCATGTTCGACGCAACACCACAGAATAAATTCCAACCAGATCTCAGGTCCAAGTTCGCGAATACCCATCTTGAAGGGAAGGTACGGAGAATCCTCGCCAGCGGCGGCAGCCCGAGCTGCCACCTCTGCCTCGTGCATCAGCCAAGCCGCATCCGACAGAACGTTCATGATGTGGGTCGAGAGGAGGTGCATTCCGGGCGGTCGAAAGACAGTCTGGTGAAAAGAGGGAGGAACATGTTTGTACACTCGATCAGCGACGGCTCCAGAATGGTGCAGACGTGCAAGTGTTTGGAACACGCAAGACATCGCCGATTTCGACTCATTTGGCGAAGCGTCGGCTGAATTCAGTACAATAGAGCCCAAGCTTTGCCACACTTCCGCCATTATCCGGTTCGAATGATCATCTGCGTATGGTCTTTCGGTCAAACCGTCCAAGGTTGTCCATTCGGAGACCTGCGAGGGCTCAGATAACGAGTCGATCTGCGGAGCCGAGTCTGCACTTTGATCAGTAAGCTGATCCAGCGATAAATTAGTACCACGACTCCAGCTGTAATCAAAGAGGCCTCGATGGGGAACCGCAACCGAATTGAGTGTATCCGCAGCATCGAGCAGTCGACCCAGTAAGTGATGCACCGCAGGCCAGTTGTTCAGCCGGTACCCCAAATGAGCCAAGAGGTCTAGGTCTGCTAGATCCCTTGCGTAGTACAACAAGATATTCAACTCGATGGTTTGCGCAAACGACTCGGGGGTCGAAGCGGTTGCTGTGGCCGTCGGTGCATTATAGGTGTCGGCGTCTTGCGAGCATTTCCGTAACGAGGGCGGTATATATCGCTCCAGCAACGTCACCCAGGCCTCCAGGTCACCTCGCTGCTGCCAGGGAAGGGGGGATTTTCTCTTATCCGACGAGGAATATAATTCGAGTAACCGGCGATCAAATGGAGGTGGCGGAGAGCCGACGGAATACTGGCGACCCCATTGTCGCCTTCCCAGAGAGGGTCTCCAGATCCGGAGCCCCGAGTGCAGCGAAGCACCGAATACGCGACGCGAGAGAGACAAGACCGAGGGACGTAAGAGACGAGCTGGATACAGGCACCTTTTCATGACACGACGGTGGATCTAGCGGGAGCGACCTGTAGGCGGAGGAAATCCAAATCTCGATGTGACCGGCGGAAGAATGGTCTGAGGCGCATATCTAATTCCTCGATCGATAACGCATTTCTCGGGGAAGCAGTGAAAAGAAAGTCGAGAGCCGTTGAAGGCCAGCGCGAACAGTGGAGAGGTCAGAAAGTCTGCAGGTGCACTTGTTATTTTTTTTCTTTCTTCGCCGCTTTCCTCTTTCGCATCGCCGCGCGGGATGAGTCAGCCGGCACGATCCCTGCCAATCAGCGGGCGCGGGTTTCCACGCAGGGACGGGAGAGCACGTGATCCATCTTATCTACTTCTACGGAGTACTCACTACTCAGAGTACAACTCTCGAGTCAAGTTTAACCCCTTATCATTGAGCTGCTAGCATACATACATGGTGACCCGGTCACCTCAAATGAACGACTGATCCAGCAGCTATCTAGTACCCATTTCTAACCACCAGGGCCATCCTGGAAAATGGCGAATATCACAACCTCATTTTACGCACGGAGCTGACGAGCATGAACGCGCTTGATCGGGAAGTTAGGGCTTCCATGCGGAGGACCACCGGAAGGAGGAGTGGGAGTTGGCCAGGGAATGGAGCTCGAGCTGGGAGGGTAGCTGCCCGTAGGACGAGGCACACCGGGGGGCCACGGGGTCGACGAAGGAGGCCCCGTAGGAGACGGAATCGGGGTGCTCGACTCCTGGAGGATATGATCAGCCGGAGATGCTGATTCGAGGATTAGGTGCTACTAACCACAGGCAGGATATGGAATGCACCATTGTTCTGAGCCACAGCTGGGGCAACGAGGAGAGCCGCTGCCGCTCCGAGGATGGTAAACACCTTCATTATGGTGGGTATGGGCTGGGACTCGAAAAAAAAAAAGATGGATTTGACGTTGCAAATGAAAGAAAGAACTGTGCACAGCACCCTTGAGGAGGAGAGATTAAGATGCAGAGGTAAAGATAGATTCAGGATCAGAATGTGCCATGGAGAAGGTGTTTATATAGCCATGCGAGACAACCTGTGTTACATTTACCGCACGTCCTTTGCCCCTCCTCTCGCGTGAGTCCGACATGCGTTGAATCCAGAGGACGATCTGGATCAACAGGACGACACCTCCATTAGGCAACCAGTTGCAAAACATTCCTATCTGTGTGTGATGGACGGATCCGTTTTTCACGCCTCCCAATCGGGACTGACCTGAAGCGCTCCGGTCCCAATTGGGCGAAGATTGGTGAAAGGAAGATGAATAAATGAATAAAATTCATCGAAAACCAGGTAAGACCTCCAGACCTTGATGACGAGTCGGGCATGACCGATCCCTGGCGTTTGATAGTGCAACATCGGCAATCAATAATAGGTGGATGGAGGGTGCCTTCAAACCCCAGCCGCCGGGCCAGAATAAGCCATGATAGACAGTCGATCGGGGCGACCAGTCAATGTAGAAGTGTCAACAGAGAGACGTCCGACGAGCCAAGGGCGGCAGGTGGATGAAGATCCCCGTCGGACGGCTTCAATCGCAGGAACATGTGAGAGAGCATTGGATGCGGCTGGCGTGATAGGGCCGCCGGGTAGACCCATCTTTGTTGCGACTGGCATCATCCCGTGTGCGTTGCCGATCAGGATGGTCGGCGTCAACTCATGAGAGATGGAAAAAGGTCGACAGGAACTTGGGCCGTCGGACGGAAAGCAGGGACACCCGAGATAACGGCGACGATCAGCCTCCCCGATCATTCTTACTCCAATCAGCGGCTGGTAACCTGTCACATCCTCATCACGGCGCGCCTCGGTGGGCCAATCTGGACTGGAGGCTTGGATCTAGTGTCAATAGCTGAAACAGCGCCTGGAGAGCCAGAACGGGCCATGTTCCTGGCTGTCAGCGACGCACCAATGCTTTTGGTACACGATGGTGGACGAATATCCAAAAGGGGATGGAGAGACCAAGAGGCAAAGCCAAAAAAAAACTAATTATTGAGCCCGGGGATTCTATGTACAAGACAGTCGGACACTGGCCACCAATAAACAATCGAGATCATAAACAAAGAAGCCCAAAAGGTATCAATCACGGCAAACCCGTAAAAAGGCAAAACAGCTGTATCGCTACACGTATCCCCAACCAAGCCAAACAAAAGGAAGAAAAGAGAAAATCAATCAAAACCCAACAGAATAGGAATTTGGCCTGAACTCCCCACGGTGATCGTCAATCATGATACGAGTGTGTCGCGCGCATGTAACCTCACTGCTCCTCGATGAACTGATCATCGTCCTCCATCGGCATGTCACCACCAAGCTCCTGCTCGACTTCGTCCACCACGAAACTTTCGTAATCCTCGAGACCTTTTTGAATATGAACCTTGAATCGGATCACGTCGTTCAGCATGCTTTCTACGTTCGTATGCAGCTCCTCCCGTAATGCGTTGGCTCGTAGAGTGAGCTGTTCATATTCGATGTTGGTGTTCATCTCGCGCTGCTCCATCAATTGAACGCTCTCGCTTAGCGTTGCCCGCATTTTGGCCAATTCCTTCTCCATTTTCTCGATCTGGGCGTCCGAGGCTAATTTCTGCGTGGTGGTAATCTCCTTGGTGCGCTCAAATTCCTCTTCGGCTGCGCGTCGCTTATGCTCCAAGGCCTCGACCTCGCTTCGCTTTTCATCCATGGCCTCCTTGATGTTGTCCAGGAGGTTGCGTCGGTCCAGATCGGCGTCGATGGCGTTCTTGCGCCGCTCGTTGATCTCCTTTCTGAGCGTCTGGAGGCTGCTGCGGACCGAGCCCCGTAGGTCGAGGTTGAGGAGGTGTGCCGGGTGATAGCCCGTGAATGGTTCTGCAAGGAGTCTGTCTCCCTCGGGCGAAATCCGGTTGGGCGCCCCGCCGATCTGCGAGGTAGAGAAGTTACTTTCGTTGACGTTGAGACTAAGTTCGTAGTCCTGTCCTTTGGCATTGACCGCGGACATGGGAATGAGACTGGTCTGGTAGCCCAGCGTATTGTAAGCCTTGACAATCTCCTCCAGGTCCTCGAGCTTCTTGCTCGCGTCCCCCTCCTTCGCCATGACGCGTGCGTGGGTTTCCTCAAGACGGCTGACCGTGTCGTCAAGGCTCTTCTGCAGTCGCTCGCGCTCAGTATTCATACGATCAATGTCCTGGATGGTGATTCCCTGTCTGTCGACACTCGCTTGGAGGCCTGAACGTTCCTCCTCGGCCGCAAGTAGTTCCGTCTCGGTCTTCTTGAGCTCGTCATCCAGGAATTTGATGCGAGTCTCGTACTTCTCAATCTTGCCCTGAACGTTCTGGTTGTAATCCTCAAACTTTCGCTTGTCATCCTCCAAGATCCGAAAATGCTTGTCGAGTTTAGCCATGTCAGGCGCGTTCTTTTCCATCTCCTCGATCTGATCACGCAGGGACCGATTCTCCGCCTCGAGGACTTGCATCTCCTGCACGTATTTCTCATTCCCCCTTTCAAACTCCTGCGCCATAATCTCGACGTGGGGTTCAAGTCGCTTTTCGGCTGTCTCGTCATCTTCGTCCTCTCCACCTTGCAACCAATCAGTGTAAGCGCCCGTGAGAAAACGGAAGATGATGCGGTCCCCAGAGACATCCACTCCCATCTCTGCACATGCCTCATCGTATTCCCCGGAGTCAAACCGCTGCATCATCTGTGCCACCTGCATCAACCAATGCAGCATACCGAGGAAGGTAGGCCAATTCTGACCTCCCACGGCCGCAATCTGGGACTTCGTGATGCCTTTTTCGTAGGGATAGCGCAGCTGCTTGAGGATAGGCGGGACCTCAGAATCCATACTTTTCTGGAACCGGTACCCGGGATCGATGCGATGATAAAGCCACTGGAAGATATAGTTGAAATCCTTCTGAGTGGGGGACCGGAGGGTGTTTTGGCCTAGGGAATGCTTCATTTCCAGCTCAAAGTTGTTATGGGTCAAATATTCCAACAGCTCCTGTCCAATCCGCGCTTGGAATGATCTGTCCCTGAGAGGTCGTGGATCCCTGGGCACACCAGCAGCAGAGGGGACTTGGGTGAAAAAGGATTGGGAGCCCATTGCGCCCCCGACAGACGGACGCGAGAAGACGCTGCTCCTTCGTTGCAGGCTTTGCGATGATGGATTGGATGACATGGGGGCAGGGGCGTAGCTTTGTCGGCCGGCGCTGGCTCCTTGGAAGATATTGCTGGAGACGGAGCGCCTGACGGACGAGAGACCGGCATCAGCGCCAAATCCTCCGGACGAAGAGCGCTTGAAATTAGGTTGCTGCGGGCGAGTAGCAGAGTTCATCAGCGACATGCGCGTGTGCTGCCCAGTGTACGGGGGGTTTAAGGCGCCGATAGAACTGGTGCGTTTCATGGCCGACGACGGTTGAGGAAGAGCGGAGTAATTCTGGACACTTCCTAGAGTCTGTGTTATTGAGTACGTTAGTTGAAGTTACCCCATTTTCATTCCTGACCGCGCAATAAAAACGCCAAAGGATCTATTGGCTGTCGCTTGAATGAGGGATGAGAGGGGGGAGGGGGAGCTGCATACTTCTCGGGGGCGCCTGATACTGAATAAACCTGTGTCCTGAGACATGATGAACAGATAGCCGCCACTGCGGCTTAGAATAGATTCGTTGACTCAAGAGCTTTGCGAAGGTGTTAGCCAAGCGACAAGCAAGAATGTGCGAAGAACGAGACTGCAGAGAGCAGCGAGCAGAGAATGGCCGACGGAGAAAAAACGGGCAGCACAACAAGACGGACGGCGGATGTAAACAAGACATGCCACTTCGACCGGAAGCAGCAGGCGGTGGAAGCTTCCGGAACAATGCGGCACCCGGTCGGGAATCACGAGACTCTGGGGAACCTCCGCCGTCCGGTAAGGTACTGTTCGTAATTACGAGCAGCGACTTCCCGAGGTCCATCGCTCGCTGCCGATGAGCCTCTCCTCTCTCTCTATCTCTCCCCGACCTCCTCCTTCTCCTCCTTCTCCTTCTCGACCCTATTGGAATTCCCCCATCAAAGCACCCCCGAGTGTGAACTATCTGACACAGAGAGTCTTGTTCACCCCTGCATCATGGCTCGTGAGGAGCTTATCTCCTCTGCTGTAAGTTGATCACTTATCTGGGGTTATACTGTTTCCGGAATCGGAGCTGACCGAATGCCCTCCATCTCCAGGTTACTTGTGCGTGTTGATGACGCCCCTGACTATACTAATGGTTGATGGAACAATTCCGATTCTAACGTCTTCGCAGTCCTGCAGGATCCGGCGGTAGCATCGTCGCCGGTCGAGAAGAAAGTCGCATTTCTTCAGTCCAAGAACCTAACGAAAGAGGAGGTTGACATTGCCTTATCTCGCGCCGGTGAAGATCCTTCGGCAGTGGCAGCAGTAACCGCGTCCTCCTCGTCAACTGGTTATCAATCTCCTCCGCCTCAATCTGCCTATCGACCGCCCCCTCCCCCTCCCCAAGGATATGGGTATCCCCCGTATGGCCAATGGCAACCACCTCCGGAGTGAGTAACCCTATCTGCACCATGCGACAGTATAAGGGCTCTCGAGCTAACGCCGAACCGCAGGCCTCCCAAAAGGGACTGGCGAGACTGGTTCATCATGGCGACGGTGATGGGTGGTGTGGGATACGGAATGTACACTGTTGCGAAGGTCAGTAGTCGCCTACGATTGATTCGCTCGATGGTTGAAGCTAACTCGCACATAGCGCTACATCACGCCGTTAATCGCGCCGCCAACCCCGCCACAATTGGAGCAGGATAAGGAAAATATCGACGAACAGTTCTCTCGTGCATTCGCTTTGATTGAGCAAGTCTCTACCGACACTGCAGCCCTGAAGTCGGCGGAGGAAACCCGTACGGAGCGCCTGGATACTGCATTGCGGGAGGTGGAGAACCTCGTCGCAGACCTGAAGACCTCCTCGCGCCGGAGGGATGACGAAACTCGTCGCATCAGTGATGAAGTCAAGTCCTTGAAGGATGCCATCCCGAAGGCCATGGAAGGGGCCCGCGAAGGCAACGAGAACCGTCTGAAGGAACTCGGGACCGAGGTGAAGAGCTTGAAGGTCCTTTTGGGCAACCGACTTGGTGGTGCTGGATCTAGTTCCCCCGTTACCGGAAAGTCTGTCGGCACATCTTTGCCTAGTGCTTCTCGACCCCCAGAGGAGTCGACTCCCACGACCCCGGCTGCTGCCGCCGCCCCTGCCACTGCAAACGGTGCTTCCGCGATTCCAGTTGCACAGGAATCTCAGCACTCGACTGGAGCAGCACCAGCTGCCTCTACGCCAACCACTCCTTCCGCGGGTGGCAACCCTCTGTCCCAGTTTAACCGATCGGCTTCTATTCCTGCCTGGCAGATGGCTGCCGCTAACCGCTCCAAAACCGCATCCCCCGCAACTCCTGCCACGCCTGCAACCAATGCAGGAGATTCTTCTAGCAGCGCGACCGGTGAGCAGCAGAGTGCTCCGGCTAGCTAAAGAGGTCACGAATCATCACCATAACTTCACTTCCAACGCCCATTGCATGTAGAAGTTTCCTTTCTGTTGTCTTCTTCTCACTACCCTGTATTTATGACGATTTCAACGGAGTCCGAGACGACGGTCTAATTAGGATAAGGATTACAAGAAAGAACTTTCTGAATACCGAACGGTCCTATGTAGCTCATCCTTGTAAAGTACTCCGTATTAAGCGATGGTCGGGAATCACATGAATCGAATCGAGGTACCGCCGAGAGAGCAAGGCTTGGCATCGCTTCCTTTGGTACTTCCGCGACGTCATTTTTTCTCTTCCTTTCTCCGCCGTGTTTCCCTCCCCGATCGACCATAAACCATAACACAAAATACTAGCAACACCACCAACATGCCATCACCAGATCGCTCTTCCTATCGACATCCCCGCCACAACCCAAGGTCGACGTCCCATTCCCGATCTCGTTCTCGCTCACGCTCGCGCTCCCCCGATCGATCAGACAACAAACATCACCGCTCCGATAGACATCGCAGACACCACCGTCACCACGGAGATAGCCACAGCCACAGCCACAGCCATGGCCATTCTCATCGAGATCGCGACCACAGAAGCCATCGACACAGTCGTCACCATGGCCACGGGCACGGTCATCGCTCGCGACGCTCCGAGCGGCCGTCTTCGTCATCGCATGCGCCTGCGCCTGCGCCTCCTGCGCCCGTGATCCTGCCCATGCAGGCGCGCGAGCTCTCGAAACGCGACCTACCCGTCTACGAGCCGATGTTCGCTATGTATTTGGATATTCAGAAGGGGATTATACTTGAGGATCTGAGTGAGGAGGAGGTGAAGGGGCGGTGGAAGAGTTTTGTGGGGAAATGGTAAGAGGCTGGCTGGCTTTTTCCTTTTTTCTGTTTTTTCTATGAGGAGGGATGTCTGGGAAGCGAGGGATTTGAATTCGGTCAACATGGGTGGGAAAATTGAACTAATGGCTGGTGCTCTAGGAACCGTGGTCTTCTTGCAGAAGGCTGGTATGACCCGTCTACGTTAGAGAAGGCACGTCGCGAAGCCGAATCTCAACCCCCTTTGCCGTCTAAGCCCGGACAGTTTCGTGGATCACCGGACTATGAAAACCCGCGCGATGAAGCTCCGGGAAACAACTCGAATGCCGATCTCAAGGATCCGAGAGAACAGGGAGACGCAGCGGAGGATGAAGATGAGGATGATGATTACGGACCCGGTCTTCCAACTAGATACGGAGTGACGTTGACGGGACAGCAGCATTTGGGACCAGCGATCCCAACAATGCAGGACTTGGATTTGCGGAATGGTATTTCTTTAATCCTTATTTGGTCATTGATCATTTCAAGCCAGTTTGCTAATATGTTGCGATGTGCTAGAATTGGCAGTGGAAGATGCTCTTGCAGCCCGGCAAGATGCACAAAAGTATCGCCGTGCAGAAATGCAGTCGCATAAATCCGAAGTGCGACAGATGGAGGACGAGGTGGCTCCACGTGCAGAGCCCGGGACACACGAGCGGCGCATGGAGAAACGCAGAGAGACAGCGGCTGCTAATCGAGATTTTGCACAAAATCGGCGAGGGGGGTCACCTACCGATGCTGCTCCCGAGGAAGAGCTGATGGGGTCCGGTGCTGATGATCTAGAAACGATGAAGAAAGCGCAGGAGAGGGATCAACGTAAAAAGAATGAGCGTGAAATTAGGAGGGAAGAGATATTGCGAGCGAGAGCAGCCGAGCGAGAGGAAAGATTACAACAATATCGACGCAAGGAAGATGAAACCATTGGGTGGCTCAAAACGCTGGCTAAGCAAAGGTTTGGATAAACGACTCGCACAATCCTCCTAGCAAATATTTCGACTGAATCCTAAATATTCCCTCTGTTTTACCCCCTTCTGCGAGTACCCTTCTTTTCCTCCCGCAAACATACCCCGACTACATCTGTAATGACATGGAATTCATTCAACGGGGAACCTGGAGTGTAATGCAGCGTGTAAGAGCCGAAAAGACAAACCCGTAGAGGAACTAAGGGGTGCTGCATTCTTCTGATCAATTTTGTCGCAGCACTGAGAGCCCCCCGGGCCATCAACGTTTGACTAGGCCAAGAATTGGTACTGACCAGGATCGAAATTCATATCAGTAGGTTCACTCTCAGTGAACTTTCTGCGCACAACCGGTCTGTACTTTGATCGCCTAGCCCTCTTTCGAGGCCTCTTCGGGTACGCCAAAACAACACCATTGTCTATCTGCTGCAGGACAGGGACGGCCATATTGTCGCCTGCTTCCCCGTCGGTTGTCTCGTAGGAGGTAACTTTGCCATCTACGGGAGAAACCGAAGTGTCCATTGCTGTCGGTGTGAGGATAGGCTGCTGCAGGTTCTCCTTGCAAACTTCACTGTGCTCCCGAAATTGCTCTGGAATTACTGCGTATTGATCCTCCAGAATAGGATATTGTGTGTCTCCGCTTGTTTCTGCAGAAGGTCGATGTGAAATCGGAATAAACTCCGGTGCATCGGGCTTCCAGATCGTCCTCTGTAGCGACGATGAGTCTGTAAAGAGCCTTTCATGAGGTCCCATAGCAAGACGGATGTTTTTCTGGTCTTGTCGATGCTGCATATCTTTCATCTCACCAAGCTCATTTGAGAACCACTTGTTCATAGTCAACATCGATGGATCGGTTGGAACGGTTGAGGTAGGAGTCTTAGCCCTGACTTGGGATGACCAAAGTCGGGCGTAATATCCGTTTGCTGACAATAGAGAGGCATGGTCTCCTTGCTCGATTAGTCTACCATGATGAAGAACCAGGATTCTGTCTGCCCCTCTTATTGCAGAAAGACGACTACTAACGCGAATGTTATTTACTAAAATCAGGGCACGAAATTACTTCATGACACTCACGAGACTTTGAAGGTGATCTTCACGGCGCAAAGCTTTTTGAGGCTTTGTAGAACAAGGGATTCAGCATGGCGGTCCAGACTGTTTGCTGCTTCGTCAAGAAATACAATCTTTGGGTTTTTGATTATCACTCGGGCAACTGCAAGACGCTGTTGCTCGCCGAAGGATAGTTTGACACCATGTCCCCCGAGAGATGTTTGATATCCCTCGGGGAGCGAGTTGAAGAGGTCATGAAGTCCCACCTCTTTGCATGCTTCGTATACTTGCCCTTCGCTAGCGAGAGCGTTGGCATACCTTATGTTATTCATGACAGTGTCGTGGAGTATGATTGTTTCCTGAGATACGATACCAATACTGGTGCGTAAGCTCTCCAACGTCACGTCTCGAATGTTTTGTCCATCGATTGTGATGATACCCTGGTGTGGATCGTACATGCGTACAAGCAACTTAGATAGAGTTGATTTGCCGCTTCCTGATGGCCCAACAAGAGCTATCGTTTGGCCGACTCGCGCCTCCAAGCTGACGTGACTCAACACACGGTTTTCCCCATCGTAGGCAAAGCTGACATCTTGAAACTCAACATTCCCTCTATGCCCTCTCAGAGGCTTCGCGTCCTTATGGTCGCGTATGGCTGGCTCAACTCTCAACCGCACCGCTAAGTCATTGCGTTGAGAACACCTAGGGCTGAGTCCCTGATGATGCTGGGGAGAAGTTGAATATTGCTAGAAAGTCGGGCCCAGTAAAATACCAACGTCACGAAACTCCCAACAGGCTTGTTCTCCCAGGCTACCTGATATGCGGCAAGGAGAAATAGTCCAGTAGAGCTGGCGTACAACAAGCACGACCGGGCAAAAGAATCTAGGCAAATACCCAGAGAGAACGCAATCGACGAGTACATGAGATTTACGAGGACCGAGCGGTAGCGTAGCTTCTCGTGCTGGATGCGGTTGAAATATACCACCGTCGGCCAGTTGGAAGTCGCCTCGTACAGACATTTGTGTTCGGCTTCCATGTCACGTATCAGGTGTTCCTGCCTGCTCAAAAGTCTCGGTAGCATCTTGCCTGACACCCAAAAGACGGCAATGATAATTGTGCTGAAGTTCATCGCCATGTACATACCAAACATCCAATAGAGTACTGCAAAGGCTACCAGGACATCCAGGAGGGTTGGAATGACGTGGAAGATAAATGAACGAACAAAATGTCGAACACCTACGACCTGACTGACTGACTCCCAAAGGCTTGCTGAATTTGTTTTGTCATGGAAGTCGCCTGATAATGACATGACTTTGTCAAAAGTAGTCGCTCCGATTCTGAAGCAAAAGTGCTCCTCGAGAGGAGACCACACGCATCGGCATAACTGAGGGATACCTCCACTAGTTTCGAGGAGCCAGAGACCCGCGAATGCGACTATCTCTCTGTATGGTATTGTACCTGTATCAAGTCATAGTGATCAGCATGGATCAATTCGCATTCTCAGACTTCACCGGGGATATCATTCTCAGTTGCTTGGGGGGAAGACTTACCGGGGTTCATCGAAAGAGAATCAATCATGAGCCCGAGTTTCAAGGGCACAAAGAAGATCAAAGCCCTCTCTATTACCATGAGAATGACAAATATACCACACAGCAATTGTAAAAGAGGCTTGTTTTGCGGCCAGAAGAAGGGCACGAGAAACTAACCCGACGTCAATGGTCAGCAGTGATCAACACACCGAGCAGTATAGGGCTTACGCCAGTTTTTCGCAAATACGAGTCAGTTCCACTGTTAACATGATTCACCTGCGGGGAATGAAAGGGCTGATTCCAGGAAATTGCACCGTATTGGGCGTCTCCATGTGCATTGGGGTTGCTGTTCCGGCGCGAGTAGTTGTCGCTAAGCAAGGGTGACGTTTCACGATGCAAGCGCCTAGAGGGTAGGAACGATCCGACCAAAACAATAACGAGAAAAGATATTATTGTCAAGCGGACTCCACGGGCAATAGTGGTGATGGTAGTGTACAGATCGTTTATCGAACTCCAAGGCGAAGCCCCCAGTGCGAGAAGGAAGACCTCCCCGGCGCAGTATATAATGGAACATCCGGCAAGCGAAAAGTATGACGAGACCCAAGGACCCGAAAGCTCAAGGAAGAGTGAGAACCAGATGAACCCCGAGTTTACATCATAAGCCTTTCATCATCGATTTGTTAGCAAGCATCATTGAATCCAAACCAGGAGAAGCCTCACTATGCTATCACGAGATATGGTTGCGGCCTTTGACAGGGATAAATGAAGAAGGAAGCCAGCACTCGAGACCTAATATCAGTCAGTAGCCATATCATAGTAGTAGTAGGTCATCGAAAGGAGGGGATACATAGGTGATGCAAATGAGGCACACGAAACACAGACTAATTCGGCGGAAGAGCCTGTCATCACCACGCTGGCGATGACCCAAGGCCAATGCAATACAAGCCGAGACAACAAAGTAAAAAGCAGCAGTTGGTGGCAAAAACCAATGGACTGTCACTATAGCGTTTTGTCCCGGAATATCTGAGTTGAGCGTATTGGAGACAGCCATGTTGATGAGCATCAGGTCTTATCAACCTTGCTCGAATCGTGGCAGCTTTTTATCAAGTAGTAGCCTCAAAGTACCAATGTTTTTAATGAAGAGTATGTATCGATCAAGAAAATCTAGGTAGATGATTGATAGTATGGCGGGGGAAATAGCAGGGAGGATGCTGGGCCCCGATCTTTTCGGGAGAGGAAGGAAGGAAAGAAGGAAGGAGCGCCTGACCTCAGCAAGGTAGTAGGTATGTAAGCCGAATATGACACCCTCTTGTTTACTTTTATGCATCGGTTCTAAGGAAAATAACGCCGGTTGCATCTGAAGAACGAAGTGACAAGTCAAAAAAGAAGAAAAAAAGAAAATCAGACCTGCCTCTATAGAACAACTAGAACTTCCTTCCGAGATCAATGTTAGCAACCAGTTTCATATGTTCAGTGCCCTCAACGGCCGATTCGTCCACTCCAAAGAAGGGCTTGACGGCAACATCCACCGTCTCTTCGAAGAGACGGCCCACAACGGCCTCTTTCAGGTCTTCTCCCGTTTGAGCAAAGTCGGGGTAGGCGTTCACTTCAAGGAGCCATGCAGTTCCCTGTTTGTCGACCAGGAAGTCCAGGCCGTACAGTTCGAATGCATTGGGAAGGGTCTGGAAATGAATCATCATTCCCCTGGCAGCAGCTTCGAAAACTTCACCCGTCACAGCACAGATTTGGTCAAAGACCTTTGCCTTCCAGTCGTCCCCGAGCCCCGGGACGTAGTGATCCAACTGCCAGAATCGACGAACGCTCTCTTTGTTGGCACTACCGCCCTCCTGGAAACAGGTATTCGTTAGGTGTCGTGCAAGATCTGTCACCTCATCTTCATCCTCCCATGGGGGGCAGTATGGCTTTGCCGCGAACAGCGCGAGCATTTCATTGAAGACGTAGACCTTCAAAGCGCCCACAGCAAGGACATATGTACGGATGTGAAATTTCCGCTGGGACGAGGAAGGGAGAAGCAAAGGTGGATCGATGTAAGGCTGGGCGATGAAATGGCGCAACTGGGATGTAACCACTCCGTTGCCATCCTCCTCATCATCCTGCTCCTCTTCAGGCCTCTCTGACCCACTCTCTGCATCTGATTCGTCAACTTCCCATTCTTCGAATATCTCTTGCAACTGCTCTTCGCTATTGAAGAGACGGATTCCTTGGCCACGGTCACTCATTCCAGGTTTTAGGATCCACCACTCCTTCTCGGATGCAGGTCTCTCTTCGTTCTTCTCCAAACTGTCCCGCAGCTCGTACGCCTCCAACAGCGCATCATCAAGAAATTCCGCGTAGTCCAATTCAAAATCAAATCCTAATTTGACATGCTTTCCTAAGATACTGTCTGGGTGCTTGGTGATCCAGTTGGTCACGGTGTTGGATAGATAATGCTTGCGGATTAACGCCTTGCGAATGATATAAGCATTGGCCAGGGACGAGGAGGAATTGAACATGACATGCTCAAAATCAAGGCGTTCGTATTCACGATACTGGAGCACGGGCGTTGAAGTAGATGGTAAATCTGACAACGAAGATATAGCTTTATAACGGGTTTCGCCGAGCCGACGCCGTAGTGCTTGCTCCATCAGACTTTGGACATATGGATCATCACTGTCCACAATAGAATGTAATGCAGGCTCATCATTATCGGGTCTACACGATTTAGGTCTATCAGAATTTCGGCCATCCAAAGAAAAATGAACCATAGACAACAAAACCGGAGAGAAGGCTGTAAACGAGGGGATGTGAAGCAACGCACTGAATAAAATCGACTATAGGAGGCACTCGAAATAGGAAAGGAGGGGTAAAATCAGATCAGGACGCAATAAACATGTCACATATCGTCGTGTAGATTCGTTCGCCAAAAAGTTCCACTCACAGCTTAATCTCTCCTTGGAATCCTGGAGCGTGCATGAAGTTGACCTTCAGGGGGGTGACGCTAACTTGGAATTAGTGACATAAAACAATTGTTAATCCATGGCATCTGAACGAACCTTGTCATTCCCTCCTTGACCGTCCAGCCGTCATTACCCGGTTGGCTTTCTTCGACGCTCTTGTAGACATCGGAGAAGTTTGGTGCCCATTGGAAATGCTTGTGTTGGATCCGAGACCTCTGTGCAGGAGCACCCTCGGTAAGTTGCGCATCAGACTTGCCTCCCTGATTCCGCACCTCATGCTCGCGCAGATTGGGGTTTCTGTCGGACACGGCAGCATCTACCGCCTGGAAACAACTCCCCGATTTCCACCGATTGTCGAGCATCTCGGTATAGAAGATTTTGTTTTGGCTAACTCCAGGCTCCAGTGGTACATTAACAGAGTAAAGGTCCACGCCATCAACCCAGTTCTTAGCGAGGTATTCAATCAATCGAACTGAGTGGCCGGACGCCTCGGCAATCACAACCGGATCGTGGTCTCGGGAGCTGAAAGCGTAAGATAGAGCCACCGCGCGTTTCCCGCAGGCAGCTGCTTCCATAGCACCACCGATTGTGCCACTCGACATGGCGAACAGTGAGGTTGTGTTCCGGCCGTAGTTGGGGCCTGAAACCACGAGATCCACCGGCCCCCGATCCTGGAAATAATGGTAAAGACCGATCTGGACGCAACTGGCCGGGGTTGAGTCTATCAGGATCCATTCGTCGCCGTCGTGGTCTTTCTCGTCCTCACTATAGCAACGAGGCAATTCATGTGTAGTTCCGTCGTCTTGGTGCAGTGTGCCCGGTCGGAAGTAGGTAGGCTTCACGGAAGCACCGATCAAATGAGCCTTGCCGATCCAGGATCGCTGCTGATGTGGCAGAACCACCGAGACCACATGCCCTGCTGATTGTAACGTGTGAACGAGAGAATGGACGTAGGGAGACGACTGGTTCGACGGGGGGCCGTCGTCGTTTACCACCTACGTCAGGAGTTGTCAGTGAATGGACTCGCCCATGATAGCTGCGTAATGAAATGCAATCCGAAATAGTACCTACAAGAATATGCATTGAGATGATTAGACAGAATCACTGCCAAGGAAAGAATGGAGAGGAAAAGACAAGTCGGGGAGGAGGGAAAGGAAGAGGAAAAGAAATCGGAAGTTTCCCCCGCCTTTTTTCCCCTCCGGCGGATCCACTCGCTGTTATCGATAATCTCTCCGATGCTTCCTGCTCTCTACGCTTTCTACATAATGGTTCATCCCATACCTGCGATCCGCTTCCATTGCAGCAGGACTCGTATGCACTTCCTCGGAGCACCGATCAGAATCAATTCGTTGAGTTGGGGGTATCCTTAATCATTACATTGATCATCACCAGTGATGCCACGCGAACTACTAGTGGGAATCGTCATCCCCGTACAAATGGCGTCTTCGTCGTTGAACCCCCTGCGCCCTAGAACTCTCTAATCCGGTCCCGGCCCCGGACGCTCGGTCCTCTGGTGATTCGTCGCTTTCATCATCGGCCTGATACTCCTTCTCTTTCTTGACACTTCGCTCGGGTTGTTCGTTGGAAGTGTCCAGAGAACTCTCGAACGGCGATGTCGACTCCTCAAGAGGCTCCTGCTTGATCCGCATGTCATCGCGATCCTCCTTCTTGAGTGTCACCGTCTTGTCTTCACCAGTGTTGAAAACGGCAGCCAGTGTAAGCCACGCGATGGTTGCAGAGATCATGGAGATGCTCCAAAACATGAAGGTAAAAACGAAGAACGATGTGATCCTCCAATTGTACATCAGCCACCTATCTTTCGGTTAGTACCGTCCATCGACATTGGGAACAGTGGAAAAATACCGCATTCCAGTGAACCTAGCCCTAAGTGCCACTTTTGCCTTGTACACCTGCATTTGCTGTTGACTATGGATTTCCAAACGAACACTGTCTGGAATGTTACGCCGTCCCCGAGCGAACTGCACCCGTTCCATCATAGGTACCTGCAGCCTTTCTGATTCCCGTTGCCAGCCCAGCACATAGAAGGGCATAAACGACAGCTTGCTGGCAGTGTCTATCAAAGGTGATGAATACGTCAGGATGGCAGGACGGCGGGATCGAAAAGAAGAGTCGGTGGACGCATTCGCACTGTCCAGAATGGGCGATGAAGGGTTTGGGATTAGAGTCAAGTCGAGCATAAAGTTTCCGGTATTAAGATTGGAAGGAGTACGCGGCAATTCAAGCTCAACGCTGACGTCGTACGGTTGAAGGGAAATGAGCCCGGAACCGAGAGAAGTTGTACCCCAAGGATGTCCATCGCTGCCAAGTTGTGTTAGTCCGGTGCACCACAGTCATGCGATGAGGACGCGAACATGTGCGGCTTCATCACTTACCCAAATTGTAGATGTACCACGCGTTCCAAGCCAACCTGCGGAATGATTTTATAGTAGAATATGCCGTAGGCAAATATTGAAACGAGGATCATGCAAATAGCGGAAAGAAAGAGGAGCAGCGTCCCCAGGTATGCCTTTTGCGCCCGCTTCGAAATCAAGGGCCGAATAAATGCCGCCGACGTGCCCTATGCGCGTTTGGGTTTTGCGCCGATCAGCATGTTGCTTCCGAAAAATGGGGTTGTAGGGTTCTCACAAGTGCCTTGGATAAGAAGGTAGTTTCTTCATTGATTTCGCCATCCGATTCTCCTGGTTTCGTATCCATGGCGAGGCCAGTCGAGGTGGAGATTCCCAGTCTGGAGAAACAGGAGAGTTGGCAGAGAGCGGGATGAAGACAACAGAGACGGCGGGTCGCGTCGACGTCACTTGGCGGCCTCAGGCCACCGCCCCGACAGCCTCGGCATCTCCTCAATGTTTTGTTTGGGGCAGTAGAAGGTATGTACTCCATCCTGTACTACAATAATGGGTAGTCTCTAGAAGGTCATTGCACTGACAAGTAAAACTCATTATACCCCCATTTTTATAGCTTATCGTTACAGAAGTCACCACATCCGTGGCACTAAAAGATAGATAGAGAGAAACAAAGAAAGAAACATGCTGCAAGAGAAAACACGAATGGCAAAGAGAAAAAGATATAGGTTCCATGTAGGCCAAAACCATGCTGACACGTCCTAGTATGCATATCCCTCCCAGAAACCCAACCGAGAAATGGCAATAAGATAGAAAGAAAGCAGAACCCAGCACTCTGAATGATGAAAGAAGAGGGAAAAGAAAAGGAAACATTCCTAACATACACCGTAACATAGCACCATGGGCGGGGCGCTGCTTGTCATAAGCGGCATCTGCAAACACCGCAAGAGCACTCATCTCCGCCAAATGCAATTCATCGAGGCATGATCAAGTAAATCATATTAATAAAGGAGAAAGAACGAGAGATGGTGAAAGTAATAGACGCCGTCGGGACTTAAGATAGCGCCCTGGGGCTCTGCTGCTGGATATGCTGCAGGAGGGCGTCGAACAGACGACCGATCTGAAGAACCGGCATTAGTAACTGACCAATTTAACAAGAGACCGGAACAAGATGGAACTCACCTCAGGCGCAGCCTGGATAAAGGGGAGGCGGAAGAAGGTATAGCTTCGGTTTTGGAGCAGCTCCTGTAGCGTGATAATCAGTCCCCAAGGGTGAGGGCGATGGACGATCAACCGCTCTAGGAGAACTCGGATGATTTGCTGGCGGATGTCGGATTCATCCTGCTCCGAGTTGTCCGCGCCAAAGAGACGAAGGATAGCAAAGCTGAAGAAGTAGGTGTGGCTGTTGGGGTATCGTAGCTGGTTGGCCATCGCGCTGAGAAGGTAATAGCGTGCTTCCGGCCGGAGAATCTTCGCCAACCTCTCCAGGAGCGCGGAGTGGGCAGAATTATCGAATGCCGCGCGAGTGTTGCCCTTCGGTGCGTTGGCAGAGACCGCGCCCTGACCGATGTATAGCACCAGTGCGTTCACGAGCACAACATTGACGTTGACCGGGGCATAGAAAAGACCAGTCTCTTTGCTGCTAGGGTCATAGATCGCGTCACATATCTGTTGAACGATAGATTCCGAAGTGGTGGAGCTCTGCAGAGCGTTGTCTACAACGCTTTTGATGTTGGCCTGCTGCAAAGGAGCAGCGGTGTCGCCGGCAATCCGCGGGGCTTCGCGCATCTCCTCCAGGCGTTCAACTTTCAACCCCTCTCTAAAAGGATCGGGAAGTTTATGGAAAGACGACGGGTAGGCGCTCAGGACAAGGTTCCGCAGCTGAGCACAGTGGGCGGGAATGACGTTGCAGAATTCGAAATGATTCTCCGCCACAAACTCGGGAAAGTCATGATGCAGGATGAGCAAGACACGAAGCACCCCCTTATACAGATCCTTGGCGACATATGAGATGCTGGCCGGTTTGAGCTGCTCGCCGATGTACGAGAGAAGGGCTTGCATGATTTCACAGTACGGGCCCCAGCCCGCTCGGTCCGGCATGTTCAGCATACCGGACATGAAGAATCTGTGAGACACCAAGGAGAGCCATCCATAGACGAACGCAGGGCAGTATTTGGGCTCAAGAGACAGAAGCTTGTTGGCCAAGGCGAACATCATTTCCTGGTGCTGGTCACTCTGTTGAAGACCATTCATGGAGTATTCGCATAAGATGGTGGAGAAGAGTCTGAAGAACACACGCTGGTTGAAAGCTTCTCCCCGCATAACGTGGTGGTGGTTAAGGACGAGGACAAGCAATGACAGTATCGAGTTGAAATATACCGCCTTGTTAGTCTTCGGAGAAACTTCGTTATCGCTCTGGAACTTAACGAGCAAGATGACCAATTTGGCAAGAGCATCGATATAAAGGAAGGCTTCGTCGAGACTGCCGTTGGGGTTCTGGGATTCATGCTCGAACATGGCGACGGAGATGTCAATGCTGAGACGGAAGAACAGGGCCGAATCCTCTTGGTTGTCCATGACCTGTCTCTGGTGAATATCTTTCAGGAACGAGTAGTAAGTGCGGTCAACGGCACCCGGGGCTTTATAGATCCCAATCCATTCGGTGAAAATGTATTCCATTTGGTCACGTTTGGCCATTGCCTTATCGGTGAGGAAAGGGTTGGCAACCTCAGGGATGCCAGATTCACGCAACTTGCGAATGATTTCATTGGCGGTTGAAAGGCTAGAGTCCTCCGCAAGCCACTGACTCATTGCTTCAAGACTGCCCGAAAAATCAGATCTCAGGGCAGAGGGCTCTTCACTAAAGAGTACCCGGTCCATGAGACTAGCAAGCAAGTCGAGGGATCCCGTGGACCTTTGAAGGATGAGTCTAGTAAGAATCATATCGACACGTCGAATATCCAACAGACCGGCGTCGATGAGAGCAACAGAGACCGGAACGTTGAACATATGTTCGTCTTCCACTTCGGATAGGACGGTCCACGTATAGCGGGCAACGAGGGTAGACATATCACATAGTTTTGCAAGAAGGTGCACGAGAACTTCAACTTCTAGCGTAGCCTGACTTTGTGCGTACAAGGCTGTGCAGATCTTGAGGGATGTCAATCTCGCCAGTTCTTCACCGTTTGGAGAGGCAACAATAGAACGCAACGCCTGGTTGTATTCTTGCAGGACGGCACTGTCTCTGCCGAGATCCCGGACGCGTTCTTCGGTTGCAACCCGGGCTGCTTGTTGAAGTTCTGCCACGATATTCTCAACCTTTTCACGCGGATTCTGCGAATCAAGGAATCCGTTGAGTTGGGACTGTGCGCCGACGATGCCGGACTGCTGTAGCCGAGCATCTTGTTGCGCCTGGGGTGTGCGGTGCGGTACAGCAGGTTGCTCCGCTGGAGTCGAAAGGTTAGGAATCGGAGGAGGGTAAGGTTCTGGAAGAACATCTTGAAGTTGTCGGCTGGAATCAGTGGACACATTTTGCGCATGGGCTGTCCCCGTCCCTCGGGATTGGCGTGCGAAATCCTCATATATAGCCAGCTGTTCCTTCTTAAGACCGCCGGGTGCTTGGCGATAAGGCTCGGGAATGAATAAGCCCCAGCGATTCATGGATGGGTCGATGAACGGTTCATTAGGACGAGCCGCACGGTGGCGTCGACGGGCTTCTAGCTGCGGCTCGATTACCTTCTCAATCTCGGGGAAGGACTTCTCCTCTGCTGCTTTCTCGACGATACCACAAGCGGCATCGAGGTTGTCGTTGACACACATCAGAATCAAACCCTCAGGCATGGGCTGGTCTGAATATTCCTGCTGAATCATTCGAATGTAGTTGGTCATGCTAACTTTAAGAGGCTCCTTGCAGGTTACAAGAGCTAAGCTGCCCGCAAGTTGCCTGACCATGATGCCAGCTGCATGACGAACTTTCTCCTCGTCCGGCTCCATGGCGAAGTCCTTCGAAACGAGTTGAACGGTGGAGATGGAAGCGATGGTAACGGATCGTTCCACCACAGGTGTGATGATCTCTGCAATGGCACGCTCCACCGCGGTGTGAACGATTTGCCGGAGAACATTCGCATCGACCATGCTGCTTGCCGATGACGGCAAAACAAGAATCTTATCCAGGCTCGGAAGTGTTGACAGGATTGCAGCAGGTGACAGCCTCTCGTGTCGAATGCCTTGATTGATGCCAGCAAGAGGCATATCTTCAAAGGTTTCAAGGCCATCTGGAATATTCGCCGTTGAGAGAGCGTCTTCAATGTGCGCTGAACGATCCCGAATGATCAATGAGGGCTCGATCACCTTGTGGTCAAGATCAAGGTCTTTGCACAAAACCTCAATTTCGAACTTGAGATTCAATTTCAATTCCGCAAAATGATAGAGTTCCATCAACAGAGCCAGAATATCCATCAACCAAGGGTTTGGAGGATTAAACACGGTGGACTTCGTAGCCTGTACCAACACCTTACAAGTAAACGGGATGACGATAGTCAGACGCTGGCTGTCGAATCCTTCCAGCAGGAGCCCCTTGAAGTAGACATTCTTATGCTTGACAGGCTTGTCTTTGGCAATGGTCAAAGATCCAAGCCAAGATCCAAGGTTTTTGAGATGACCACGTTCAGTCGAAGAATTTAGTGTCGCCTCCGAATTGAGCAGTTTGGAAACGCTGGCGTAAGTTTCTCGGAGAACCTCTGCCCAGAGAACCTTATCGTTAATGCGGTCGAGGAGGTCCAGATATAGCTGCTGGAAGTTTGGTTGCAATTTTGCACGCTCTTCCACCAAGTATGAAGCAAACCATTGATGATGTTGGTCACGAAGAACATCTGTAAGATCCCGCAGCTTTTCCTCCATGTTCTGCTCTGATACATTGTTGAGTACAAACAGAATCTTGTCTTGGATGTCCTCGTCAGGATTCTGATAGACCTCGGGTCGCAGAGGCGCATCAACGTGAACCGAAACAAACTTGCGCCCGGGTCCTTCTGGGCCTGCTGCCTCGTCGATGTTGCCATTGGCCAATGAAGAGGCAGATACATTGTCTGGGCGCCCGGTTTCAGAATCTCTCACTTGGTTCCCTTGCTCCTGCAGCACTTCTTCGGCCTTCTGGAAGATCGGCGTGCCCTGCAGGCTCGGGATCTGAAGCAACAGATGGCAGAAGCCGGCCCATTCGGAAAGCCGCCCTATCAATTGCTCGATGGCTTCAACACCGAACTTGTACATCGGATCGTGTACCTCATGCTCTCGGACAGCCTCCAGAATCATACCGAGGCCTACCTTCAGTGTAATACCATCAACCAGACGGAAATTGATGATACCACCAAACATGACGGCGGTCTTGGTCAAGGCTTCCAATGGGTATTCGTGGTAGCAATGGTACTCATCAATAAGCCCATGAACCATGCACGCAAATAAATCTTGTTCGTCCGGTTCGCGCGAGGACTTGTACCGTCTCATCAGCTCAAGAATCTCTCTCAACGACAACTCTTCATGGTA